GTTACAAGAGATAATGACAAATCTTGCTGGACACTGTATGCCTACAATACTGGAAGCGCTTGATTCTATAGACGATTCAGTACCGACAGTCATTATAGCCTATACAGTCAAAGGTATCTTGCGAAGGTTCTTTGCTTAGGACACTTCACTATGGAATTTTCATTGTTTCAATTGGACGACTCCTGAATAGGTCATGGACTTCCAATTGCTGGCCATCGTGACAACCATGGAGGTTTGCTAAATGAAGCACAACTGAAGGAAGTTCAAGCTAAACTAGGCGTTGCTCCAGGTCAAGAATGGGAGAGGTATCTGAACTCACTGCATAGTTAACTCTTCGCTATATTCTCACTTTCGACATTTAGATTGATTGGTCCATCATCCTTTACCAAGAGCCTAGAGTCGTACATCAAGTCTTCACCCTTCCACGCAAAGGCTAAAAGGCGGCTCGACGATGAAGCTGAGGTGTTTGAAATACCTCCCACTCTTGATTATCGACCTGCAGATGTTGGATCGACACAAGAATTTTTCGGAAGGATCATGACTGAAATTGGCAAATCGAAGAGTGAATTCTCTAATGCCGTCGTCACTATATCGCCAGATGTGGCGACATCTACTAATTTGGGTGGATTTTTAAATCAACGTGGTGTGTTTGGCGTTAACAAGGTTCCTGACAATCTAAAAGAAAATGAAATCGCTTCTGTTCGTAAGTCACGTTTCATGCGTCTTCTTCGTTTGACTTGTCAGACGTCACAACGGTCTCCACTGTCTTTTCTTTTTAGAAAAATGGGAAACGTCACCACAAGGGCAGCATATTGGTCTTGGTATTGTAAGTCCTCTCTAAGAATCTTGCATATTTCTGCATTTCCTAACGGTTTTCTTTGGCAGGCTGAATCCAATCTCTTCCTGGCTTTGGGTATAAACAATGTTTTGGTTTTGCCATCGTTTTCGACGCTCTAATCGAATCCTGCTACAATAATGTACAGGTGCCTTTGGACTGTCGCATTCTCTCTTTGGTAAACGCCTACTGCCTGTTGGTACTTTGTATGATCCATTTATCGCCAGAGGTCTCGACTCGTTGAATTATGCTGCCTACATGGACGCACGTTTCATGCTTGTCTGCACTCCGTACGTGTTGTCAGAGCAACGTCAAGGTCTTCACATATCCTCACATACTCTTCAAATTAAAAGGAGTGGTATCTCTTTAGCTGCTGAAGGTGGGGCACACCAGTCAGTGTACACTCCGCTCCTGGGCATCTCACAACCTGGACTAATATATTATGAGCCAGCATTTGCTGACGAGCTTGCGGTCATTATGCGAGAGAGTTTTGGTATGCGAATTTTGACAGGTTGTATACACTCGCAATACTAACATTCCACACTCTACACTTTAGAATACATGCAGAAACTGGATGGTGGATCTGTATATCTGAGACTATCAACTAGACCTCTGACACAACCTAAAAGAACAATGACTGATGAACTCAAAGCCAACATTCTTAAAGGAGGATATTGGGTACATCCAGCCACAGCCAAAACCAAAGTAGTTCTCGCGTATTGTGGTGTCGTCGCTCCAGAGGTCGAGCAATCATATCAGGAAATAGAAAAGACTAACCCCGGACGCGTTGCTGTGATGGCTGTTACATCACCTGATTCACTGTATCATGACTGGAACGATCATGGAGACTCGAATGCTTCACACTTGTCAGACCTGTTTAAAGGCATACCTGAATCTCAAGTCCTGTCATTTATAACAGTACAGGATGGACATCCTCTGACCTTGAGTTGGTTGGGTAGTGCGAGAGGATGTAAAGTCAAGGCTCTGGGTGTTGTGAAATTTGGACAGAGTGGTGACTTGATCGACCTTTATAAAGTACATGGTCTTGATGTTCAGAATATTGTTAACGCTGTAAAGCAACAGTTGCAAGTGTAGTTTGTTTATAAACAAGTATGGTGTATTATTATAAAATATGAGATTTAGTATATTTGTCCGTGGTGCTGCTGTTGATGTTGTGTAGCACTTTTATTCCTCTTGTGTTATCTTTGCCGTCAGGTTGACCATTTCGTTCACTTCGGCCTTCTCTGCCGATCGTATAGCTCGAGAGTTTGCAATTACAGTCACTGCCAAGAAGATGAGCAATGAAATTACCATCCAAGCAAAGATTATCAGCTCGTTCAATAGGAGTCGGTTGTAAGATCCAAACAGCAACGTTCTTCCAGCACAGACAGCGTCTATTTGATAATCGTCGTATGAGTTACTGTCGGGTTTAGAATGAGAAGGTATACTTACGCCACATTGGCAATCCGTATCCCCAAACAAAGAAGGGATGTGCTAGCTCCAGTATCGAGAATCCAGCTGTGGCGGAGAAGATAATTAGGAGCAGTAGTAACGGCGTTGCATTGTTCTCTCCAACAATAGTCATGAGCGACATTATAAGCTAAAACAAGTGGCATGAGATTGTGTTATGGCGAATTTACATGTCACCCGAACTTACGAGTGCGAAATGAACCATCAGTAAACTGTATGTCAAGGAGAATCCAATCCAATTCCCCGCGGATGAGAAGGGTACACTCAATGTCGACAAGCATGCCGTCAATGATAACGGGATCAGTATACAAAAGATGCATACTACGAACAGCCTCAATCCAATCACCGTACTCGATGATGCGACGCCAAAGTACGGCTTTGTTATCGTTACAGTCATTAGCGACGATACGAGGGAGAAGACCTATTATAGAAGGAGCATTTGGTCAGATAGTTCAAGTGTCAACAGACAGATTTGTAACAGCACTTACAATGACTAGAATCATACAAACAGAAAAGATCTGGTTTTGCGTATTGATTCCAACCGGATGCAAATTAATATCGGTACTTCCAACGGGATTCGTCAATAAGCCAGGTTGAAGTTTTAAGATCGTTGACAAGGACGATGTGGAATTTCGTGCCATTAAGGCTGGCAACTGTTGAGTAATTACAATTTGGGAGACTGCTGCTTCGGCAATGGCCATGACTATTCTTATTGGTCCTATGACTCGAGAGTTCAAGGCGTTTTGATTTCTACCCTCATCATAGATGATGAAGAAGGCTTTTGATGTGTCGAGTATAACGGTTGGCTGAGAGTATACCGCCAGTAGAGCTTTAGTATAGCCAGGCGTGACGACGATTGCACCATATGCGTCTCCTCTGTCAACGGCATCCATGATGAAGCTCACGTTGGGATATAAGCTGGCAGGCTGGATATTCAAGTTGGGCAGCGGTTCTGGTGGATTGGCAATGATGCCTCTGGTAACGTTCAAAAACGTTTGGCCTATTAAACCGCCATCAAGATCAACGACAAGTCTGCGTGGATGAGATAAATGAGTGATTTTAGTCCTGTTTTATATCAATGAGGTAAAGAGTGACTCTAGCATGTTTTCAGTTGTAGCTCGTGACGTGTCAAGAGAAATGTCAACCAGCTTTGTCCAACATGGGGAACGCCAACAAGCAGAGCGAAGGCATGCAAATGAGGTGCATTCTCGCAGTCTTGTGGCATCACTCATAAACATGGTGACTACAAGGGCAAGGTGATGCCGAACTCACACATTGAGATTACCCAAGTAATTTGGAGCTTGGTAGACACTTCCGAGATATAGTGCAGTACAGAGATAGTAGACTGCAGAGATGATCAAGCTCTATGTAAGAAGGGGAGATCAAGTCAGTTTCAAAACTTCAAAGCACGAGTGGATCAATTCGTCTCCAATGCCAAATAAAAATTGGATGCTGTTCCAAGTTCCAAGCACAATGCTCACCATCGGTACAGCCTTTTTCAGGATGTCTAGGAGCATGATGCCTTATTCAAGCGGCAGGGAGTCCTTTACAGTTGGCTAGGTTGAGGTTTCAAAGAGCTGGCCGTGCTGCTGCTGCTGAAAAATCACCCTGAATCCAAAAGGTCTTGCCGAACAAAGTCTTAGCCACTAAAACGGACGCAATTAGACGTGTACGAGAGCGTTCGTGTCGAAGAAAACTCGAATAGAAACCAGTCTGATGGCTGTGTCGGTCTCTATCGTAGCGCTATAACAGACGTTCGGCACCCGAAATACAAAATCAAGCAATTGCGGCAAGGGCGACGCGTTTTCAAGCGAGGACCGACTAGAAAGCATGGTTGAATTACATAGTTCCCACAAATTCGTCTTTATAGTCTTTATGAGATAAAAGCGATCGCTATACCTTTTCTCTCAGATTTCTCAGAGGTCGTTTGTTTCATTTTTGAACCAGACAGGACTACAAACACTCATTACCAAGGGACAACGAGGTATTGAAGAGCCTGGATTATATATACTCTGAAGGCAATTTTCTGGCTATTACTATGCATCAGGGGTGTTTTCCATACAGCCATTATGGCCATCCGAAAAGTTTATCTCCAAAAAAGTTGCTTCGACAACTAAGACCAACAGTGTTGGATGAACTCCAAAGCATCAAGAATGGAGCTATTCGCAATATCTGTATGTTTTGATAAAAGACACGACCAAGGAGTGCATGGTTTTGGTCATGCAAATGTCATCAAAATATCAAAGTTAAAATCTGCTGCTGGTTTAATGGACGGCAGCCATGTATTACGACAAAAACTACAAAAACACAACATGAATAATGCATTCGACTAACGTTGACTCACTTTTGTTTAGAAATTCATTTCAGTTTATATCCTTGTTGACCCATAAGCTTGGATCCTGCGTTTGGTTAAAGGTGTGCTTTAACTTTCCCTGAAACCCCACAACCGATTTAAATAGGGGGCGATCTGGTGTGAAAGGTGATTCATCGCCATGATTGCCAACAACGGAACTTTGGCAAAAGTTTTTATGGGTAGCTGACTGCGCTTTGACCTGAATACCCTCAAAACACCTTCACTTTGACAAGGGTAAATGTTTGCATACACACGGTGCATTTCGCGTCAAAAAAATCCGGCATTTCATGAGAATCTCTCCATTGAAAAAGTTTCACGTTTAGTTACTTGGTCACGAAAACCATGTCAGAGCACACGTTAGAACCAATGGCTGGTCACGCTGGATTAGCTATAAACACTGGTGGAGGATGCCCATTCAAGCCTGCAACTTCAACCCTGCACAATCCAACGTTGAATTCACCTACCACTGCTGTTGAAGGAAGTGAGATGACACTCAAGGTCAATGATGTTTCTTCGGGGCTCTCTGGTAGCTTCACGTCTGAAGATTTTGGTAAAGAGCGAAATGTCTCTAGTTACGATGAGTCAGCTCTCAAGGTTAGCGAGGTTGGCTTGACCCAAAGTCGTCGTCCATCTGGGAATCCAAAAGGAGATGGCGTTAACTCGTTTACGGATTATCAAAGCACTGTTAATAAGTAAGTTACGGTTAGTCAATTTATCCATGATTCAACCCTTAAAACTGACAATTTGGATTAGGTCGCTGTATGACAATCTTCGTCATGATTGCACACGCATTGAGGAGAATGTTCGTGACGCCGAGAGAGAAGTCGACCGCAAAGAGGAAGAAGCCTTTATTATGCACGCATCTGAAGTATGTTATTTTCGTGTCTGTTTTATTCGGTCTGGACTGTATACCCATGGAACGATAAATGAGCGTACATCCTCATTCATACCATTCCTGAAGACGAAATAATACGCTTCCAGAAGTCTTACACTTTGCTCTACATTGTGTAGGTCGAGTTGCAAAGATTGACTTCTCAACAACAATCCGAACGCAAGAAGAAGCGTGAGGCTTTTGAGAAGGCAGTTTCTGCAAGAACCGAACGAAAGAAGGCCAAGACCATGATGAAGAAGCTTATGCGTGACACCAAGGTATGCCCTCGGGGGCGTTGTGTTACAAGTCACAAATTTCGAGATGTCAGCGGTTCCTAATGTTCGTTGCTCTTGATAGTTTCGAGATAACAAGATCCTGCAACAAGACTTGGCAGGAAAGGCCACTGCTGAGCTTCGAGAAGCTTTGAATTATCGTCGGGAAGCTTTTGAGATGATTTCCACCAGCATGGAGGCTAGACATCAGAAACAGCTCAAACAGTTGTCTGCCGCCCAAGAAAGACGAATCGCGTCCGAGAAGCTCTTGACGGAGCTGGAAACACGTCATCTTTCAGGTTTGTTATGAAGCTATCGGAAGCAATAGTCAAATGAAACTCCAATCAACCGAAATATTTTGACAACATGCTTTTAATTAGACGAAGCAAGAGCAGCAAGTGCTAAAAAGTTCCAAGTTTTCACCAATCATCGTAAAGCTTTGGACAAGAGGCTCGCGGATCATTTGCGAGATATTCAACGTCTTGAACTGAAACATGCCAAGGAGAGATTCGAGTGCGAGTAAGTGATGCGTTCACTTTCAAATTGTTGAATGTGTTTGTAACCTGCAGGTCACGATTAATTTGGGAACTTTTGGAAGTTTACGGCCATTCAAAAATATTCTTTTCCGAAACACCAATCTCAAACTGTTTAACCTCCACGTAGATATCAGAGCTTTGAAGAGGGAGCCAGTCTTCGCATGTCAAACACACAACAAGCCGAGGACTTGGAGCATACCCAAGCTCAAGAGATTTATAACGAAAAGTAAGTCGACAGCCAGTCATAGAAAACACTGACAAGACAAGCCTATAACACAACTGCTCTTTAGGGATCGTCTTTTGGCCCTTCGAGAAACTGCCAAACTGATGCAGTTGGAAGCCGAGCACAATGGCGAGCTCAGACGCCTTCAAATGCAGCAAAAGCAGATCGTCAAGCAAGTTAAGGAAGCTCAAAAGGCTAGATTGGCTGCCAACCGTGGAGAGGAAGTCAGCGCTAGTCGCTCAGCTCGCTTCCGCTCTCTTGGCGATTCTCGATCAACATCGACTGGCTCTATCGAATCTCACGAATCTCGTCGTTCGTCTCACCTGAACACCAACAACGGGACCGGCAGCGCCAATACCACCAATGCTATCAGTGCTGCGGTCTTTGGTGCCGGATTCACCAATGGTGATAATCTTCTTGACACTCAAGATGGCATTCAAGAACAAGTTGCAAGATTGGAAGAGAACTTGCAAACGTTGAAGTTGCGTCACAAGGAAGCTTTGATTGAACTTGCTGCTCAGCACAAGGCATCTTTGGAGACTGCAGAGAAAGGTATGCATACATACGAAAGGGTTTTTGGTCATTGTATGTTGTGCTGAGAAGACACTTTTTCCAAAAGGAAATATCGAACGTCTTCGAGAGTTAGAGCAAAACCAAGACCTCGAAATGACCACCACTCGAGATGTTCAAGAGAATGAAATCTCAGAATTGGTCACTTTACAAGAAAAGGAAATCAAGATGGAGCAAAACGTTCACGAAGCTGAATTCCGTATGCTTTTGGAACGCAAGATGCTCAACGCTGTGTTGGATACTTGTATTGACGGAATCATCAACATTGACCCCATTGGAACGATCTTGCGTTTCAACAGAGCTGCTGAGAAACAATTCGGCTACACTGCCAAAGAAATCATTGGTCGCAACATCAGGGACCTCATGCCTCCAGAATTCTCTGTCAACCACGACCAATACTTGCTCAACTATCTCACCACTGGAATCAAGAAGGTCATTGGCAATGGTCGTCGTGTGCATGGTCTCAGGAAGGACGGTGGACGTTTCCCAGTTCACCTTTCCATTTCCGAAGTCAAGGAAGAAGGAGCCCATATCTTTACCGGAATCGTGCGTGATATGACTGCTGAAGTTGAATCTGAACGTCAATTGGCTGAAGGAGAACGCAAGAAACAAGAGGAGCTTCTCACGTTGATTAATCAACTTGATGCTCAAAAGGCTCGTTCTGCCTCCCTGATTTCCCAAATGCTACCTGCTACTATATCTGAGGCTTTGATGAACGGGAGTCCAGTGGCTCCTGAACAGTACCAAAGGGCTACCGTTTTTTTCAGTGATATTGTTGGATTTACGACATTAGCAGGTTGGTGGTTTCTTTTACACGTTAATCGCTTCTCACTCACTGACACATTCTTTCCAAATTAGGCCAAGTTTCACCGCTTGAAATTGTCGGAATCTTGAATGAGCTCTACACTCTTTTTGATGATGCAAGTATTATGATATATTTTCAGATATTTTGGATAATCTTGATCTAATACCAAGCCACCAATCCTTTAGGTCATTTCTCAATACGATGCATACAAAGTCGAGACCATCGGTGACTCCTACATGGTCGTTTCCGGTGTACCTGTAAGGAACGGAATGAAACACGCCGGTGAAATTGCCACCATGGCTTTACATCTCCTCTCTGTGGTTGATAAATTCGTCATACCCTCTAAACCTGACTACAAATTGGCAGTACGAATTGGTATCAACTCTGGTCCAGTCGTTGCTGGTGTCGTTGGTGCCAAGATGCCACGTTACTGCTTGTTTGGTGATACCGTGAATGTTGCATCTCGTATGGAGTCTACTGGAGCTTGTAAGCAAAACACAGTTTTGTCTCATGTTGGATGCCCCTTTGTCTGACGTTTGCTTTCATGACTAAATAGCTATGAAGATCCAAATTTCTGAGACTACCTACGAGAAGCTGGTTACAATCGGTGGCTACAAGACCTCATTCCGTGGCGAGACTCAAGTCAAAGGCAAAGGCTTGCTCAAGACATATTGGTTGACTGGAAAAGATGGTAATGAATTCTGTCAATCACAACATTTTTCTCCGTGTTTCATTCCGAATGCCCTAACATCTTTCTTCAAATCAGATTTCCCATACGAACTCCCACCACAATAATTTGTACAAAGTCGCTTTGGAGGACGTGCTGTAACGATAGGGTTTAAATTGCGCGGGGTGAAATGTTGAAAAATTTAAGTTAGGAACGAAAAAGGACACAACTCAAAAAGAAACCAGAAATCATTTTCTCTGCCACCATTCACAAAGAATGCATATGATGTATCATAAATTGAGATCTTAAAAAGACTTGTTTGTTTAAAAACCTGTCCCCACGAAGCCGATGATGCGTCAGACACACTCTAAATAGTTTGCTCTCGGCCGACATCAGTCGAGTTCATCCAAAGGTTAAATTTCTCAATGAGCAAAACCGGTATCCCATACGTCCACCACTTTTCAGTCGTCTTTCCAACTTGAGAACTGCGGTGCAAAACACATTCAGCGGATCCGCCATTTGTATGAAAATCCAGAAATTTTTGTACGTGAGATTTCCATATTTCCCGGGCTTGAGGATCTGGCAATAACCTGTTGCGATTGTTGTGAGTCAAGGGAAACAAGTTGATTTCGTAGGCACTTCTGCACTCACTTTTCAAAAGGTGTCAACATTCTGAATAAATCACCACTAGCCGATGATGATGGTTTGGCGACTTTTCTGGACTTGTGAGCAGGAGATCCTTGTCTTTGACTTTGAAGAGACCCTGCCTTTTCAATACCAGGCACGGGAGTTGCTCGAGCTTTAACCATCATAATCTCATTAGAAGCAGGGTCCATCCATAATTCGACGTCATCATCATCTTGAACGTCTCGAGTTCTCTTGTTGCTTGCACCACGTGGTGCTTCTCGTCCTTGTCCTGATCGAGTCCGAATAGTAGGAGCCCTCACTCTATTGATCGAGTTAGGCCAGTCCTGGTGCGTTGTAGTTGTATCCCACGGCGTTGGAGGCGGTGCTCGAGTTTCACTGGGTGTGTTCAAATTGATTGACGGGTTCAACGTATCTGGTGATATAGGTATTGGCGATGACCTCAGCATCATGAGAGCTTTAACAGCTTCGGTATCGAATTCGTCTAGACCGAGTTTCGAAGCGTGCAATGCAGACTCTCCGGGTTGAGTTTGCGGCTCTTCGGTTTTCAGTGATGCTGTCCGTGTCTTTCCTGGAAAATTTTCACGAGAAGGTGGCAGCGACGGTATTTGTCGATAACGTATAGTATGTGGTTGAGCCATAACAGTTGCATCTTGGATTCCTGTAGGTGACTTTAGAGCTGACCTATTTGACGATACTGATGTTGGTGTCGAGGGGGAAGGAAGACGAGCTATTGCAGGTGCAAGATAGTGTCCATGATAATGTTTGTGTATTAATTCTTCTTCCTCTTGATGGTTTGGTGGTGACGATACACCCTGAGGTTTCGGCGGCAAATCTCGTTTTGGCAATGCAATGGATAGAGGCGTGTTTGGTCGGGAAGAGGGATGAGTTGCTTCTATATGAGGTTCTAATGTCCTGATTGTGGCCATTCTAAAAGGATTTGTCTTGTCTAGCTTGAGGTTCTTGTGGATGGAGGGACGAGTAGACCGGCATTAACGAGTTGATGCCATATACCGCAGCGTGTTTGAGAATATACAGAGGTTGCCAAAAGCTCTGAATCTGAACAATTTACTTCTTAAAGAGGCCCTTGTTTGCTGGAACGCGTCAGTTACAATTTCCACTTCTCGCACGCCGAACCAACAAAGTTGTTTTTGGATTGTTCTTTGCCCTCACTGCACAGTTAGTCGATAGATCCAATAGATCCGATAATTGATTGACGAGATGGAGTCATTCCAAGATGGGGTGCAATACATAAAACGAAAATTCAAGGATTCACCCGTAACTATTGGAGCTGCTGCCCTTGTTGTACTTGTTGTTGGGGTGCTTGTAATTGTCTATGCTCCAGCATGGATTGCTTCCGCTGTGGCCTCTATTGAATCCATGCCTGCTGGAGCTGGATATGTGCTTTCGGTTGCTTGTTGTAAGTACATTTGTGATATTATTGTGAAGATGCAAAGACCGATTGAGACGATGCCGATTCCAGTTTGCAGCTGTAAATATGTTGAATTTCTTCCAATTCCTGCTGCACTCAATCTCCAATTTCTGTTGTAGATGGACCATTGGGGGTGCTGCTAGTACCAAAATCTTTACTATCGGCCTTAATCGGATTCGCATTCAAGCCGTTCAGTGTTGCTTGTGTCATTGACGCTGTCGGTACGCTAGTAGGCGTTGCCAGTGTGCTCTTTGTCGGACGATTCATATTACGACCATTTCTGGTTGACGACGAAGACGTTTTTACTGAACACACTATCAGAACTGGACTATACGGGTCGCTGTCAACGGTGGTCGAAGAAGATATTGATGAAGAATCTGCATTGTTGGAGAATGCTGAAGCTCATATAGCTGGAGTAAGAAACAGTCAGAATGCAGAATATGGAGAGTCGTCGTATACCACTCCGTCTGTGCATTTCAGACGTCCTCGAAACAAACGTAAACAAGAGACCGGGCTGAGTGCAAGACTGAAGGCTATGAAGAGGATGCGAGAAAAGTTGGGTGTTTGGAAGCTGATTTTCTTGAGTTGCTCAAATCCCGCAATACCAGTAAGTGATACCTGGCCAAGGTTTGAGTAAAGAAGGCAGACCTAAAGCCATCTCGTTTCCTGCTAGGTTTGGTTGACTACATACTTCCTTGCGTTGACCGATTTGCCATTTGGACAGACACTAGTTGGGGTAGGCATGTATGACTTAACCGTAAGCCCAATATCTGACCCACAGCTCATAGATCTTCATCATTAACGCTCCATTTGGGGCGATTTATGTCAACCTTGGCGCTGGCGCAAGTGACCTTTCAGATGTCATTCACGGGAAAGCAGGAACTGATCATATGTGGCGACTTCCCCTTCTTCTTTTTGGCGCAGTAATGGCAGCCGGACTTGGAATTTACATGATAAAGACTATTGAAAAACACGTGCAAGGTAAGGTTCTCCTCAACACGGTCACTGTGAAAGTAACGGGATGCCCACACAATGTTTCCATCTTTTGCAGAGCTTCAGGACGAAGAGGATGGGTTAGCACAAGATGTGCGTGCCAGCAGAGTCCTTGAAGGGTTTGATCCTATTCGTGAATCTGTGGTTGCCAGGAATGAGTACATGGACGAATACGACGATGACCAACGAAGCGGCATTTAATTGCCATGAAACTGATGCCGTTTTGCTGTTACAGTAATCTAGTGTGGGTAGTTGTATGATACAGACAGTTTTACAAAAGTAATGAGGGGTGAGATCGATGGCACGGCGTTTATGTACTTTTTTATATTGCAATAAGCTAGAGAAATGTATATGCTACAGTTAAATAAAGCATTGAGGGTAAAAACAAATACTAAACCACTATAACCAGAAACTAAAACTACTACTACATCTTGAACCAGTTCAATCCATCCAACGTTGTTTAAAGTCCTCTTGAGTTATCTCCCACCTCGTATAAGAAGAATGGTCACTCTCATTATAATTATTCATGCCAATCTTTTCAGGCAAAGAAGAGCCTCCATTGTCTTTTTTTACGTGGGCGATGACAGTTTGCAAGATCTGTTTTGGCGCCCCGACGAGTCCACCATGAGTGGCCGACGCTGATGTGGATTTGATATCCATATATCCAAAAGCATATTTCAGGACTCCCTTCATGGCCTCGAAGCCGTATCCTTGATCCCGGAAATCTTTGCTGATGAAGATCCGTATTGAGCCTGATCCTATGTCATGCGATATATAGCGGTTTTCTAGAAAAGACGCTCCTATAAAACAAAGAAATGGCTGTTTGACGGATGTTTGAGGAGGTTTGAAATGCTATGCTGCAACAGCATGCACACCTGGGATCAGTGAGACGATGCCCACAGGCGGTGTTGATCTTGAATCGTGCACCATCCAGAGGTATTGACTGGTAACATTATAACGGACTACAGAAGGTGATATGTATGGCGATGACTGAGTGCTCTTTAGCACCTCCGATTGGAGCAAATCAGCAAACAACACCTCGTTCTGGTAGCAGCCGGGAAGCGTGAGGTAGCGTCCAAACTCTTTCCAAAGACATCTAGACTTACATGTAATTCATCCAGAACTCCCAGATCTTCATACTTGTTGACACTTCTCAGCACTATTCGAGATCTCGGAGTATGGATGTCTCGAGCAGACAGGAATTCGAGATGGTTGGGAGACCTCTTGAGGCCAGGCGATGGTACATTTACATTTATACTGAGGTTTGGAATAGGCATTCCTGGGTGGTTGAGATGGTAAGATCCAGTGTTATTCTGCTCGGTCAACAAGGAAAAGCGCCGCAACGTTGCTTTCGGGTGGAGCGACTGTTGAAAAGTGTTGTACGGCGGTATAAGAGTGCAGATCCAGCTATCCGAGATACTTCCTGTAGGGTTAGAAATGTCAGGGGGTTATTGTTTTTTCTCTCCTTTCATGTTGTAAATATTTTTTTGTTGTTGCTGGAATACGTCGTGTCACACTCATGACCTGGGAACCTTAATAGAAGTACAACACGCAAAGCTAATTTGTTGCTGGAGTAACGTTGTAGATCTAGATGCATTCCAACAAGTTGTCAGAAGATTTTGCATACACTTTGGTCTATTATTTACAATATGCGGCGTTTCTCTAAAATAATAGAGTTTCACAGTAAATCAAGTTACGTGACTATCTTCATCACGGGACATGAGTATTCTATACAGGCAGCGTCAGCACGCGCCAACTACCACTACTGTTAATCCTCTTTATAACCTGCTCATCATGTCCAACCATAACAATATTCATCCCAGCATCGACAAGTTTATTCACACTCGCCACCTGCACATTCAGAGGAAGCCCAGACAAGGCCTCATCCAAAAACACCATACGTGGTAGATTGTAAAACACACGAGCCAATGCTACACGCTGCAATTCACCAACAGACATCTTTTGTAGCTCGGCGGTGGAATACGATATGAGGTGTATACACTCTGCATCTGAGAGTGCCTTGATGACTCGATTGAGGTCTCCGTGATACTGAGATGGATATGCTACTTGTTGATGTAGTGATGCATCGGGTAACAGATATGGTACTTGCGGTAGAAATATGTGATGGATATAATCCATAGTAGAGGCGCCATTATCATCTTCGTGCTGTTCTATAAGGTGGCCGTTATAGTATTCTACTGTTCCACTCGATGGTGGTATGAGACCAGCCCATGTTCGTAAAAGACTCGTTTTGCCACTTCCACTTGGACCTGTTATAAAGAGACATTCGGGATGCTTTATAGTTACAGATAAATTATTGATGAGGGTCACGCCATTGGGGAGTGTAATTGTCAAGTTTTTCACTACCAGTTGATCATGGCTATTTACAGATGTGGTGGTGTATGTGTTGGATGGTGCTGATGGTGGTGGTGATTGTTGAGGAAGCAGTGGCTGTCTTTCATCTACATCACTACGCTGTCTATTTACAATAGATACGCTGCCGTTCGAGGCAGTATTCGTACTCCCGTGATGAGGAAGCTCTCCGTCCTTGTCGTCTTTGCGTAATCTTTCCAGCAAGACACTAACTCGAGCACTGTTACCGGCCAATTCAGCCATGACATCGGCCAAGTCCGTGATGGACGAAAACTTGTTTATAAGATACATCGAGTAGAAGGCATTCAGACTAATAAATTGAGCCAATTCATCCGGTGGCAAGTCATCATACCAACCACTAAAGATGGGGATAGCAATAATAGCATATGATAATATAGAGCCCATATGCGCGGTGAAGGTCGTGGCGAATTTAACGACGAGGCCCCAATTCAAGATTCGACATTGTGTTGATATCAGGTCATCTAGAGCACCATCCAGTCGACTTCGTTCTAGAGATTCACCACGATAGAATGCTACCTGTTCTATATTCTCGCGGAGATGCATATGTAGGTAACGAAAGTTGCCTTCCCTTCGTTCTCGTTCGTATACTAGACCAATAACGGGCTGAATGGCTAGACGACAGGCGATGACTGATATGATAAAGTAGCAGTATATGGCGAGTGGGCCCGTCCATCCCGATACACTGTATACGGCGTACGAGTACAAGACAATCAAGACTGGTTCTATAGCCAGCTTTTCTAATATGATCACCAATTGTTGGGAGAGCCTATCCACGTCCTGCGTTATACGTTGATCCGGATTATCGATATCAAGTGGCTGCTTGCTTGATGCACGTTGTGTTGATGACGTGGAGCTTGGAGCACTACTAGCCCTTTCCTGCATGTTGATCTGGTAGCAAGTTCCAGCCGTGACATATTCCCGATGCAGATACTCTGTAAGACGTTGCCGTGTCCTCAGGCCGACGATTCCCGAGAGAAAGTGGACCAGACTGGCGGTGATGGCATAGACAGCAAAGACGCAGGTAGCAAATATAAAGAGATTGATGAATTCCGTCGGTCTCTCCTTTAGCTTGAGAAGTATCCTATAGAACTGGGATGTGACGGTCCCAGCATAGTAGACAGTAGCCTCGTTGACTGCGGATATGACAATAAGTAGCAAATACGACGAGATGAGAGATGTTGAGTTTGGTCGGCCAGGTTTCAGCAGCACTTTCAGTATAGAAGATAAAGAGGACAATATAGCAGGCATTTGCTGCCTAGAATCCGAGAGCTTCTTCCTCCTAAAACGTCCTGAAGTGTTGTGTGTATGTTGAGACAAAAAAAATTGCTACCCAGAACTCGCGTGAAGAACAACAAGCATGTACCAATTAGTCGTGTTCGTTTGAATATAAATGGTCAATTTCAACATATCTACTTGCATCTTCTCGTTGAACGCGAAATCGACAACTTTTCGCCAAAATTAATTTCCATTTTGATGTCGTCCTCGGAAGAGCCAGGAAGGACAATTAAAATATTAAGGATGGTTTCTAAATATACAAATCACAGTTTAATTGTTTGATATCGCTGCCTGTCACAATCTTGCCTTCTGTCAAGATCAAAACAACAGACAGAGTTGGATGGACTGAGGCCAAATTTACCAGCAAATGAGTACCTCGAGTCAATCCTCATCTCAGAAGCGCAAGAAATCCACTGGTGGCAAGTCCAATCGAGACGGGTATGTGCTGCAAACAGGCAACTTCCACCGACAGCAAAGTGGAAGCATGTGGGGAGAGGCCCTACTCACATAGCAACAGAGTTTCAGCTTAATCCGAGTAGCTTAACCTGCAAACTCATCAAGAGCTCAATGCCTCTTGGCCGTTGAACTCGTTTAACATTTGAACATCTTCATGCGCTAGGTCGAAGGAACATGATGATGTTGCCAGTGAGGAGCTACTAAAGGACGGAGACGAGGACGATGAAGGATCCGAGATCTCTGAAGAAGAAGAAGATGCTGAAGACTATTGTAAAGGTAGACCTCCTTCGCTCGTTTTCCTCGTCGAACGGCCATACTTTCCTAGGAGCAACCCAACACCTTGTTCTGCTTGTTTCCTAGGTGGTTATCATCCAGTAAAGATTGGAGATGTATTTAGCGATGGAAGATATTTAGTAGTACGCAAGTTGGGATGGGGTCATTTCTCAACTGTGTGGTTGGCTCTCGACAAAAAGTATGTCTTGTTTCTGAGCACATCTTTTGTACTTTCTACAACTACAAGCTCATCCGCCTTTTTGGATAGGATGAAACGACCAGCAGCTCTCAAGATTGTAAAGTCGGCCCCTCATTATACAGAAACCGCATTGGACGAAATCAAATTGTTGGACAAAGTCGTTACGGCCAATCCTACTGCTACAGGAAGAAGGGCTGTGGTAGAGCTGTATGACTGGTATAAACACAAAGGACCTCATGGAGTTCGTAAGTCTTTGTTGATAGCCGTATACGTGTTGTGGTAGCAGCTCCATTTAACAGCTCCTTTCATCAGATGTCTGCATGGCGTTTGAAGTACTGGGCCCAAATTTACTCACCCTCATTCGGCAATACCACCATCGCGGTATCCCCCTATCTATAGTCAAACGAATAACGAAACAAGTTCTAATGGGTCTAGACTATCTACATCGAGAATGTGGTATAATACATACCGACCTCAAACCAGAAGTACAACCAGTGGCATTTCAACTAGAAATCTCTTCTGAATCTGTGAAACTAACGTATTTAAACATAGAATGTATTGCTGTGCGTCAATGTCAAGGAAACCATGAATCGGCTAGGAGTTAGCGACGACTCCTATGTTGACGAAGATAAAATGGATACCGATGATGCTGCTAGAAGTTCACCAAAAGGCTCCAACGATAATCTTACTGCAAAGCAGAAGAAGAAGGCCAAATATAGGGCCAAGAAGAAGGGTTTAAAAGCGGCAGCACAAGGAAGCAATGACGATGTTGATATGCAACCCCCACGAGCATCACCACAATCTACAGATGCCAATGAGCTGAATTCGTCAATATCATATGGCAAACGAATGTCGGATCCATACGCTCGTGATGCTTCGATGGAACCAGCACACCATACGAATCCGCTAACGCCGCCATCCACTGACGTGCTCATGGAAGAAGCAGAGCCAGAAGGATCCGCTGTACCAGAAACGGTGTCAGAAACTCTGGTATCAACCAACGACACAGAATCAGTACCAGTGTCAATATCAACAATAGTAGTAACAGAACCAGAACAACAAGTAGAAGAGGAGGAGGAGGAAGTGAGGGGATATGGGAAATCCATGTTTGATATTGAGTACCGAACAGATGTTGGAGAGACAAAGCTCACACCGACTAGCAGCAATAGTGGACTGGAAAGCAGATCAACCAATCATATAAATGGATCCGCACTTAATCCCGCCATCTCTACAATAACAACTACTGATGTCATAAGATCCAAATCCACCGAAGCACTGGGTCGAGACCTGTCTGATATATCATTGAAGGATCAGGACAAGGCAAAGGCTCTAGCATCCAGGCAAGATGCCGCATCTTCGTCTGATACATCCTCATCTATTGGTAAACCTCCTAGTGGCGCTCTTAGTAGTGCTGCTCCTGTAACAGACACACAAACAAAAGCTCGAAAGCGACTAGAAGAACAAAGGCCGGCCAAAAACAAGTCTATAGATGACATTGATACGACTAGTAGTGGTACTAGTGGTAGAGAGGCCAAGAAATCTTCAGCCGCCAATTCTAGCATACCATCGGCAGATTCAGATCGTAAACGCCGGAAACGAGATGAGGCTAGAGACAAGAGAAGATTACAGGATGAAAAGATAAAAGTAAAAATAGCAGATCTTGGAAATGCTTGTTGGGTGGATCATCATTTTACCAATGATATTCAAACTCGACAGTATCGTGCTCCTGAAGCAATCCTTGGGGCCAAATATGATTCTAGTGCGGATATGTGGAGTTTGGGGTGTATGGTGTTTGAGCTCTTGACGGGCGATTACATGTTTGATCCTCAGGCTGGATCTAGATATACAAAGGACGATGGTATGCAGACATTAATGGCAGCAGTTTATACCTAGTCCATAAGCTAACTCAATTTCGCTATAATCGCAGATCATATGGCTCAAATTGTGGAATTGCTAGGCCATTTTCCAAAGTCTCTAGCCCTGTCTGGAAAGTATAGTAATGACATCTTCAACAGAAGAGGTAAGATCTTGGAATACTTGCAGATTCTTGTTAAACGTAGCTACAGAATGTACTAAGCTCCATTTCTTCCATCAGGCGAGTTAAGGCATATTCATAAACTTCGGTATTGGAAGTTATCAGATGTCTTGCATGAAAAGTACCACTTTTCAAGAGAAGAGGCTGAGGGCATATCAGACTTTATTCTGCCCATGATCGAAATAAATCCTGAAAAGAGGTGTGTTGTAGCGTATAACTTACTTGAAAATCGCGACACAAGAGCAAGGAAGAGGGCCATTGGGCCACGTCAACCAACCTCACGACTTCATCTCATTAATAGGGCCACTGCACAGACAATGCTGAAATCCCTATGGGTTTCTAATGTCATTATCGAAGATGCTGAACCACCTCATATTCACTCATCAGTATCTCGCCGTCATCCTCAGGTCAAGAATGAAGCCATAGACGACAATGACCAAGATGACGACGAAGACGACGATGATGATGATGACGAGGACGATGATCAGGACGATGACGACGAAGTACGAGAAGACGAAGATGGTCGGGACGACGATGACGACCGTGACCAAGAGGAAGGAGACGAAAGCCATTCTAGAAGCACCTCTCTAAGTAATAGTACACCCACAATCAATGTCGATGCAGCATCTATAGCATCCACTAGTTCGTTAAACGCCAAGCCAGTGGATGGACATGAACGAGAGACTGACACACACGGTATTGGTTTCTCTGCCAACCTTAATGATTATGGGAGACGAGAATCTAGACACGAGAGTATCGTTGCTCCTTCGTCCAGAGGAGAGTCGACTGATGATGTGCCCATGACTGTTGGAAGTGGTGGTGGTAGCAGATCGCCAACGTCGTTACCATTAGGACCTGGCATTACGTCTTCTATAACTCAAGCGACGTAGTAGAACTTCCGCTTTGTCCAATAATTCTATAAAGGTTGTATTTGATTTAGAGTGAGAGCGCTTTGGCATTAAAACATATTAGTTTTTCAGACAATGCTATGAGCTGGATTCGATTTTCTTTCATGATTGATTAACGGTATATGGCGTTTGTCCCGAGTCTATCATGTCATGTTCGATAATGGCGTTGCTTAGAATGTTTGGATTCTTCTCCCATAAAATCTTAACGCCCTAAAGCTAACTGATCAGTCAACTGGCAACACAATATGCCAAACAAAGTCTTCCATCCTTGTGACTAACAGTGTTGGTATGCGGTATCGTTGGGACGAGTTCCGGTCTGATGCCCGTAGCCTTGGACTTTGTACATGCACACTTTCTCGTTTCATGACGTTTGCAGGATCTTCACCAAGCCCTAAATAGTTTGGACGTTGACGCTACGACTGTCTTCAATGCCCTGGCCAAATTTGTAACTCGTTTGAAGCTATTTAAGCCCCCGTTCACCATAGTGCAGGCGGCACACTTCTCAATTTTACAGTAGCCCAGGAACACATCACTACTACCACTACCACATCACCAGCAACACCACCGCTGATTACTCCAACCTCAAAGCTTCCGACTTTTAGTAATGAAGATGTTAGTGCTAGTAACATTGTCACAACTACAACCGACGCAACCACTTCAACAACAGCAGAGACTCCGGGTTCGTCCAAAAGGAAGCACCCAGACTCTGTCGACGACGTATCACCAGACACTGATAAAGGCAAAAGACCAGCTGTAGAATCAGAAAACTCAACAGCACCACCATCACAATCGGTGTCCTCCTCACTAGACGAACTGCCATTTAGACCTGATATAGCACCTGAGAACTCAGAACAGCATATTGTTGAGTACTCGGACTCTCAGAAGAATAAAACATGAGCCTACACATTGGACCGAATGAGGAACGGCTAGCTTTTACCGGACACGTCGCAAAACACCCTTCGTTGGTAGTTGTCGCCGTAAAAGTAGATATGAAGGAGTTGATGCTGAGACACGGTTATAAACCTTCAGATTATCCATTGTTACGAGATTTGGCTCAAAAATTAGATAGGACTAGGGGTGAAATGTGGCATAATAAGAAGCAGATACTATTATATACTAGTGCCAATACGCCGCTGATGCCCAAGAACGTGGTAAAATCGTTAGTAAGATGCTCATGTATACGATGGAGGAGAAAAGACAAGATATACGGAGTGTAATTGCAAACTCAGCATATGCTGAAGTTTGTGGTGCATCCGATGAAGCAGTAATAGCAACGTATGACACTAGAACCTTGAATAATGTTCTTTCTAGAATGTATGAGTTGACGTGGAGTCGTAAGAATGTGTCAATGAGAAAGACTTTTGAGGAAGCTGCCCTTCTCGTGGCACTTGATGCATCAGAAACATTATCAGCCTTTCTGTACGATAGCATGGTGTCGAACGGAGTGATTACCTTCTGGTACTTCCGGCGTTGCATTGGTCGAGTCAGAGCCTGCTGGAATGGCCCCAGACACGGTGGCCTACCTGCTCATTCAATCATATATGTAAGTCAGAGCTTGGTTCACATGATAACAGTTCACGACTTAATAATCGAGATCTCATTTAGTGACTCTACTTCGTATGTCAATTGCTATCGCTTTGTCGTTTTGTCCCTGCCAAAGTTGAGGTACTTGTTGGCCGTATCCTGCGTTTTGGATCGCGCATGTCGAGTGTAGTTTGGGCGGTTGGTCTTGATTTACTTGGTATGTTGGTATGTTGCTTGATTCTTCAGCATCGAATAACTCTGACTCACTACTATTTCCAAAATCCATTCCATAATCCAGACGTCCACGTAGATCAAAGAAACAGCGTCTGAATCACTGAGATTAAATCTGTCAGCAACATCAACAACCAATAACACCAACAACGGACTATACATCCCGATAATCTCTATGCCACCATATAACACAACCCCACCATCATATATCCGCATCACCCCATTATTGTAAACGAAGCACCCCTCATTATTGTAAACAACCGGCAGTAGGCGCCCAATATTGTTTTGTAGCAGTAAAGCAATATATTCAGACACCCCCTCGTCGCATCACACAAATTCAATTGTTTCGGTGTAGTTCACTTTTTTGGCATCTCGCATCTTAACTTCTCACAACCGCTAGCTGAAAACCACACAGACAAAAGCAGTTGAAAGATTATGCGTACATCGACTGTATTCCTACTATAAAGATACTTCTTGGTATAGATATGTGTTTGATATGGGGTTTGCTGTTGATTTTGTATACATCTCTTTTTTTCTCTCTCTCTCATTTTCACATACATTTGCCTTTCTGGCATCGAAGACGACTCTTCAACAACAAGTTTCCCAATTGTGAACAGTGCCAACAATGGCACCAGAAGCCACCATAGCCTTTTCAGCCGATTTCGTGATGGGTGCAGCAAGCATCGAGCCAACTCCCAACCCAACGACGACAGAGAAGAATAACCCGACATTATAAGTCATGGTTACCAACATGAGAGCATAAGACAAGGTAGCCATAACCATACGTAAGGATCCTCGAATGAGAGTTGGGCCCCATCCAGTGGTCCAGGATGGCTGTTTGGCATATACTTCTGCTGATGCTGGTGCTGCTGAGGCAGGGAAGGTACCAAATCGAGAGCGAGATGGTTGAGATGGGGTCAATGGGGCTTGACTGTCTGCAGGAGAGTCAGGGTCTGGAGCATCGTATACTCCGTTACTGTTCTTAGATGGAATCCTGCGACCTAAGGATTTAGATAAAAGGGAGATGTCAAGAAGGAGTGCACACCCTTAGTCGGCCAAAAAAGCGTTACCGACAAGATACCCAAACTCTTGCGAGAGACGAGCGCAATTGATTCACTGTTTGCAAGACTCCATTGCAACCCTCATACTGCTACACCAATCGTCTGATGCAACTCATGACCTACTAAATACAATGGCTGCTTACCCAGATACATGTCAAGTACCACATGCATAGCTTGCAAGCACTCATAGAAGACGGCCAAACAAAAGAGAGCCAGCATAGACAACACGTATTGAAGTACATTCCTAGGTACCCATTTCTTGAATAGAATATACTCTACGATGCCAGTATGCTATAAAAAGATATATTGTATTCTGTCAATGATAAGATCAAGTCAAACACATTTCTACCAACTCACAAAGTACATAATCATGCCAGGAGCAGGATCACCAGTTCCATCATCGATACATAAAGAGCTAGTAGAGCCAGGAGCACCACTACAGAAGGCACTCCAAGCTTTGCACTGAGTCATGCCAGGCATTGCTTTGCAAAGCCTTGAATATACGTCCATCATATCACAATCATCATAATATCGAGACCTTGGAGACAAGGTACCGCATTCAGAGCAACCGTTCATGGTCATCTCAGTGCTAAAAAAATTGCCGATATGTCATGTCAATGTATCGTTTTTGACATCTAATCCAAACAGACTGGATTGAATGCTCCAGTATGTCTTCTTACCAGATAGAGGTGATTTCCTGAGCCACCGTTGCAGTAGTAGGCAATTGCGAAGGTGCAGGATAGAGAGTTTGACATGTATTGTTGCCAGTACATGTCGCGACATATGACTTGCAGCCCGACATGCGAGGCATATCAGTAAGACAGACAGAACCCACCAGAGATATGGGTTGGCAGTAAGGATCAGGCAATGCGTTTGGATTTGCATCACAGAGTTCTAAAGTAGAAGATACGATTTTGGTTGGTTGACATGTCCTCGAAGTTATCCGACATATAATGCATACTTTTGAGGGTACATCCAGGCATTCCTCTCATGGCAGTGCATAGATCCACCATACTGGCGGTAGCATTTGCTATAGGTCAAGAGAACACGATCAACACAAATGTTTTGACATGGTTTTGATGACACCGCCAAATGAGTTCCAAGAGATGTATCCAGTCGTAAAGAAGCCACAAAGGAATAATTACCATCATCCACAGCAGAAGCGACAGGCACTTGAACCAAAACAAACAACGCGAGACATCCAAAAATCACCAACGGCACTACACGTGAATTTGATGTTAGATGCAAGATGTTGCAAGGAAGTAGATACTTGGATCAAGACGAATCAGTAGTTACCATACAATGAATAGTTACCTCGTGCACAGTTCATCGTTTGACTTGTCCAAAAAAGCGAGGTTTTTGCTATTCGATGAGATTTTTGGAAATCACGAGTAGACTCGTTGAAGAAACGACGAAACGACCACTGGCAAGGCGAAACAGTTCAACTTGTTCACAGAACAAAATCTTTAATACCTATTAATACCCTTAGCGGCTCTCTTCCTTCGACCAGATACTCATTTGCAACAAAACAACAAAGTCGAAGTCGCTCCATGGTGGCAAAGTCAAACAACACGCTCAAACGACGTTACTAGCATCGCCACTACGTGATTTTTGATTTTTGAGCAGATACGCGAAATTCATCTGTCTTCTATGTAATCTGAACCATTAGATTCCTCAGCTTGTTTCTTCCAACAATCAATCAACAGCTTTCAAACCCAGATAACATCGAGGAGGATGAACAGGTCAGCCGATGGCCCGTGGCCAATGAAGAACAAGGTCTTGATTCTATTGGGCTTCCATAGACGGGACCAGTTTATCTTTATAATGGCTGTGATTCTGTTGATTGTGCCCAATGCCTTATTTGGTGTCTACATGTAAGTTCGGCACGGCCTGCAGGCCTATCCATCTATTCCCTTGAAGCAAGATCTATTCGCTTGAAGCAAGATCTCGAGGGACAGTCGAGACTCAAAACACTTCTTTGTGATGATCTGGATTAGCGCACCCTGGGCATGGTCACATACTTCGCCGGCCTCGGTAATCATATGGGCATTCTTATGGCTATGGACGGCTGTCTCTCACTTTACTACCACTATACTTGAACCTGGTGTGAGTGCTCTTGATAGATCGTTATGTTTTGCTTTCGGAGTTATCAATGAGTTATCAATCTAACTCGAGTTGTTATTTTTAGTATCTGCCAAAGAATCTGGATCCACCTGCCGATTCAAATCTAGTTCCTACAAGTCGGCAGCCGTCCTTACAGGTATACCAGAGAGCTTCATAGTGTTGGAATCGCACGACAACTCACTCATCCGTTAACAAAAACAGCCCGGCCAGCTACCTCCAAACTATCCTTTCAACGGCGGAGAGTTTGTTCCAGACACGAGATCCGTCGTCGTTAACGGCTGGGAGGTCAAGATAAAGTACTGCCACACATGTCGGTCATGGCGAACACCTCGATGTTCACATTGCTCAACTTGTGGTCGCTGTGTAGAAGGATTTGATCATCATTGTCCTTATGTCGTGAGTTACTTCGTTACTTCGTGGTCTTTTTTTTGTCCAACCTGCGATATCACTCACACGCATTCACTTGTAGGGCACATGTCTCGGAAAACGCAACTACCGCTTCTTTTACATGTTCCTAATATCAGTCCTATGTCTCTCCGCATACGTACTCAGCTTCTCACTCGCAATGCTGATAATCAATGGACAGACACTGCCCGGAGGTTTCTGGGATGCAGTAGCGAAATATCCAGTTAATGCGGCAATCGCCATATTTGGTGCCATGATTCTGATATCGTTGTCGTCTTTAACAACATATCATACAATGCTCATCATGCAGGTATGAAAGTGACACCTTGATACTTGAATGATGACCAATCACTAAGACGTCACTTGTCCTCTTTTCTCATGCAGAACATGACAACACACGATCAGTTACGGGAACGAGATCACAAATTTAGAGCCAGTAATATTACTGCTCCGTTTGATCAGGGCTCTGTAGCCAATAATTGTTGGTATGTGCTTTGTAGGCCTATTGAACCAAGGTAACGTATGAATGAATTGGGTTGGGGTTTGATGAAAGAATCCCTTTTTCGCCCCATAACTCTTTTTATGTCGCTTGTAGTCGAGTCGGAAACTATCAACCGCTGGTATTAGCTGCATCCTCATCACAGTCCGATATAGAAGCAATACCACCATCATCACAACCACCCAACAATAATGTCATTATACCGCAACCTGTACCATCATCAGGATTTCCTCAAATGGAAACAAGAAGGCATGAAAACCCATTGCCACCACTACCTGTAATCGATCATGAAGCCGCAGATTTAGGAATACCGAGAGAGAGCTTGACAGATGCTTCAACAAACGCTCCTAGCTCAAACGCTACGAGCTCACATGATGCACTTATTGGATAACATGAATAAGGTTATTTTCAAATTTCTTTTATATATTTTTTTGTCATAACAGCCAAACTACTTGCTTTTTTGCATGGGGATGAAAGCTAAACTTATAAATATGATAATTATTCTTTCCTCATAAATAAAAGCACAAAATTCTTGATACTACATCTGTTCTCTCCCACCTCGTGTTCAATTGTTATATAATGCTCCTCGATTGCGACCATTATGACCATTCCCTCCTGCTGGTGCTCCTCCTCTCCCATGCGTAATAGCCCTGTACAAATCCTCCTCTCTCACAATATTCACCGCCCGCATCCACGTAGGCTGTGTAAACCTATCAAATAAGACAGCACCGACGATGGCTGCACCGACAGACAAGACAAACAGCATTCCTGTTGCGAGTGGGACACCGAATGGTCGCAGTGAGAGGTAGTCGAGTAGACTGTCTCCAGTTGGGAAACATATTACGTCTGTGACGCTGCATGTGAAAATGAGTCCTGTGAGTTCGTTCTGGGTCCTGTGGAGTGAGTATAAAGATGATGAAAGTTAAGAGTCAATGTTGCTGGAGCATGAGAGAAAAATGTATCGAAGGAAGTTCAAATGTCTGTGTGAACGAGAAAATTCTTACCATGCATGATATACATAATACGTGGGATCAATCCATGAAATCCATCTGAGAGGATTTGGAATGTCTACTGAAACGATAACATATCCAGCAAAACCAGCGAATACTTTATTGACAAAAAGGAGTGAGTCAAGCACAAAAAAGTATGGAATTGCCTTATTATGCACTTACTGCCAACCATCAGAATCGCAGAAGTCAATCCAACATTCACATTATCTGTACAAGATCCAATCAAGAATCCATATGTGTGACCAGCTAAATCCAACAGGAGTCCAACTGCAAACCAGTGGAAGAATCGAATCCAGTCAAGTTGAAGTCCAGTACTAGACAAAGATCCGTCTTAGCAAATCCGGTTTTTTGTACGTCTCTAAGCAACAAAAGTACGAGATGCATAGGTAAAACATACCACACATAAACTGCAGCCAGCACAATAATAGTCAATGGTGTAAATTGCAACCATGTAGCAGTATACGTTGACCAGTAAATCATTTGGCCGGTATACATGCCACTGGTACGTTCACGGAGATAGAGACTGAGTCGAACGGGTACTGCTAGCACACATCCAAAAACTGCAGAGAGGTATCGATCCAATCCAAACATGAAGAATAGGGCTAGACGAGATTTTCCACCGGCTGATGTCAATGGCCTGTGTTGCCATAGATATCCAAACAAGCTGTATGTTTTGGAGAGTGTCAATCGAATGCAAAAAGACGACAGAATCACATACAGAAGCACAAGCTGAAGCACTTACAAGATAGCAATAGAATTCGACACAATAGCCATGACCCACAACTCAATATCCCTGAAATAAACTTGCCAATGACGAAGCATCAATATCAAAAATCGTTTCCACCATCCATAGAATCCAAAATGCAAGATATCCGATTCACGTATACGAGCACTACCACGTCGTAATTCTCCTAATGCATGTGCACTATCTCGGTTACGATTACGATGTTGAGGCGTTGTTGGACCAGATTGGAAGGGTGGGAAGGCAATAGAATCGAAATTGTCGCGCCATATGCCAGTTAATCTGTCTAGATGTGCAGCTGATTTCACCTTGTTTTCAGGTGTCGAATTGTCCAAGGTTGCGACATCCAAGAAGTGGTCGGCTGGGTTCTTTAGTGGTGGAACTGGGTATCCGATATGAGCAAAATGAGGCAAGGCAGCTAAAAAAAATGGTCATATCAGGATTGCACGGGCGACTCATTAACACAACCAATTTTACAAGCTGAGTAAAATCTTACAGTCTATACTGCCATAAAAGACGATTTTTCCACGAGACAAGATCATGATTCGATCAAACAAGTCCAAGATCTCCTTACGTGGTTGATGAATCGTCATGACGACAGTTTGGTTTGCCCGTTTAGCATTGTTCTTGATGAGCTGCGTTACTTTGAAGGCATTATAGGCATCCAAGCCGGACTAAAGTGAAGGAGCCAATTTCAGGAGACAAAAAAACAAAAACCCAGAAATGAACAATAACTCACAGTAGGTTCATCCAAGAACAACATCTTGGGACTTCCTAACAGTTCTGATGCAATGTGCAATCGCTTCTGTTCACCACCTGATATACCACGTATTATCGAGTTACCGACTTTGGTATCCAATCTTCGAGATAATCTCATTTGAGCAACGACTTTATCAACTCGTGCCATCTTTTGCGCTTTTGACATTGTATCTGGCAATTTTAAGAGTGCTGCATATTGCTATTGAGGGGGGAATCGTGTTCAAAACACTGACTTCGTCCTAGGTAACAAAAACCCCGACAGCGTCTTTATCACTGACACTTACAAGAGTCTCTCGAACAGTCAAGGTCTCAAAGAAAATATCCTCCTGTTGAACATATCCAACAGCACTTCTCCAGCGAGCGTCAGATGGTTCATTGTTGAATCTGACATCTCCTGTTGCATGACCACCTCTGGCTCGTCCAGACAAGACATTTAGCAAAGTCGTTTCTAGAAGAGATAGATTGATTAGTGTCAGAAATCGAGTTGCCATTTTTAACGCACGTCCACAGTATAGGTGGACACTGTCAAAAAACGCAAGAATACGTGTACGCACTTCCTGCACCAGAACCGCCCATAATAGCCAACATTTCACCAGGTTTAGCCTGTCCATTCAAATCAATCAAGAGTTGTTTTCTCGTTGGTTTCTTCATTGGTCCAAACCCGAAATCCCACCCTCGCGTATCTTGCTCGACGACATAATTCAAATGTCGCCAAGCAATCTCAACTCCAGCGGTCTTCTCTGATCCATCGTCCTCGTCCAAGACTTCATCATCTTCATCATTATCCAGTGAATATGCATCTGCTGCTGTTGGCGATGGTGGCAAATCATCGGCAAAGAGTCGTAATCCTCTTCTTATGGTATTGACTGTTCTACTTCTGACTATTTTTGAGCCTGCTTTTGTGATGCGGATGTCATCATCGTTATCATAATTATTGGAATTATTGTTATTAATGTTACTGTTACTGCGGTAGAATGTTGATCGAGTCTTCATGTTCGTTGGGTTTCGTTTTTGACCATCCGAAACACCTTGTTGCTGTAATGGTATAGCCAACAAGTTGTTACCAGCTTGGATTTCTTGTTGTGATGTTCTAGCATCCTCAACCGCGGTGTCATTCATCCATTGTTTTAATCGGGTTTGAGGAGGAGACTCTACTATAGACGATGCTTCTATGCGAGGCGAGGCGGACCGAGACGGGAGTGATGCTATTGAGGCTTGAGCAGCTGCAGCCTTGATGAATCTGTTTTGAGGGACAGAGTTGGTTATGGCTGGTGGTTTTGGTGATTGTCGAGATACTACTGGATACTGTGACTGTATTGGTTGCTGTCTCGATTGCTGTACAGGCTGATGCTGCTGTAAAGGCTGCGGTTGCTGTATAGGTTGTTGCTGCTGTATATGTTGTTGTTGCGGTTTCTGTACAGGTTGCTGTTGCTGTATCGGTTGTAGCACGTCTTTACTGGATTCCATTACAGGTATAGCTGGCATAGACGGTATCGGTGTCTGTTGTACAGAATAACGAGAAGAAGGGGTGATTATGGGTGGTGCTGATGTGACGACTGGCAATGTTTCTACTGTCTTTGACGACATGCGTTCAGGAGGCATACCCGGGAGGTGAGAAGAACGCGGTGGGATGAACAGTGGCTTACTGCTACTATTACCACTGCCACCAGAAGAACCAGTCGAAGGCGATGGCGTTTGTAAGATTATAGGTGGTGCAGACTGTTGCTGAACACCATTTTGCACCACGACTCGAGGAAGGAGTCTCTGAGCATCTCCATTAGCATTTGTGGGTATCTGCGATGATCTATGCAATACGGGAGATGCAGGGTTCTTGACACCATTCGTTATTGTTGGTGACGAGTCTCCCGATTTAGGAGACGATGTTGAAAATGCTGGATTTGGAGACCTTTGGACTTCGGTCCTAAGGGCGTATAGCCTGCGTCTATCTTCCTGAGCCATTGCTCGTGTCAGATTAGGTGATGTTGGAGAGCCGCTTTGTATCCAAGAAGAGTTTGGTGAGGCTGGTCGTGATGTTGATGTTGCTGGTACAGTGATGTTGGGCACAGCATTGTTGTTTGGCTGTGGAGTGGTTATAGGAGTAGGCCTAGGACCTCTGAGCCTGTTTTGGGTACCTCTGCCAGGCTCCATGCTAGGGTTGAGCATGCATCGTCAGCGAGATCATAACGTGTGATGTAACGGCGTTCAAAGCTAGTTAGAAACAGTTCTCTCGGCGCACTACCTTCTAAGGAGGGTCCTTCAGACCTGCACAACTGGGATCAATATGGACCTGCTAGTAAGTTTCGTTGTTATTTTCTGCTCATTCGGCAACCAAGCAACATAAAGGCAAAAAAACAAGCACACTGACCCTATGAGTATAACAGCCGTTCTGAAACAGTTTCAACAATGAATACGTACAGATTACGACAATCTGAACTGTAAACGATCAAAACGTCCTGGAGAATAGCAATGTGCCGTGCGTTTTCGTAACTGGTGCTTGTGGTTGCTTTGCTAGCGTTTTGCTTGGACGACACGTTCGCTTTGCAGAATGAGTGGCCGCCAGAGGAGAGATATACGCATACACGGCATACACGATACACGATGAGGGAATATTGATATGCAATGATCAACTCGCGTAAAAGATGTTATGAATATCGCATACATTGCTGAACCAATAAAACGGGTTTGTACAGCGAGTGCTGAAATAGTCACTGAGTCGGAATAGGCTACTAGGCTGACATTGAAATCATATTCTGACACGCGTTCAGTCCATCTTCACTCCTAATTTACACAATCGTCTAAGATCTTGGTTTATAGTGGCGGACAGATATAAGATAAAATGGAGGAACCTACCAGCGATGCTCCAATGCAAATCGAACATCCACCGCCTCCTCGAAAAGAGACTCTAGGCATAGCACCTGCATTACCACAACATCTTAGGCACAAACCACCGAGTTTGAGAACCTCGAGTAGTGGAAATGAACCAGGTATGCATGTGTTTCTACTATGGTCTAGCCGATTACTTGATCATTTTCCGAAATGCCAATGCCTTTCCTACTTGATTGCTTCCGCTCTTACACGCTCCCAACACTCACACATTCAACCTGAAACATTTGTTCCAACAGACGTGATGTTTGTACAGGTCTCTATCGACGAAGATGAAGATCAGATAACACCTATCGAGCCACAACCAAATTCGCCGGCCTCCCCGGTTAGGTCTCGCATACAACCGCAAGGATCTGTTACCTCGTTGACCACTATGGACGAAACTGCCTCTATATACACGACAAATGGCAGTGAAGACAATGAAGACTCGTCATTCTTATTAGCTAGGTTGGAGAAAGATCGGGCGAGAACTCAGCCTGCAACTGGTGAATTGTCACCACAGCACGCAAGACCAACTTCAAGTTTGCAGGCACTGTCTAACTCGCTGTTTTCGAGCTTTCAAGCTGTTAGAGATACTGTTGTTGGTGATGGAAAGGAGTCTCTTGATTGGGGTAGAGCATTGTTTTTTGAAAGGTGCAGCACTCGCCAACATACACGTCACTGACACCAACTCTTACAATAGATTTTTGGGGAAAACTAATGTCCAATTTTGAAGCAGTAGCACGTAAACATCCACGAGTCCTAACTCGAAAACTTCATGCCGGTATACCGCCTGCCATACGAGGCATGGTGTGGCAACTCATGTGTAAAGGCAAATCACAGGAACTCGAAACTACATATTCAAACCTATTATCGAGAACATCACCATTCGAAAAGCAGATACAGAGAGACTTGCCAAGAACGTTTCCTGAGCAAGAATACTTTCGAAATGGAGGAACGGGACAAGAGAGTCTGTTTCACGTAATTAAGGCTTATAGTTTGTTTGATCCAGAGGTCGGATATTGTCAAGGGATGTCTTTTATCATAGGGCCTTTACTGCTGAATATGCCAGAAGAGGAGGCTTTCTGTGTCGTAAGTCATGATGTATCTCCTCTTGCTGCTTTTACCCTCTTGATATCAACCATTCTTTACTTAGTTGGTCAGATTAATGAAGAATTACGAGTTTCGTGGACTCTATACACCCAAGATGGAAGGATTATCACTACGGCTCTTCCAGTTTGAAAAGTTACTTGAAGAGCAGTTACCTGCTGTGAACAGGCATTTATATGTGGAAGGGATCAAATCCACCATGTATGCTTCTCAATGGTAAGTTCTGATAACGATATAGTAGAGTACTGTCGAGTTGTGGCAATCCACCGTCATTGTGTTTCTGTGTTTTTTCCCGGCTTTGATCAATAACCACAATTCCTGTCCTCTCCAGGTTCATGACATGTTTCGCCTACCGATTCCCTCTAGAAATAGTATTTCGAATCCTCGACATCATATTTGCCGAAGGTCAAGAAGCCATGTTCCGATTCGCCATAGCCTTACTAAAACGAAACCAAGACACACTACTCGCCATGCAGTTTGATCATTTACTAGAATATTTGAAAGAGGACTTGTTTGATGCTTATGCTGATAATGTGGACAAGCTGATTGCCGATGCTACTGCTGTAAAAATAACAAAAGCTAGACTAGATAAGCTGGCCAAGGATCACGAAGAAGATGTCTGGAGGAATAGTCCAGAGAGTATGGAGAGAGAGGCACTGAGAATGGAGAATAGGAGGCTGGTTGCTGAAGCTAGGAAGCAAGAGTCTATGCTAGAACAGTTGAATCGGGAGCATGGTATGTTATTCACTGATTTTTTTTGTTGAGGTGTATGATTGTGGAAACAAAAGCCGAGAACCTTTAATGTTGAAATCGCGTATAAACTGACATATGGAATCATGCACTATTAGTGCGATTGGCAACTCAATTGGTCGAGGCTCAAGTAGCAGCTGTATCAGACAAGGAAGTTATCGAAGAGCTACAAGAGAAACTGGCTGGTCTACGAGCCTTTGTCTCTGATGATCGTAATTCCGCTGAAGAGAAGGTCCGAGAGGAGATGGAATCAGTCATGCGGAAGAATTCAGCGTTAATCCAGGACGTTGCCCGCATTCTCGACCAGAAACATGCTCTTGAAGATCAGGTATGAAGTCGATCAACTATTATTTGTTTATAGCCGGTTTTGTGTTGTACCTGATCTCTTTTCCTTTGGCAAAAAGTTGGCCGATATGAAGCACAGATTTGCTCAGTCCGAAAACGAAAAGGAGGTACTGCAGAAAAGATGGGAAGATTTGAAAAAGTCGCTTACCGCAAGCTGAGATAATGGTGACCGAGTTACTTCTATTGCTGAATCATCTGATTTGTATACATTCGTTCATTGAAAGTGCTGGCCACTTAGTCATCAGTAATAAAATACAACTGTTAGATAGTAGTATACATTGAATCACTCCACTTTGATCTACCCGTCTCTACGTTTCCCCAGTTTAGGTACCGTTTTTGTGGTCGCGACCGCCACATCATCATCAGAAACCTTTAACACAGGAATCACCTGCAGTACCAATCAACCACAGAAACACATTAAGAGAGCAGGGAAATGATTGCAAATGATCAGTAATATTCAAATTTAATTTCTCATTATGACGGAGCTGTCGCTTCTGATGAGCGACCACTCGTCATTAGCAGCAAACCACAACCTGCAGACCCTGCACTCGCCCAACTTAGAAGAAGAAGGAAATCATGAAACAATGACAGGCACCATAAATCAATCCAATAATACTCATAATACTAATCACCAGTATTCACCAATCCTCCAACCATTCATCGTCTCCCAAATATTCAAACATTTACAGCATCAGATCGACAAGTACAATGCCATGCTTGTCGCCAAGTCATCATGGAGCTATGAAGGTATCAAGGCTCTGTACTCGGACTTGTGTCTTCGAACTACTCGTTTGGTGGATATTACTGGTCATCAATCACAACAACAGAGATCTGATATGCCACTGTGGTGTTTTGGTGATCGATTGAGGAAATTGAGTAATGCGATACTTGGAACTAGGACTATCAATCCTGGAGACTTGGTTTCAACACCTACACTATCTCTCAGTCTCAGAGATTTGAATGGTGGTGTTGTTGCCAATGGTGATATTAACCATGATGATGATGGTCATGATGATGGTGGTAGTAGTAGAGAAGGAAGTCAACGTAATGAACCATTAGCCAAACCACATGGTCACTACGTCAAGACTATGACCATCTTAATCTATATCCCAGATGCCTTGCCAAACGCCCATCAAATGGATGCAGACATATCTCTCTTAGCATCCTACTTGAGTGTCCCACTCTCCGAATTACTATATATACCACCACCATCCTCACCAAACATACTCCTAACAGCCCAACATGTGAAAAACGCAATAACAGGCACATGCACACTCGACTTGGCATATCTCGCACAAATCCTGCCAGTATTGAACCAAGTCGAGAAAGTATGTTGTCGTTTTGTAGTGGTGCCTCCTGATGGACTGCCCGTAGCAATCAGTAGACCAGTGCTTGAACTGGATTCGCCACAACAGCCAACGACAGATGCCATGATGAATTTTGCCAAGGTAATGCAGACTTTGCAGCCCGCTTCTTGTAAAACATTTGAAGCTGTTATTGGGGGCTGTACTCGTAGCGGTGTTTATGCCATGTTGTTGTTGAATGCGTATTCAGGGGCTAGGAAGAGAGTTGGTCTGTGTAAGTGCAATCTTACATGAGCTATACAAGCCACTTTTGCTCACTGATTTCTTCCAATTGCATATAGATCCCTTGGATTATATTCGCCCAAAAATGTTGCGTGACTTGTTTTTGTCTACAAACAATGTGGTTGATTTGGAACTCTGTCACAGGTTTGTGAGGCATCATGATATAGGATCTTTTTTTGCTCATTTTCAAACTCACACAGAAATGTCTCAACTCTCTAGGTCATTGACAGATGGCAGTCTGAGTTTATTGGCTGAACCGCTACAAAATCTTGAAAAGTTGACTATCAGTGTGGATCCACATAGCACCTCATCACAGACAGACCCAAACGTCTGTTCTATTGTATCTCAGTCACTCAATGCCTTCTTGGCAAGTCATCCAACACTGAAGTCAGTCAGAATCTATGGTGAGTGCTGGAGGTTGATATAATTCACGTAATGTAATTAGTAGCATATGTTCACGGGTTTTTGGCGGCAATATTTCCACCTTGATCTTAACAACCTAATGTTACTACCATTGTTCAGGCCTCAATGTATTGGACAAGTCGACACAATTGTTGGATGACGACATGGCAGTCCACGTATCTCAATTTGGAATCAACTTGACAACACTCTTCTTGCCAGACTGTTACTTCTTACGTGGCCAAGGAGTTTTGACAACTTCTTGGACACTTCTACAGCATTTGAATCTTGAAGGATGTATTTATGCTAGTGCACCTTTTCTTGGCTCCATAGCCAGTAGTTGCATCCATCTCGTCACAGTCAATGTATCTCATACATTATGTGATACGACGGCTTTCATCCAATTCATGAAGTGCAAGAATTTGCAAATCATGTCGGCTCGTAATTGTGAATATCTTGGTTTATCAGTCTTGCCACCATTGGTTACGGCACTTTGTCGAGCTGACGAGCCGGTCAACGTTTTTGATAACCATAGTATTGAGAAGGAAGACGATTATGTAAATGATGAGAAATACCCTTCTTCATGGATGAAGAAACAGAAAAAGAAGGCTGGCCTGGCTTCTCCTCTTGCAGGAGGCATGTTGCAGCAGCTGCAACAAATGGATTTGAGTCTATCTATAAATCCATTTGGCCAAAATACTCTGCCCAACGTCTTGACTTCGAATCTAGTCAAGGCGCTTCTATACCTGGGACGATTATGTCCAAATCTGGAACTGATTGTCGTCAAATATACTGTGGGTAGTGTAACGACACAAGATACTGCTGCCATATTACAAATCTTCAAATCATGGTATCTGAGACGTATTGACAGTGTGGTTGGTAGCCAAAGTGAAGGGATTGATGTGAAGAGCTATAGAAGGAGTTGGGACGAATTTGCTGAAATGGCAGGAATTTTGTCCTTTGAAAGGATTGATCTGACCCCACATAGTCCTGGATGGAAGATGTGGGTCGATTGGCAGGATGCTACGAATATTTTTCGCCAACAGGAACGACAAGAAGGGCGACCATCATTCGTGAATAATGGTATGATGGACCAAAAAATGGACTTGAATGCTGCTGTACTACCCATGTGGCGTAGCGCTGTGCCAGTAAATACTATTGAAGGAGCTGGAGCTGCTGCAAATATTCTGACTCAGATGAGTGGTCGATCACCACAAATCAGTGGTCTTCAAATGAATAGTGATGGCAGTCACCTGTTTATGGGAGCAAGCGCCAGTAGCAGTGTCGATATCAATAGTAGTAGTGTTGCATATTTTCAACCGGATGTACCCATTCTTCGTCTACCACCAGGTATTCCACGACTAGAATTACTAGAACAGCAGCAGCAACCACAAATGACTCTGTCGCTACAACCTCCACAATCATACCAACTGGCTTCACAATATTCTCAATACCCAACCTTACTGCCACCAATACCTGAAAACCAAATAGACCAAGGATTCATAACAACCAAACCACAATATGCCCATACAGTTCATCATATGAGTGACCCATCATCACCACCATTACCCTTAACTCGACCATCTCCTGAACAGCAGCATCAGCAGCAGCCGAAACAGAAACAGAGACAATCGTCTGATACTGACACGTATTTTTTACCACTTCCTCCTCGTGCAAGTCGACAAAAGGAATTGAAATACAAGGAGGTAGACTCTGATGCTGAAGAAGTTATGCCCATCAAGAAACTTGCTGAGTTGCGAGTAAGTTTTTGTTGAGCGACATTGACTTTTATTTGTGGGAAATTGTCTGGTCTCTCATGGATACTTCCTTTTGGAAATTACCCATATCAGCGACAAAAGGAGAAGGAGGCCACGACCAATAGCAATGGTAATGACAGTGCTTCACCATCAGCAGAAGATGAGTTTCCGTTTGCATGTGGAATCAAGGGCTGCGACAGGAAGTTTCGAAACAGTAGAGGTGAGTGCTCTTGTTAATTGGCTGGGCGATGTGCAATATCACATCTAACACCTGTTCCTCAAATCTAGCTGTACTGGTAAGCATCAGTTTTGACAACGTTTTTGGATTTGAGGTAGGAGATTTCAAAGCTGGCAGCTTAACCAACGATTTCGATTTTGGAATCGTCAACAGAGACACCGAGCTTGGTGAGTGAATTGTAACATTAGATGGATTTTTTGAGCTGATGATGCGTCTTGATGTTAGGCACACGAATCCCAGTTTTCGAAAAGGACCAAAGGTTGCCAAACGGAAGGCACCCAAATCTGAGCCCAATTGGTTTATGGTGGCTACCGCAGCTGAACGTGAAGAAAGCAACAAAGATGATGGTTCTTCTTCACCCTTGTCGGAAACTGGTGATTGCAGCTCGTGAAGTATCAGTGTTTGAGTAAATTGTGTAAATCAGTCGTAGTTTTCCTTTGTAGTTAGTTAGTAAATATCGAATACTCGTTCGTTGACCTAGTCGCGTATGACGTTGTTCCTTGTGGTTTTGCTTGAGCTAAAAACTCGTCTGAAAGTCACACTCATCGATTCTGAATTCGAGACTTTAGTTAGCAAAGATGGCAACCAAGGCAGCTACCAGCAAGGCTTCTCGAGTGTATGGACTCATGAATTCAGTGTCAGCTCGGTGCACCTGTCCTGCTCATGGACCATCTGTCCCATCATTGGCACGCACACACAAACATCGTAAGTTTGGCTCGAGGAAGCAACATGAGGCCACCGAGTCGCCATTTATTGATCATGTGCATCGTTATGAGCTGGCTGAGATGTGTATATACGTGCTTTGATGGCCGATCGGTATGCTTAGACCGACATCAAGAAGGGCGTAAGAAAGAGATGGGACATGGGATTTCACGGAGGAACTCGATTAATGATTGAATATGGGCCAACTTTTCAATTGTTTTCATACATGTAGACCCAGGATGCGCTCACGACAAGTCTGTTCGACGAGGAGCAACTACAAACGAAAAGGGCAAGACCGATTACGCTTTCGAAATGGCTGCAAGTAATATCCGATATGGACCTGGCGTAACTGCTGAAATTGGTTGGGATTTAAAGAATTTAAAGCCCAAGAAGGTGGTGGTGTTTACTGACACTACTGTTGGGAAACTATTGGCTGCTCAGACTGTGTTCCAATCACTTGAGCGAGCTGGTGTCCCTTTTGAGATCTTTGATAAAGTCAGAGTCGAGCCTACGGACTATTCATTCAAGGAGGTAAAGCTTTTATTGATTATGTTTTACCATGACGAATGAAAAGAAAATAAAATAAATTGTTTTAGGCCATTGCTTTTGCGAGACGTGTGAATCCAGATGGTATGCAGTTTTGATTTTGCAAACAGTATCGTGGGCTTCTCACTTTAGCACTCTTCGATAGCTTATGTTGCTGTTGGTGGCAAGTATCCTGACATTCAGAGTCGCTGAGCTACGAGCACTCGTTTACACCAACGTCATTTAATAGGTGGATCTGTTATTGATACCGCCAAGGCTGCAAACCTCTATGCTCACTATCCCGATGCGGACTTTCTGGACTTTGTTAACGCTCCTGTGGGCAAATCACGCGTTGTTGACCGTCCTTTGGCTCCGTTTTTTGCTAGTACGTACATACCAAAAGAAAGCCACAACATCTCGTGAAAGTACAGCCACTTTGAGATTACTCCACGCTCACCGACATTCCAAATCATAGTTCCAACAACAGCGGGAACCGGATCAGAGACTACAGGTGTTGCCATATTTGATTACTCACCAGTCAACGCAAAGACTGGGATTGCTTCAAGGGCTCTGAAACCTACTCTGGGCCTTGTGGATCCTTTAAGTACGTTTTATGGAATATGTTTGTCAGATTGTGACTCTGACATTGACGAAGGCTTTCGCAACGTGTAGATACTCGAACCGCTTCACCATATGTCCACGCCTCAGCTGGTCTGGACGTCTTGACCCATTCACTAGAAAGTTATACTGCTATTCCATATAATATGAGAAGTCCAAGGCCTGAAAATCCAAATCAACGACCTGCATACCAAGTGAGATTCACTCGTGGATTCTATGCCGATTTTGTCTGACTCAAGTGTTATCATTTTTTGCTGTGTAGGGATCGAATCCAATCTCGGATATCTGGTCATTGAAAGCTTTAAGGATGTGTGTCGAGAACTTGCCTCTTGTGTTTAAAGACCCAGGAAATACTGAAGCCATGAGTCAAATGATTTTGGCTGCCACATTCGCTGGTATTGGATTTGGAAACGCTGGCGTAAGTCTGCGTAGAATTGTTATATGTGCCCATAACAGAACCTTCTCTTATGATAAACTTTTGCAGGTCCATCTGTGTCATGGCATGAGTTATCCAATCGCGTCCTCCGTAAAAGAAAAGGCAATGAAGTACAAACATCCAGGCTACAATGTAGATCACTCCATCGTACCTCACGGTATCTCCGTTGCTGTTTCAGCTCCCGCCGTCTTCCGATGGACTGCCGCATCAAATCCAGAACGCCATCTTGAGTGTGCTGAAATATTTGGAGTGGACATATCTAATGTGAAGAAAGCGGATGCTGGTCTAGTTTTATCAGAAGCCTTGAAAAAATTCTTGTATGACTTGAAGGTTCCTAATGGAATTTCTGCAATGGGCTTTGGGAAGGATGATATCAACATGTTGGTGGAAGGTACGCTTCCGCAACATCGTGTGACTAAGCTGGCACCGAAACATACTGGTGCTGAAGAGCTTGCTAGGTTGTTTGAAGACACCATGACCATCTACTAGAGATGTTTGTAGCTTTCGCGAATAAAAACTCTAGTAGAGGTACCAAGTGGTTTTGTAAACTAGGTTTTTCTTTGTAGTCTACGAGTGTAGATCCACTCAGTCAACGTAGACGAAATCAGTAGCGCTTAACCGATTGTTCGTTAGAATGCGGAATGAAATTCGCTGTGTTACTTGAACTGTCAAAAAATTAACCCTACTTCAAAATCCAATGGATCCAACAGTACTAGCCGGACAAGATACCTCCACACGAAACGAAATGACAATCCAAAGAGGAAATCGAGAAAACTTTGCCTCGGCTGCTTTGAATCCATAGACGTTGTGGAGTTGGTGAAAAAAGGCTCAAACTGCTGCGACAAAAGAATTGCATCAAAGCATCGAAAGATCACCATGAGCCTGCAACATCCACAGAGACCAGTAAATGCAACATTGATATTCAATCGTAATACAATCTCTCCAACCATGAATGAAGATAAAGGATTGTCAGTGGAGACGCGTTTGCGTCATTCAAATGATCAAGATTCAATCGTCAAGATACTAGATGATGTCAAGGCACCACCACCGAACGATTCTGGCTTATTGCTTCCAATGAGAGAAACTATGCTTATAATGGCATCGCTCTCTGTAATGCTTTTGGTGTCTAGTATGTGTCGTATAGTGCTGGTCGTATTTTGGTGGTTGCTTTGCATCTGAACAACATAAGAAATACCTCTCATTTTGATTTAATTTTTAGTCATGGATCAAGTAATTGTTTTCACTTCCCTGCCAGGTCTGACTTGTTTGGGTTGTTGGATGGCAACTCTTGTTCACAGTTATTTTTAGTAATCGGCAGCGACCTCGGTGACTTTCAAACCATGTCTTGGGTCGGGTAATATTGTCATTATTTGAAGATGTATATCAACGTATTCGTTACTGATCTTTTTAACGTGGTCATCTTTTCAGAACGGCCTTCAATCTGGCTATGACCGTCTCATCTGCTGTATGTCCATACTCGAGGAGTCGGCACAAACCATTCTATGAGTAGGCATCAAACTCTACCTTGATACTTAGGTTCTTGGCAAGGCATCTGATTCCTTTGGACGCAGGTCGATGGTATTGCTATGCAACGTGCTTTTTATAATGTAAGAAAACCTTTGTCGATTGTTTACGTCGTTGATAATTTAACAGGCACACAAATTTAGTGGAAGTGCACTATGCGGCGCTGCGCAGAATATGCCGTGGTTGATTGCCGCAAGAACTGTTCAAGGTTTGTTCATTCGCTCCCCCATTCCGAGCACAATAATGCTGATAACCATCGATGTTTACTTCAGGACTAGGTAACCATCCTGCCACTATTCACATGCAAGAAAAATGAAAGATGCATGGAAAGCCCACCCAATGACTTATTACTGAAAAATAGGGACTGGTGGGATCTCAAGCTTGGCGTTGCTAGTCGTTGCTGATTTGATTCCACCGATCAAGAGGGGAGCGTATCTTTCACTTCTTGGTGCTCCTGGACTGCTTACTGTTTCTCTTGCGCCAATCTTCGTACGTTCATGTTGACTGCTACTGCGTCAACAGCGTTTTCGGTTGACATGGTCTCATAAACTCATCCAACTGTTATAGGCTGGCTTATGGACTGACAGAATATCGTGGAGGCAAGTGTAGCTATGAATATTCAATTTCCTCAAAGATCAAGCTGGACTAAGACTCATTTTCATTTACTGAGATGGGAATTCTACTTTACTCTCCCTCTCCTCTTCATTCCCACCGCAGTCTTGTGGTGGTACGTCCCGGAGAAACGTTCAGCTACACGTCAAGAACTCATCAAGCGCATCGATTGGATTGGATCCCTCTTTCTCATTGTATTTACCTTATGCCTGCTGGTCGCTATGGACGAAGGAAGTACAAACCGATCCTGGAGTGATCCGCTTGTTATTGGTCTCTTCTCTACATCAGGAGTTTTCTTTCTGGCTTTCTTGGCTGCTGAACACTTTGCGTATGTGTGAACGCCGACTTTCATTACCATCCCAACACAGTTGATTTGTGCAGCATGTACTTACACTCGATGTGATTCTTCTAGCTATGAACCCATTGTGTCTCTTTCGTACTTTGGGAAGCCTCAATTTGCCGGGCTGTGTATAATGATATTCTGCTATGGGTTTACATTCCTTTGTAATGGCTTCTTCATTCCCCAGTTCCAGCAAGTAGCAAAGGTAAAGGCTCTTGTCTTTCAATTCAATTTGATATCACAATCAGTCAGTTTCACACACTCCTGTTTGCATTTGTGGTTATCATAGGGATCAGATGCGACCACTGCTGGAATATACACATTGGCGTATCAAGTACCCGGACTCAGTGCCATAATCCTGTAAGTCTTTTCCAACGACTACTTCATTACGTTTGCATACACTTGTCAGACGCTTATAATCCGTTCACTCGTAGTGCTGGTATCATAGCTCAGAGAACAGGAAAAACCACCACCATACTCAGACTCACAATCCCCTTCGCTATCGTCGGATCATTCATGATGTCACAATGGCATGTAGACGTTTCTATGGGAAGTCAAATCGGCTGGCTCTTTGTAAGTCGGAATTTGATATTACGACTCGAGAAGATAATAGCTGAGATTCGGTTCATTTAGGCTGCAGGCTTGGGTGGTGGAGCGCCTTACACCATTGGATCTGTGATTGCACAAGTCACGGTTGCTGATGCGGCATCCGCTACAGCTACAGTGTTATTCCTACGGTAAATCGTCATCGTTCTAGTCAAAATCGATTTTTAATCTCATCCTTCTCGTATGAATTTAGAAACCTTGGTGGTATAGTAGGACTTGGAATAGCATCCTCTGTGCTAAACACAGTCTGGATCAACCAAATCAGCTACTTGGCTCCAGATCTGTCAGAGACGCAAGGACTTGTGCTTGGAAAAGTCTTGAATCTCAATGTAATCAAGACGCTGAGTCCTGAAACCCACGAAATTGTTTTGGATTCTTATATTCTGGCTTTTCAAGATGTGATGTATATTGTCGCTGGAGTGACCTTGATTATGTGGTTGGCTACGATCTTGTTAATGAAGGATCCAATTCTTCGTCGAACTATCAAGGAGGTCAAGTTGGAAGACGAGCCTGAAGAAGAAGACATTGAAAAGCTGGGGTTCCAAAAGGTTATGAATGGTGCAGAGGACGACGAAGTATTGAAGCTTGAGGAATGAGAGCGGCGATTGGTGTCAATAAGGTCGTAATTCACAAAAAATCTTAATAATTGGATTAGTGATAAACACAGTATTGAATTGAAATCAAATAGAAAAGCACATTTAGTACAAGCACACATCGGTTACCGTCCAAGAACCATAATCTATTTACATGCTATTACGACAAGAAATATCTACGACATGGCAAAAGCAGCCTTCAAAGCCTTCTTTTGAGCTTCTGAAAAATATGTAGGGAAGGTTGTCTTGAATGTAACCACCAACTTTCCTCGTTCGTTTGGATTTCGTGATAAAGGCATCCCTTCGCCAGGCACTTCCTTCTTGAATTGTGGGCTAAAACAAGAAATTATAAATATACTAAACTTCGGAGGAAACAAACTGAATGTGACTTACTGGACGATCTCATATACAGGAATCTTCAATAAACGACCATCCAAAGTCTCAACGTCTAGGATAGATCCCGTCAAGGCTTTTATAAGAGAAACTTCTGCAGTATAGTGCAGATCGTCTCCTTGACGTTTAAATATGTCATGTGGTGTTGTGCGAATGATGTATACTAGATCAGCTGCAGAGCAAAACAGAACGAAGAAATCGAGTTACCAAGAGTGATCGGTTAGAAACGAATTTCTGCGAGTGCACAAAGAATACCAGGAATACGATTCGGTCCTTCATCACCCTCCTTAGGAAAAGTCACTCTAGTCCCATCCTTCCACCCCTTCTTGATTTCAATGGACAGCAGCTTCTCATCCTCAGATGTAGTTACGTGATCTTCATTCAAGACACGTCGAGACACTTTGACTCGTTTAACAGCACCGTTATATAATTCTTCTAGTGTCACAAACAGGTCTGTTTCGACTGGTGAATCCTGAATGGGTCCATCACGATGGCTTGGGACTGTTGGCGCAGGGCTATCGCGAGATGCGGCAGGTGCTGTACCGGCCATGCCATGGAGGCCTCCAAATTTGGATCCGAAGACGGTAGGGCCCGTTTCAGTGTGTACGGAAAAGAAATCTAATACATGGCATTTAATATACGAACCCATTGAGTCTTTTTTTGTCCACGTTACCAGTGTATGGGTTCTTTCCACCAAAGAACTCGTTAAATGTCTCTTCGGCATTTCCATGGTATTTGTAGCCGCCGTCGTAGCCTTCAAACCCTGTTTAAGTATCTTTCGTTCAATAACCGCTAACATTTCGTGGTTTGAAAAATAAGTCCGTACCCGGCCTGCTAGGTACACCATGTGATAATCCTTCTAGGCCAGACTGATCGTAGACTGCTCTTCGTCGTGCTATTTTTATGCGAAAAGAATCAGGAATTTCTACTCGTTTATGGATCTAACCACGTCCAATCACCATTTACCGTCAGAAAGGACATCATATGCTTCAGAGACCTTGACAAATTGCTCTTTAGATGTCTCTCCAGCCTTTTCTGGATGGTATTCTAAGTACAGAATCACGTTTTGGTGAGCGGGCGCAATGTACATCGAAGATCACGACGACCTCATAAGTAAAACTAGCAGCTTACTTAGAGCCAATTTGCGATATGCCTTTTTAATCTCATCGCGGTCCGATTTTCGTTCGAGACTAGGGATGAGATCAGGTTAGAACGACGATAGAAATATTTTGACTTTCTTGAACTCAAATGCGTGAAAGAGAAAGGTAGAAGAGAACTTACCCAAGAAGAGCATAGTAATCGGTTACTGGCATGCTGGCAAATGATGCAGTGCCACTCCTTTACTTGTTTGTTCTAAAATGCAGGCAAAGGAAGCCAAGATGGCAAACAAGAGGGTGGATTCAAGGTTTGCATTCGTACACAGATTACGATCAAACTTACCATGGGACAACCGCGAGCTGTGAATACTACGCGGCAACATTCGCTTGTAATGACCTGATAATACTTTATATTATATGCTCTATCTCGTACAAACACGTCATTTTGACTTGCCATATCTTTTCTTCATTTTGGCAAGAACGTACTGCCAGCTTCGTGACAGTCCACCTGTCAGTATACCTTTAATAGATTGTGTAAGTGCCGGCCACCAAATGGTTTCAGCCAAAGCTAAAACAAGGAAAGTTGTTTATCACGTATGCTTCCACAACAAGAGGCTTGCGTTCACCTTTTTGGGTATATAAAGACAATTCCGGCGACTCAGCTATGGACCTAGAGAAGTCTGGTTCGCCTTGAGGCGCTTGATTTTGAAGTCCAGCTCGCGAGAGATACCACCTGTGATGGTGTCGAATTCGGTCAAGAAATCGAGGCGGAAGCTGTTGCAGCATGATTCCCTTCAACTTGACATCTTCGTCTTGCTAAAAGACTTGAGAATGTAAGCAACATCCAAAAAAAAAGATGCAAACACTCAATGGCCCATACCTGAAGTTTATCATCATAGGCATATGACACGTTGGGAAGATTCTCTACAACAGGCTTATACAGATCCTGTAATTGAGAGAACTGGCCATGGACGATATTATACACTTTGCGTGGGTTCTCTCCCACACTCATCCTGAAATCACCTACAGGCAACAAAGGATTTACTGGAAAGCATCGCTATATGCTTGACATCATGCACCAACGCACCATGATATGATAATGCAACAATGGTGAGGAACAGGTCTTCTTCTGTAAACTCGTGAGGTAGAAGAAGAAGAGCAGTTCGAACAGCATTCCTCAAGTTTTGCTGATTTGCTAGACTCACACGAGCATCATCTCGTAAGACGGCAAGCTATGGCGACTGTATGTGAGTCTTTATATCATATGATGGACACTTTTTGGCTTGTCCATACAGGTTTTTGCATTCGTCCAGCAACATATAACGTTTCCCAATACTTTAGATCTTGTAATAGCGTCTCCATAGAAATGACACCATACTTGATCCTCTATAACGAGGCAAAAAAGACTAAGCTTCGTCTGCCATGCCCAAGTCATAAACCCTCTTACCACTCCATTGACTGTGACATCAGGATTGTAGTATAACCCAGCACCAAACCTTTCCTGCAGCACAGCAACAGTTCTGCTTCCAAGATTGGCGACCACCGAGTAATGATGGCGGTGTTGTCGAATGTTTAGAGAGTGCCAATGTTCAGGATGCGTGACTCCAAATATGAAATCGATCATACTGTTTTCCTGGAGTTCACGGCAAGGAAAAGAATTACTAAAAGATAATAAACAGATATAAATATGAGCCAACCTTCTTCGTTTCCTTTTGAGGAAACACAGCCGACCCGTACGCAACAGCATAACGAATTGGAGCATCAAATGTTTTCAGTATTTCAGTGAATGGGTCCAGATTCGCGTGTATAGCAGTAGCAGATGGTACAGAATAGTGGCGACATGATCGTATTCGTGCCAATTTACCCCAGACACGTACAGTTCCTTGCATTCTAGAAAAGCAAACGTGTGAGCTTCAATAATCAAATATACAGAAAAGTGCGGTAAGGAAGCGGTACTTTAAAGCTATAACAAGGCACAGACACAGCCTATATATATCAGAAAAGTAAGCCCCTAGTTAGCTTATTCCGTTTGTTTCTTGTTGTTGTAAGTGTGTGTTGAAGGAATCAGACACCAAAACATGAATTTGTAGGGAGATTCGTACGTGATATTCAGAGCCAATGTCTTCTGCGAATGTCCACTCCTTCATCAACTACGAAGAACGAACGAAGAGTATGTGCCTTTCAGGTATATTGATGAACATCTATCACTCATCATCTTTCATAGTAGCAACTCGATCCAGAGACCATTACAAGGCTTCGGACGGTGTACAAGACAATCAAAACTATAGAAACAGTACTGATCAGCTCACCAGTCACTTTGGATGATGTATCTGATCGACGCCAGTGAGTGTATTTTGTGCTGGTGTTTTGTCCTTGCTCACACGCTCGTGTTTTTACAAGGTTTGTACTAGCTTGCGAAGAGCTCATATGCACCGATTATGAGCTAGCATGCAAGTATGAGATCGAAGCTAAACTATGGAAGACCGGAGTCTATCCACTGGTCGAAGCATTTCGCAACATGGCTCAACAATCATCATCGGATCGAATGGTCTTTGATGAGTTTACGTGTCAAGCAAGACGAGTTTATCAGAATATAGTACAGTGCTTAAAAGCATTACGGCCTACAGGTGGTGCTAATACTACAGAGCCACTCGAATGGTACAAGGGCTTAGGCTGGTTGGGAGATCTAGCTAGGTACAGAGCAATGTATTTATACAGATCACGGCCCTCTTCTGCTGGAGCTTCAGATCCGAATTCCGAGTCTAGTAGTGCCATTACGATGAAGCAACAAGGAGAGTGGATGGAAGCCAAACACATGTACGATAATGCTGCCCTCTTATCACCAAATAATGGCTTGTATCATCACCAGATGGGCCTTGTATCTGTGCAAATGGATCTAATGGTCCCGGCTTTGTATTATTACATGAGGTCGCTGACTGTAAAGTCACCATATGTAGCTACCAAGGATAGTCTCATCTCACTCTTCCAAATTGCTGAGAAGAGACGTAAAGCAGCAGCATCTATAAATCCTGATGGTAAAAAGGAGGCTAGTGGTAGCAGTAATAGTACGAGTAATGGTAGATCTGCTGGTAAAAGTAGCAATAGTAAAGAATCCAAGGCATCAAACAGGAAGAAGCCACCGAAACGAACAAGACCACCTAGCCCAGCAGAGATGGATGGCTTGTTTATACGACTACACGAAATCCTACATACAAGAATCAGTCTTGATTTGTTTGACGAGTGTAAATCAGAACTCGTTGATGCCTTACGTGGTCAGTTAGAACGTAAATCTTCACCACTAGATGGTCGCTGGTGGTTGCAAGTAGCCATTTGTAATATTGCTCGAGTTTGGTTGTTGGGAACACCGCCTCATGATAATAATGTGTCGATTCAAGTAGCATCAGGTCATTCAGTGGCCTTGTTATTAGAAGTAGCACTAGTAATATTAGCTCACATGTTATCAGATGCGGAGAAGGAGGCGACGCCGACAGTATCGGATAGTAAAAGGTTTGATTCGTCATCCACCATATATCTAGAATTGTTGCTTGTCTTTCTTGTCAACTTGAATGCTGAATGGAGATGCAACGTAAGGCCTAGCATACGGTTCTGGAAATCCCTAGCCCAGCTCGGCAACACTATATCTGTAAATTTATCAGCACTACCATCTAGTAATATCATACCGAGTCTGGCTTACGATTGGGAAATGAGAGGATTCACTCCATTCCGAGCCACGACCCATTCGACTAAACGGTTTGAAATGTGGCTAGTAGATCACAGTATCTCTTTTGATCAAGTTGTAGAAGATTTGATGACTGAAGGTAGAGCTTTTGACACCCCAGTGATAGTAGACAATCAGACATCCATAACCCACATGAACAAAGACATTAGCAGTAACAATCACGGCAATAAGACTACATCCAATGACAATCAAGCAGAAGTAGATCAGACACCATCCAACGTTAGTCAAACGCCAGCAGTAGAGCAAACATCTAGTAACAGCATCAATCCTCAAGTAACATCACAACAGCAAGGCATCGGTAAAGAAGGCCGTATTCTATGGCTGATGGTTCAGCTATCCAAGAATTGGTCTGAAGCGTTTAGTTTGGTTGATGATCAATTTAGTTATACTGGTCCTGAAGAAGACCAGCTTGATACTAGTGTTGGCCGTAAAGCTAGAAGCTCGGACGAAGAGAACGAGTCTCAAGACGATGAAGATAGTGATAGGGTAAGTGTTTGGAATTGGAAATGGGAGAGATGTCAGTGGCTGTCAGAAGCCATTCGAGGGACAGGATTCCTTTTTTCCCGTTTGGCAAGGAAATCAGATTGAGGAAGTTGAATCATGGGAATCATTTGGAAGGAGGAGTCTTGTACTCGTGGTGGTACCTATACAGAAATTGCAACCCTAGGTTAAAAATGAGAAAACATGAAAACAGCAAAATGTCAATTTTGATGGATTTAGCAGTGTCGGGAGGGTCGGCGATGAATGACACAGCTGAATTGACGACCGAGTGGGCTGGGAGATTGTGTTTCGAAAGTCCGTCTAAGGATTCTAGTCCATTTACGACTACTACTTCCTTCGCTCCCTAGCTCACAACTCTTTTCTTTCATTGTAGGTCATGAGAAATAGCACTCGTCCAGTGAAGGCCAATCCTATGCGCATCAAGAAGGGAGTGACGACATTGGTATTCGATACAAACTGTTGGCTGGCGGATTTAGCGTGGATTCAGATTTTGGTAGCTGATTCATGGCAGATCGTCGTACCACTAGCTGGTAAGTATAGTCAATTTAAATCTATAGTCAATTTAAATCTACCGAAGACCCTATTGGAGGAACTGGGAGGTTGCCTCAAGCTGGGTGAAGGAATCGTCGACTGTGGTGGCAACAGCCTATTCTATATATTCTATGGCTGACACTATCATGCTTTGTCCTATAGTGATTACTGAATTAGATGGTCTCGCTACTGGTAAAGATCGACAAAATAACTCGGGAGCAGCAGCAGCCGCCTTCACATACCTCGATTCCTACTTCAACGCACAAACATCGAGAAGAAACATAAAAATCATGACGAGCAGAGGAAACTATCTCCCGGACCTGAGTATTAGAATGGAATCATGGGCTGGTGATGAAAGAGAGTTGAATTCCATGGATGATGTTATTTTGTACACGTGTCGTCAATTGCTGTCGTTGAAGAGTGGAGGCAGTGGGACTACGAGTCATACTGGTGTACTATTGGTGACAAACGATGGTAATTTGAGGCTGAAATCGCGGGCCTCTAATCTGGAAGCACTCCGAATGGCTGAAGCAAAAAAAGCCATCAAGACCTAGTAGAAGCCGTGTAGTTTCGTGTCAATACAACAGTTTTCTCGTGTTTTCTTAACTTGTAAACAGTTTGACAAGGTTGAGAAGCTTTCTTTTCGTGCTGACCCACCTCCTGTTGCAAAAAACATGACCCACAACCTGTTTTTTTTCGACGTCACAAGCCGGTTCCAAGCACACACAACAAAGACTTTTTTTGCCTTGAGAGCAGTCTTAATTTCTGCAAGAAGGCCAATATATATATATTACTACCAAAAGCTGCGTATCGTATAAAAAGTAGGCTCGACTCGCACTGGAGGGTCATATCAAAAAACTATGCTCACTGAACAACAAACAATCGAAACCAAGAAGACCTCCATGATGGTGACTCCATCTCCTCCCGTATCTCCTGTAAAGTCGAACGGCAGCATGGCCCACAAGAACGGCAATCATGATTCATCTGATGCACATGCACATGTGTCAACTCAGGAAGCTATGGATCTGGAAAGTGAATATGCTGCTCACAAGTAAGTCTACATTCAATCTCGATCCCTTTTTTCTCGCTCTCTCGCTGTCGCTGCAGATCAAAGCTTGTTTCGACGTGGGTTGTGCTGACTTTGAAAATTATTTTTTGCTTGTAGCTACCATCCAATTCCAGTAGTCTTTGCGCGTGCTAAAGGAGTCAATGTTTGGGATCCTGAGGGCAAGAAATACTTGGATTTCTTATCGGCCTACTCGGCTGTCAATCAAGGTATGTTGTGCTCGAGGTCCGACACCTGTTACTCTGTCTAAACCTCCTTTTTCTCGCCTATAGGTCACTGTCACCCAAAGATCGTGCAGGCTTTGACTGATCAAGCCAGTAAAGTTGCTTTGAGTTCTCGAGCGTTCTATAATGATGTGTTTGGTCGTTATGCCAAATTTGTGACTGAGGTGTGTGTGTGTCATGTGTTATTGCAGGATCTGAAAAAGAATCGAGGTATTGAAACGTACTTTCCTCATTAGTATTTTGGATTCGATATGGTGTTACCTATGAATACTGGTGCTGAAGGTGTTGAAACCGCATTAAAGCTCGCTCGAAAATGGGGTTACATGAAGGTATTATAACATTGCGAGGAACGGTGGTCGCTTTTTGGTGCTTTTCAACCCTGACACGCTCTCCTCTCACCTCCCAACAGAAAAAAATCCCAGCTGGAAAAGCAATAATTCTATCAGTCACAAACAACTTCCACGGCCGCACCATATCCATCATATCCATGAGCACAGACGAAGACGCAACCAACGATTTCGGTCCATTCGTACCGCAAATCGGGTGTGTCTGTCCAGTCACTGGTCGAGCAATTCGTTATGATAATCTAGATGATTTGGAAGCTGCTTTGAAGGCACATGGACATCATGTTGCTGGCTTTTTGGTTGAGCCTATTCAAGGAGAAGCCGGTATCATTATTCCTAGTGATGGGTATTTGAGCAAGGCTTACGCATTGTGTAAAAAGTATAATGTCTTGTTTATTGCTGATGAGATTCAGTCTGGGCTGGGACGTACAGGTATGAGGAGTCACGAGTACATTATTGTAGATAGTGTCATTTTGTCTGCATACCATAAGGTGCACGTATCTCACTCTTACTCAATGCTCAGGCAAACTATTGGCTGTGGACCATGACAATGTAAAACCTGATGTGTTGATTTTGGGCAAAGCACTTTCTGGCGGAATGTATCCTGTCGCTGCTGTTCTAGCAAACAAGGATGTGATGCTCTGTATCAAGGCTGGAGAACACGGTTCCACTTATGGTGGTAACCCATTGGCTTCTGCTGTTGCTATTGCGTCATTGGAGGTGTTGAGGGATGAGCATATGGTTGAGAACGTGAGTCCTTTGAAGACGTTGTCGGGGGTTTTTTTCTCTCCGATTTCTGACTGATGCTAAACTTTTCGTTAGGCTGATCTCATGGGTCGCAAGTTCCGTGACGCATTGATTGCTATGAAATCACCGCTTATTCAGACTGGTATGTGCTTGACACTACACAGATAGTGATGTCAACAGCAATTTTTTTGCACAGGGGTATCTAACACAATTCTATCACAATTACTAGTTCGTGGCCGAGGTCTCTTGAACGCCATTGTGATTGACGAAACCAAGTCTGACAAGACTGCATGGCACGTCTCTCTTCTTCTCAAGCATTATGGTTTATTATGCAAGCCCACGCACAGGACAATTATCAGATTGGTATCAAATGGCGTTCCTCGATATTTTTTGGCCGTGATTTCTAACACTTCTTTTCTAGGCTCCTCCTCTCTGTATCACTGAAGACGAACTGAATGAAGGAATTGAAATCATTCGACGTGTATTTACTGAAATCCCCAACATGAAAATCGAAGACATACCTGGTCATGACTATTAATTGTGGTCCTTCTTGCTTGTTCTGTATCGTTTGGAAAGAAATACTACTTTAGCTTTCACGAATCTTTGGAATCATTCGATTTTATGCATTTGGGTTTTTGAATGTGACTTTTTTTGTTTCTATGTTGTCGTGATTTGTACCCGTCGCTAACAAAAGTGCGTAGAACTATCATCCGTCCACGTAGGTGAACACCTGCGCCGAAGGCGGTTAAAGGTCAAAATTGGGTATTTTCATTGATTGGTTCCTCCCAACTAGATCTCGTCTACCTCCATCTCAACACCCAACACAGCACGAATTCACAATTTCCTCTGCTAGCGGCACATGTCAATGAACAGAGGATGACACCGTATATACAGCAGAACACGAATTAGAATTAATTTGTTGCTCGTCGGCTCGATCAGCATTGGAGGACTACTGCCAGATCAATCTGCCAAGTTGATGCTTGTTGCTACCAGCAACCCGAAGCAACTGACAGTCAACGGCACAGCCCTCTCGCGAGTCTGCTGCCACTCCCGTATGATCCACCTATTATACATTGTGTTCATGTTGATGACAGAAATGTTGATGACTTGAAGAGTTGAAAAAATTGAAAGAGATGAGGGCAAAGATGTTATTATGGATACGTGATTATGGAGCTATTACGTATGAAACTATGTGGATTTTAGATCGGAACCGTGACACGTCAAGACAAGGATCCCATGCCGAGAGCCGTCCCAGGTCTCCTTCAATTCGTCGACGAGTTTGCCAAAGTACCAGTAAGTCACTACGGACTCGCCATTTACAACGAACGATTCCCACAAGTACGACGATAACGCCTCCGATTTTTTCAGAGCCATCAGTAACGTCACCTCATCAAAGCATCTCTCGACACTGATCTGGCCAGTACCTCACGCGACATCATGAATTTTGGCCAGAGTTTTGAGTACTGTACGGTCGTCAGCACCAGCAGCTGCATACCTCGTCGAGCTGCATCGATTTCGCCATATAATTTGCAGCTATCACCTTCCTCACATCGCCAATATTGGCATCCAGTACCCGCTTGAGCATCGTGATAAACCATCTTGTTCTGTTCAGCCTGGCCATCAAGCCACTTTCGTCAAGGCTTGTTGACTCTCGATATCGATGCATGAACTGTTTTATATTGACTTCTGGTGGATTTGCTACTAGGTGATATGGGTGACATAGTTTGTATTTTTGTGTCGAATGCTCTGGGCAACACTCACCTGATGTTGAGCAGCTGTAGATTTCTGGTACCGAAACTACTCGCTACTCTATTTAATCTCTGAGGATGGACTACCGGTCCAGGTGGAGCTGGTAGCAGTGGTTGGGGCAAAGCTGGATTAGGTGGTGGTGTTTTGATTTGAGCTCGAACACCTGCGTCGTTGTTGCCATTGCTAAATCGAGCACACAATTCTACAACAGACCCATAAAACTTTGAGAAAAGAACGTGCGAGAGATAGACACGCGGAAATCACCTGAATTCTCACGGTACATTGAGCATAAGACTCTCCGGATATTTAAATACTCTGTAGAAAACAGGACCTACTCACTGCCGCTGCACTGCCACCGATGCTCTTTTTCAGTCGGTTCTTGGCAGTTAGTGACAATACCAACTTCTGTGCCCACAACAATAATACAGGCTCACTAAACCTATCAAGGGCTTGACTTTCACATTTGCCTTGTGGTTTACAAATAGACAAGAATCGGTTCCCATAACCTAAACTCGACGTCCCCACAACAGTCCCACGTTCAATAACATAAGCCCATAATGAAATCTGATGTCCGATGTCTCGGGCTTGTTTCTCGAGCCAAAGCTGGATGTCACTGACATGTCCATCAACTACCGAACACGAATCTCGACAAGAAAAACTAAGATCTCATATCAATTGGATAGATTCCCGGTTTTACACGCCGTTTCCACTGTTGCAACAGTGTCTTCTAACTTTACAGCTAACTTTTGAGGATGGCAAGTAGGTTTGTGAGGATGTTCATGCAATCGTTCTTGTTTCCTTATCGTCCTTGCATGCATTTAAAATTTCAGATAGTGCTATTAATGGATCATATTCTATACACTGAATCGTCCACAAGCAAGACACATACAGCAAACACAAAACGAAACGATAATTTCCAGAAATGAAATAATCCTTCAATGCATATTTGAATTCCCAAAATGACCGCGTAGCTAATGGAAGATGTAGTTTTCGTTGGTCTCAAGCATAAATGTTGTGAATTTTGAGGATTAAAATGCTAAGACCCACTTTTATACACCCAACATCCAACAGTACCAATCACCAGTTTCTTCTGAATGGCAGCATATCAGTGAGCCGAGGAGCTGCGAATATACCAGTCGGCAATTCTAAACGAGTATGAACTCGATCCTCCGGCTCAACGATAGCTTCCAAATCAGCGACTCGACGCTCCATGCGGTATAGACTATGTTTTGGCATTGAACGCTTAAGCTTGCCAAGATGACTGCCACAGTTGTTCGCAACTGAGCAGCTCAAAGTCACAATACGACCCTCTCTTGAGTCTGTCGTCCTCCCCGACATTACCTCCGTATGATACCATTGTGTTGGCATAAATGTTTGGTTGCTGGGAAATTGAAGAAAAGAGGCTGAAGAAAAGCAGCAGACCAATACAAAGCGTACCTGAAGAGGTCATTATCGCACGCCAGACTCATGGATTTCGTGTCGAGACTGGTAATTGAGATACCATGTCTGTGACGCGCGGTGCGAGATGTCCTTGATGACCTGACGCAGATTGCAATGTACGAGACAGATAGCTTTCGTGACGGCTGCGTCTGACTGACAATCGAATTCACGTACCGCTCTACCTCTGTGTGACTTCTTTGTTGGATTGGGCGACTGTCAGATTGCTCAACATTTTCAATGACACATTTCGATGAACTTTGGCAACAAAGGAACTGATGAAAAGAGGGGTAGATTTGCAGAGTCAGTTAAATGACGGTGTAAAGCTCACACGCCACGTCTCTGTCTGCCAGTGAGCTGGTCAATGGGCGAGGAATAAAACCTTGCACTTTGCGTTGACTGGATGCCCCGCAGCCAGGTTACGAATATTAGTTATTTGGCCTTTTCAAATTCTGTATGTTTTATGCGAGATCGTACATGTCGCATCGCAAAGCGTTTGGGGCAAGTTTCTACAAAAAATTGTTTCTGATTTACTCTATATGATCGTGTTTTTATGTCTATACAACCGACTTACAAAAGAGGGTATAAGGCCAAACTTCTGTAAGTGGCTATCGGCCAAAGGCACTTAAAGCTTCACAATTGGGCAGTTTCATTGATTGAGCCTCTCTCAGTTTAACGTCATCTGCCCTCCATAATCCTCTCGCCGACATGATCTTCTGCCTCTGGAATTCGCGTTCGTTCGAGCATTGTATTTGAAGATTCCTATAATTCGGAGGGTTGGTTAGCAAAGACACTGACAGCTCACAATTGGTATAAAGTATCCCAAAAGGCGCGATCCCAAGATGACACGACCTTTGCATACAGACGGCGAAAACCCCTTCATACCTTAAATGATGGTATTCGACAGCATCTTCAACTTGCCGTATCTTGCGATTCCAATCACGTTCATTGACATTAGGCTGTTTCACAAATTTAGTAGGTTCTACCCAATACGGCACACTATGAGCTGCAGTGGCCCTCTGTAATGAAAACTGTGATGTTCTCGACAATGAGAACATGTTTTCAGGTGCAGATCCAATACCACTTGACATAAAGTTGGATAATATCGAGAATAAGAATAGGGCAATTAATGGCAAAAAGGATAAGAATTGGGTCAGTCGAGTGGGCGGTGGTCCATTATGTTGCTGTACGTTCTCTTGATGGTAGCGTCGTTGATTTGGGAAGCGTGTACGGTATTGTCCAAATGGTGGTCCTCCATTTCCAAACGAGTATGAGCGGACGCCTATTCCACTACCAGCCATCTCACCAAAGAACATGTTGAATAGATCTTCTGGTGATATTTCGGATTCAAAGTCTCGATTCTGGAATCCTGCCATTGGGTTTGCGGCTGCTGCTGATCGAGAGTCTGAATCGATACCATATCTATCATATCGTTCTCGTTTTTGGACATCTGACAGTATTACATACGAATTTCCAATTGCTGAAAGCGATGTAACAGTGTGAGGACAGGATCAAAACAACTGTTCGACGACCAAATTCATACCCTTGAAAGCCTCATCCGTTCCTGGAGCTCCACACTTGTCTGGATGAAAGAGGAGTGCCAACTAAGGTGATTTGGTTTGTGAGATACAGAAAGTCTGAGATTCTTTTTGAGCAAAGAGTCGTTTCTGCCACAATCGACAAATAATTTCCAAAGTTTAAAGACACCTCCACATTGTTCAAACATTGTGCATAAGAGCACAGACATATCATATGCGACTGTTCTACACCCATCGATAACAAACCAAACGGCAGCTCATCGAGACACTCCAACATCATGTTCGACATACGCAACGTGAAGAGGTTGCAAAAGGTGCCTGCCTACCTTTCGATAAGCCTTCTTGATCTCATCATCTGTACATTCACCCTTCCTTAGACCCAACACAGCGTACAAGTCACCTCTTGATCGACAATCTTTAATCCTCTTGATTCCGTCCACTTGTTCCTTTGTATACGATTTGCCGTTTGCATTGGTCGATGAAGATGAGGTGCTAGTGGGCGTACTACTAGTATTATTACCACTATTAAGGCTTTCGCTCGAGGTCGAGTTGAATGTTGGTCGTTTTCTTGTCGATGATGATGATGAGTCCTCCATATTGTCACTATGAGTGCTATTGCTTCGAGAGGGAGTTCCATTCGTGGATTTGGTCAGAGACTCGAGAAATTCCAGCCATTTATGGGCTTCTTTATTCTCTTCTGCGTCCCCAACCAGATTCAATGACTTTTTGCACAATCTGATGGCCTTTGCTGTATCATGTTCCGACTCGAATGCCTTCTTGGACATATCCAGGCATTGCTGGCTAGCCTCCTTATTCATCCTGATATTTCTATCTATGAGGTTTATAAGCTGGGATTCACATAAAATGCACGAAGACGATGAAAATGTGAGGTTGGCTCGAGATGTGTGTGAAGCGACGGAAGTCTTGGATACGCGTTACGATTTAATTGGAAAATTATTCAATTCTCAACGACGCCCTAAGCAGCTGAAGATTGTTGAACCGAAGCTTGACAGTACTGTTTTTGGTGGTGATGCAGCACCTGTTTGATGGCAACAGTAGAGACATCCAGTGCATGATATAGCGTGTATTCAAGTAGTAGCAGAGGCCAACGTGAGCTTCAGTAATATTTACATTTGTAGCAACTGACCAGCAATTGCTGGCAATCGTCCCTCAGAACAACATGCACAGAGTGCAACAATCTATGAGACCGACACAGCACGACACTGAAAGATGAAAAGTTGCGATTAATACCAGACTGTGCAATCCATCGAACTTTCCCTCATCACTTACAGCATGCGCAACAGCCACTCAAGATGTAGGGACGTGGATCCGGGTGCTCTTCTTCATTGTGTTTCCGCGATGGCAATCGTGCCTGTTAGGGAGCTCTACTATTCTAATCCTAAAATAGCAGCGACAAGACACGATCACTAAAGTTTGGTTCTTAAGCAAAACACGACAAGACAAGATGGCAGTTATAAGCAGATATATTGAATGCAGAAAACAAAAGAAGAATCCAAACTATTTATAGTCTTGGATTACAAATCATTTCTAATACTACGTGTTTGTCAGTGACTAAAGCATATGATCAACCAATATGTCTGATCTAGCACTTTCTATGAATACAGCTTCAATTTCATAACATCATGCCCCCTTAATAGGATTAATCTCATCTTAGATTATATCCTTCTGATATCAATGTTTACTTGAAGATTCTTGTTGCCTATATCTGTTGCGAGTCATCATTCCTTTCACAGGCGCTTTCTCTTTATCGATTGGTTTAGCTTCACCTTCCTTAGGGCTCTGTTTAGCTTCAGTTTTCCTTTGTCGAGTGATTGGCTTGTCCTTATATGTGCTACCACTATGACCAACGCCTTGAGCAGCGTGTTCATCATCATCAGATAAACTGTACTCTGATCCTTCATCACTGGAAGAGTCAGATTCTTCCAAATCCTTAACTATCTCAGCAGCTCGAGGCATCTTTGGATTTTTACGATGAAATTCTTCGATTTCATTCTTCCAGGCTTGCATATTGTCGTAGCTCTCCCAAGATGGAAAAACTTGAGCTGAGTTCCACTGTACCAGATACTGCACGTGATTATTCCGTCGTTCCGACCTAATTATGTTTCGTAGCTGATGTTCCGGTTCTACACCATCTAGCAAGATTGTTGGCTGAGTATCTACTTGTCCTCGAATATTACTATATGTGTATGGCTCCAATAACGAGACATGTACTATCGGGTGGATGTGTAATGCTGGTGGTAGATCTAAATGAAAAGTTACTTCATTGATCTTTTCCTTGATCCTAAAGGGTCCTATTTTCTTATAATCTAGTTTCAGACTAGGCCTATCCGAGGCTAAATTCTTCGTGTACATCCAGACTAGATCTCTTTCTTTAAAAGGATGATCCATTCGCTTCTTGTTGGCATATAACTTAGCAGACTCCTGAGCCCTGTGCAGCTGTTCCATTATTTTAGAATGGATAATCTTCATCCTGGATTCTATATCCATGGCTTGCGGGTTCTCGGATTGATCTTCCGTAGGTGTGGCGGTCAAAAAGTCGGCCTTAGGGTGAAATCCGTACAAAGCGAAGAAAGGCGTTTGGCCCGTGCTTTCACTTGTGGCATTATTATAAGCAAACTCGGCAAACGGTAACAAGTCTACCCAGTCTCTTTGTTCATATGAGCAAAAGCATCTGAGATACTGTTCCAGGGTTTGATTTACTCGTTCGGTTTGACCATCGGTCTGTGGGTGATAAGCCGTGGAGAGTTTAACCTTAGTTTCCAAGATTCTAAATAGAGATTTCCAGAATGCTGACTTAAATTGTGGTCCTCTATCTGACACTATTTCTTCCGGAAGTCCCCGTTGGCGGAAGATGTTGGTAAAGAATAACTCAGCCGTTTCTTGAGCCGTGATTGATTCTTTACAAGGTATAAAGAAGGCGTTCTTTGTGAACCTATCTACTACTACCAGAATAGAATCCAAGTTCCGTTTCCTTGGCAGTTTTACTATAAAGTCTAATGATATAGATGCCCATGGCTTGGTTGGTATGGGGAGTGGTACTAATAAGCCGTATGGCAAGTGCCGTGACACCTTATTACGTTGGCATGTTTCACATCCTTTGACGTAATCCTCCACATATTTCCACATTCCAGGCCACTGAAACTCCTTAGCTATGGCTTTATAGGTTTTACTAATACCAAAATGACCAGCAGCTTTTGAGTCATGACGTTCTCTGAGGATCTCTAACTTTCTATGTTCGTCTATGACGGTCTCTCGCCAGTCGATATCAGTAGTTGATAAGAGCAAGAAGCTGTCATCTTGAATTATTTGAAATTGCATATCTGCAAATTTCTCGGGTTGTATCACGACCTGTGTCTTACGTTCCGAATCTTCTTCCCCCGTTAAAATGAAGTCGCTCCGTCGACTTAGAGCATCTGCAGCAGCATTTGCCTTCCCGGGCCGATGGACTAGATAAAAGTCAAACTCGGCTAGATAAGCGGCCCACCGGGCATGACGAGGAGTAAGAGCTTGCTTCTGAGCAAAGTACGTGAGGTTTGCGTGATCCGTGAGTATCTGGATTGGCATTTTAGCACCTAATAGATATGCTCTCCATTCTTTTAGTGCAAATATTATAGCCAAAAGTTCTTTATCATATACGGAGTAGTTCCTTTCAGCAGTCAAAAGTTTCCGCGATACAAAGGCAATCGGGTGTGGTCTCCTATTATCGGTTTGTAGCTGACTGAGGACAGCTCCTATTGCAAAATCCGAGGCATCGGTCTCCACTATAAATGGCCTTTCGTAATCAGGGTGTACTAATACTGGTTCTGACATTATTAAATCACGTAGTGACTTAAAGGCTAGATCCTCTTTATCTGTCCAGATAAAAGGCGTCTCCTTTTGACTCAGATCTGTCAAGGGCTTCGCTACCTTGGCAAAATCTTTGATAAACCGTCGATAAAAATTGGCAAAGCCAATAAACGACTGAACCTGTTTTAAATTTACCGGTGTTGGCCATTCCGCTACAGCCTTAACCTTAGAAGGCGCCATGCGGAATCCTTTAGAAGTAACTGTTACCCCCAAGAACTCTACTGATCCGTGGTGGAATTCACATTTATCCAACTTGGCAAATAGGTTTTCGTCTCTTAGACGCTGTAAGACGAGGCGCACATGTTGTACGTGCTCGGCTTCATCTGCAGAGAAGACTAGGATATCATCCAAGTATACCACCACGAAAACATCCAAGAAATCGTGTAGCACCTGATGAATTAACCTCATAAATACAGCCGGGGCATTGGTAAGTCCAAACGGCATGACCTTATATTCGTAATGTCCATAGCGGCACCTGAAAGCCGTCTTATGTTCATCACCTGGCTTGATTCTTACAAGATGATAAGCGGACTTCAAATCTATCTTGGTGAAAATACGACTGCTACTAAGCGTATCCATTAACTGCTTAGTCAGTGGTATCGGATACCGGTCTCTTACCGTAATTTCGTTTAGATCTCGGTAATCCACACATAATCGTTTCGTCCCGTCCTTCTTGGGTACGAAAAAGACTGGAGCTCCAAACTGAGACTTAGATTTCTGGATGAATCCCTTAGCTTCCATATCTCGTACGTAAAGCCGTAACTCCTCGGATTCATCGTGAGACAGATGATAAATCCTCTTCATTTGAGGTAATTTAGCATCATGAATTAACTCGATTCCACAATCGAATTTCCTATGTTCGGGCAATATATCGGCCTTTTCCTTAGAAAAGACGTCCGAATAATCCCTATACTGTACTGGAATACCCATACTTTCAGATATAACCAAGAATGAATCTGTTTTCCCATCTACCAGGGTGGATCGTAACACTGTAATACGATTACTAATTCCCTTGGGAACACAGGAGTTTTGGCAAGTTGCTGACTGGAGTACTATAGTGTCATCCGACCAGTCTATAGTAGGATTATGATATCTCAGCCACGGTCTGCCCAAGACAAGAGGTACTCCTGGGGTTTCTGCAACTCCAAGACATAAGGTTTCTACATGATTTCCGATCTTAAGTGTTACAATACATTCCCGAGTAACGGTACAGAAGTTTCTCCCATCAGCGCCACGGAGTTGTTTGACATAATCTGCTGGTGATGTTTCCAGATTCCAGATCTTTACAGCGGCACTGCTTATGAGGTTGTTGGTGGACCCTGAGTCTAATAATGCTTCCATACTATGCCAGGAATTGTCCTTATTAGGGGTTTGTGATATTATAACCGGTAGAGCGAGACAAGGAAATGACTTTAATGAATGAGGTGGTTGATGTTTATCGGATTTTTGTGGGTTTACGGTGTTCGGATCTTTAATGACTAATGAGTGGGAGGTGAATTCGTTCGAAATATGTAATTTAGCTTTATCGGGAGGTAGCCCTTCATCTGGCGTCGACTGACGGGCATGAATCATGCCGACGCCTTGCCTTTTAAATTACTTTTCCTTTGGCCGTTGGCAGATAAATCCTTTTTTGGACACTTGTTCGCTTGATGTCCTTTGTTTCCACAGTAAAAGCATAGTTGCATTTTACGTCTGTGTTCAATGACTTCAGGCTTGATCTTTCCATTGTTATCAAAGATGTGACCGAGATCCATCGGGTCATCCACAGAATTATCCGTGTCTGAAGGGGTAAATGACACACCACGGTCTTGCTGATTTCCTCCAGGGGTTTGTTTGTTTTGGAATTTGTGTTTACTATTATTGATATGGTGGCTGGAGCTGTGACTATCGTTACCCCGTTTTAACTTTCGGATTTGATATAAGCTGTCTACACCCATAGCAGCGGTCATCATGCCTTCCAAAGTATTGGGTAGCGGCTCCCGACCAGTGGTCAGGCTCGTTCGAATTCCTTCTACTAGACCTTCAAAATATAGTTGATTGACCATTACTGTATCAGTATATCCCGATTGATTGAGTAGATCCAAGAATAATGCATTATAGTCAGCAAGGGACTTTCCTTTCTGACTAAGGCCTCTAAGCTTAGTTCCAGAAGTCAATTGGAGATGAGGATCTCCCCATACTGCTCTAAGTTTTTGCCTAAATTCTATAAAAGTCATACTACTGACTAGGGGATCACTGATCCTAGACTGATACAAAGCCCTATACCAAGAGTTCACAGAGCCTCTAGTAGCATGTCCTACAAAAACTATTTTGGCTTGATCTGTAGGGTACGAGTTTGGTGCAAGTAAGAAAACCCCTTCACATGAAGCGATGAATTCCTCAAGCTTTGCACGATCGGTTCCGTCATACGGCACGACGGTAATCGGAGTAGATGCCTTAGGTTCCATGTTCCGAATTACGGTTTGTTGCGGTAATGGCATCGGTGGGAGTGTGGGTTGCGGAGGCGGTTGATGCGGCGGCGCAACGTTCATTCCGTCCAGGCGAGCAGTGAGCCCATTAACTATTTGCTGATACTCATGGCGTAGCCGTGCGGTCTCGTCGGCATGATTTCTCATAGTAGCAGCTAATTCTTCTTGGTGACGTAAGGTTGCTAAGTCCTGAGCTTGACTCACGGCTTGATTTATAAATGCTTGAATTTGATCCAGTGTGGGCCCAGAGAACTCCTGCGGCACACCAGATCCGAAAGCTTCGTTCATTGGAATATCGCCCATGGTTAGAAGCCAAGAGATAGATCCAAAGGCGGATTCAATATATACTGTTAGGGAGCTCTACTATTCTAATCCTAAAATAGCAGCGACAAGACACGATCACTAAAGTTTGGTTCTTAAGCAAAACACGACAAGACAAGATGGCAGTTATAAGCAGATATATTGAATGCAGAAAACAAAAGAAGAATCCAAACTATTTATAGTCTTGGATTACAAATCATTTCTAATACTACGTGTTTGTCAGTGACTAAAGCATATGATCAACCAATATGTCTGATCTAGCACTTTCTATGAATACAGCTTCAATTTCATAACAGTGCCTGTACTATCACTGGCTCTATCTGATGAAGCTCGGGCGTCAGCTGATAGTTCAACACTGAAATGTGACGAGAAAAATGGCTCACTGCTTGCGATGGTGGCGACATGACGAACGAGGACCCCGGCTCATAACTATAGTGTGAAGTTCCTCGTGCGGGTATTGGAAAAGTAACTTTTCCATGTATATTTCCGTCGTAGGTTTCATACTTTGGTGGTGGATCCGATGAAGACATAATAACAACTCATCTAAATGTAGGTGCGTTTATAACAATGCAGGCCGTGTAGAGCTTCGAATGTCTTTAGCTGAAAGGGTGCAGTAGTCAAGAGACAAGTGCAGCGTTGAGGTGGACGAAAAGCACAAAAAGAAAGGGAGGATACACCAGTAAGGCTAAGGCTGATGCAAGACGGTTCGAGAGCTGATGATATATCTCGGCGGCCAGGTCCTGCCTGAGTACTGAGTACTCTCTACTAATCTTCTAATCCTCTTGAGAGCCGCCTATTTCGGTCTTTCACGTTCGTTCACTAAATTAACACTATGAGTCCGCACGATTCACGGACTGACACGAGAGAGTGTGGCTTAAATGTAATCACAATGTACCCATGGACTGATTTTATACCTAAGATTCCCATTTTGTAATCCTTTGCTTCAACAATCTCAACTCGCAAGTCATGGCTTCAAAGCGCAGTTTTCACCTTTCGTCTTCAGTATGGAAACCGATGGTAATGAGACGTGGGCATTGTGTAACAGATTGACGGCCAGACTTTTCATGACAATGTATTGGTATTGCATTAATGCGTGTCAACGTGGGATTGCCGCAGAAATTACTTGCATAATTAATTCACAAAGTAGCTACTGAAAGGGGCAAGCACTGAGTTAGACACTGACAATGACAGTGAATCAAGAGACCGAGAATTTGGGGCAGGCTTACAACATTCCAGCCAACAACAAGCAGTTCCCAAAATTACCAGCGTCTTCAGAGTAGCAGCAAATCAGCAGTCACTAGAGGAGGTCTGGTTATTCTGCGACACACCGTGAAGCTAGCATAAACTTGATTCGCGTCCAGCTGATAGCTTCCAGTCAGCAGCTCGATGCTCCATAGACAAATACCTGTACACTCCTAGTGGATTGCAATAGAGCTGAAAACCCAAACCACCTGAAAAAGAGTGTTTTGCTTCATGTCCTCTAGAATGCCACATGCAACATTCAAATTGTGATGGGTCCTTCCAGGATATTGAAACCAAGCACTCGCAGAGCATTGACAGCTTCAAACAACCACAAGCTACAGCTTATGTGAAGTTCAAAAGCCTCTTTTTTATTTTGATATAGGCGAACCTAACTTTACATGACTAGCGACATGAAAAAAATATGTGTTTTATAATACTATTGAAAGTTTTTGCCCATTTTGAGCAGACAAAGCCAATATGACCAAGACTAGTTTAGCAATCAGAGCCTCTGATACTTCTGCTGCACCAACCAATGGAGGTAGTACGGGAGACGTACCCAGCTTCTGAGCTTCATAAAATGATTTCAAGGCCACTAACAATTGTTTGGTAAACAAGTGGGGTTGACGAGGTGATCGTATTGTTGATGACGTAGTTGTAGTAGATGGGAGAGTTGTAGAGCCATCCCGACGAGACAAGATTTCAGACCATTTCAACAAGGTCTTTGGATCAAGAGGTGGCAATGGGCGAGAAGTCGTGCTGCTGCTGTGGCTGTTGATATTGGATGGATTGCTAATATTGGTTGAGGGATTTATATCCTGGCCAGTCAATGTGGTGGGTTCCGGTAGTGAGAAGACCGAGTGTACACGAATGAGGTTGTTGCTATTATTGGTGTTGTTGGCATTGTTCGATGAGGCGGCGATGAGCTTGTTTGCAGACCTTCGAGTCGTCAAGCCACCAGCGGCAGGACCGCTCTTTCCTGCAAGACTATAATTACTAATGCTGCTGCTATTATTGTTACCACTGGTGTTGACGGAGCCAGTTGGTAATAGTCGTTTGAGGGCCTCCAACTGTTGCTTGAGAATCAAGTTTTCGGCTTCAGCTTTATCAGCCTACGCAGACCAGGAAAAGAGTATTAACGTAACGCGCAACCACAAAGCAATAAGAAGATTCCACTTTACCTGTTGTTGATACTTGAGAGCATCGGCCTTGAGTTTGGCGACTTCATCTTCAAGCGTAGCGATATGTTCTTTGCGGCGTTGCCTAAAGTTACGAGCCGATATCTTGTTTCGGATTTGGCGACGTTCGCGAGACGACAATTTACGATCTGGATCCACTTCCGAGATATGAGTAGGATGTCTGATTTCATCACCACTAGCCTCATTCTTGATACTCTTTTTCTTTTTGCCATCTTTTGCAACTGCTTTACCCTTTGTTGTCCTCTTTGACATCGTTTTGGTAGACTTAGCGCCAGGTGTTTGGTCATCCTCTTCTTCATCTTCGTCGTCTTCACTGTCATCCAAGACGCCACCATCGGTATTATTTACACTGTCATCTTCGGTGATTGGCAAGAGTGGTAATCCGTTATCATTGTTGAGCAACATATTGTTGGTGTCTGTTCCATTGAAGTCGTTTGAAGCCAGAAGTGCCGCAAGAGCTTCCGCCTGATCAGCCGTCAGCATTCCATCCATAGCGTTTCCATCCATGTTTGTATATGAATTATCGGTGATGGCATTGCTGTAGAGTTGACGGTCATATGTTGCGGTGTTATCGAATGCACCTAGGAGTGGAGGCAGATCGTTCGTCCAGAGATAGTCGTTTGGATTGTAGAGAGCAGGAGAATCGCCCTCTGCATTTGATGTCATATCGTCATCATCGTTGATATTGTTGTTGAAATCAAAGTATTGATTGTCGGTCATCTGTAAGTGGGCAAATTGTCATCAGCATTGATGTTGCATATTGGAGCAGCGGAAGAGTGGTAAAATAAGTGGGCTTACTTGGAATGTATATGATGGAGCCTATATGATACTATCCTTTGAAGCTGCTCTATGTGTTTAAGATGTGGATCGGGTTGTAAAATCTAAGAAACTTGGCTGAACGGCGAGTCAGCGCAAGTTCAATAAAGCAAAGCTAGTAAATGCAGTAGTAAGGTACCTTTTAATAAGTATATGAATCCGCACAAAGAACGTTCTTTGATTCCCTTAGTTCTCTCTCGCTCTTCGTTGTATTGTTTCAGGAAGGTGAGAGAAGCTGACGAATCTCGAGGTGCCAGCACACATTTGAAATCAAGCAGCGCAGGAAGGAACAACTTGCTTTACTGTAGTTTTAACGCGTTCCCGTAATGAATTCACGTCTGTTCTGCCATTTCGCTGCATTACCATCCAGACCGGACTTTGCATTTATGTGACAGAGTGTTTTGTTTATCCAAAATATACAAAGTCTACCGATCAAACATTATTTTCCCTGCCAAGTCAATAAATTATTCAAAGCCTAGTTTTGAACAGCCAACTGTTTCATGACTGCGTCTAGATATGGATTACCACCTAGTCGTTGAATCTCACTTAAAGCTTGCTTTTCGACTCGTCGTAAATAGCTCTTTGTGTACTCGAAGGATTGAGTTTCATCCATCAGTCGTACGGCATATCTCTTGACATCTACATCAGTTGTTTTCTGCTTGAGTATATCTAGTGACAGGGGAGGAGAAAAAGTGAGATGAGCAATCTATAAATCAAGTCACCAAGGACATGTGCAGAAACTTACTGATCATTTGATGGTTGTTGGTTGTTGATCTGATACAGTGAATGATAGGAAACGAGAACTTGCCCTCCGTCAAGTCTTCACAGAATCCCTTGTTGTCTGTGTACTATGTTTGTATTGGTGTCAGGCATTTAATTCCTCAAAAGCGCAAAAAGCGGGAATCGAAAGATTGAATCTTACTTTCGCTGAAGTTAAATTCATCAAGTCGTCCCGGACCTGAAAGTGAACACCCAAGATGTTGACGAGTGGGACATAGTCAGTTTGACAATTAGCTGCAATTTCCATGAGTTTGACAGCTAGACGTAACAGTCCTCCCGTCTCTACATGGGAAGATAGTGAGCAAAAAAAAAGCAGGTCGAAACCCGGTATGAACAACACTTAACTGTTTCCAACCATTTCCAGATACTGATCCTCAGTTGGACAAGTAGCTGTATCCCTCCAATGAATGTCCATTCCTTGACCACGATGCAGCTGTATGAGCTCTTCAGTAAAGATTTCCACAGCTCTAGGATCATTCAGGGTCAGAGCTTTCTGTAAAGCGATGAAGTAGACGTAATTGGCACAGTTTATGGTAGCAGGTATTCCGTAAATCTTGTGCGCCACTAGTTCAATAGAGGGAGATGGTCAAACCGATTGGTCATTCGGTTGCCGCATTGATCGACACATGTGCCAAAGTTACCCGGTACACCTCTTCGAAGCGACGAGTCGTCTTCCACGTCATCAATTCTAGATGTGAGAATGCATAGTGAATGAATGTAGGTAGTAATCTGTATGTAATTCAAGGACATACAGCAAACTGGAGGTATGCAGCATTTCGACGACCTTCTTGATGATTTCCAGTTTTTGAGGAGGGACGCGAATCCAATGATCAAAAGCTTCGATCAATTTGGTTCGTATTTCTTTACCAGGATATTGGCACAGATATGCAAATGGCTCCAATAACAACTATTTCAAAGATACAAAATGTTAAGATTATGAGATTGTGCAACTGCAAGAAGGAACTACAAGCGGGTACCTGATCAGACTCAGTGACTTGCTCTAGATAGGGTGTAGCCATCATGGCTGATGCTCCTGGTCCTCTTGTTTGTTAGAATATCAGCTTGAAATCGTTCAAATGTATGGTGAATCGGAACTATTTGCAACGTGCGTGGCGGACTTACTCCTTAAGAATATTACGACGGTAGATTCGTGACTTACACGTGCTCATACACGAATATCACGCTAAATCACGTCCGACTTGTACCAGCCCTTTGCTTTGTCCAAAATTCCAGAAATTCCAATTTTCGCGACAACCAAATAGGATATAGGAGTGATGGAACTGTTCACAATAGGCTATAACGCATTGCGTGGAGAGAAGGGAGCTCCTCAATCTGCTACTGAAACTAGTACGACAAAGCATCGCATTCCTTGTTTAATTCAACATTCTTCAACATTTGTGGTAATTCTTCGTCAATTGCTAGTCGACAAGCTATGCGACCGTGTATTAAATGCAACATTATTGGAAGACAGACGAGCGGCTGTCATGGGGCTGAAGGGCCTGGCTCGCGACTGGAGACTGGCACGTTCAAATCATTGCTCAAGGACGACAAATTCATGACAACTGACGACAATGTTGGCCGATGCAGGAGGTTGGAACTAAAGGAATGATACCATTGATCACTACTTTGCGGAACGATCGGAGAGATGTGGAATTGGCCAAAGCTGTACTGGAAACACTTGACACACTGTGTATAAGTGAACCTTCTTCTGCCACTGAAAAGGATGCTACTCAGAAGAAGGTATTCATATTCAATTGCTTTTGCCGTCTGTCAACGAGAAGCAATTGGCTAATTCCCGTACTTGATGGTTAGGGAAACGATTTGGGTGTCATGTTCACCGAAATCTTCATCAAGGTATTGCCACTATCACAACCAAATAATACAAAAGATCTGCCAAGACAATGCGTCTCATTTGCTCTCAACGTCTAGAGCGCTGAAAACGTGACGCTTCTATTGGATATATTGGAAGAACACGACTTTTACGTCAGATTCTACACTGTCAAGCTGCTGACAACGTTATTGACCAACAAGCCAGATCAACTGCAATCCTGTATCCTCACTAGTCCTGTCGGCATATCAAGGCATGTCCGTGTCATTATAGTTTGTCTCACCTTGTTGCGCTCACACACTTCCGACACCAACCAGATTGATTGACTTGTTGGATGACAGACGAGAGATTATTCGAAACGGTACGATTGCCCTTCTCATGTAGTGAAACATGCTGTCGTAACCAAGCATCATGACTTAGAGGGATTGCTCTTATTAATCTCATTAACTGAAACCAACGCCGATATTCAAAAAATTATTGCCTTTGAAAATGCCTTTGAAAGGCTACTATCCATCATAAGAGATGAAGGCGCCACAGATGGTGGAATCATTGCTCAAGATTGCTTGACATTGACTCAAAATCTGTTGAGGCATAATGTATCGAATCAGGTAAGCACGTACGATTGCAACAAAACATGAGTGTCAAGCTTACGTATATGCCTTGACACATCTAGAACTACTTTCGAGAGTCAAGCTGCATTCAGCTCATACCATCACTATTAATATCTCGAGTCTTGTCTGGAGATCCACCTGTCGCTATCGAAGTGACATTAACGCATGAGGCGAACTCATGGCAGCCTCAAAAGGTGGTCAATACTGGATTGATTCTCGAGTTGATACGTATACTGGTTATGCCGAATAATCCAAATACTCCCATGAACCAGGTAAATTTGGCAGTATCTGAATGATTGGTGATTGGTGTGTTGGTCGTCTCTGCGATACTAATGCTAATCTCTTCTACTTTTTTGCCCCATAGAACGTCATGAATTCAGTACACCTCATAACTCCAGTCCTGGATTTAGCAATGTCACAGACCATACCGACCAAAGTCAAGGCCCAAGCGTTGTATACTTTGGCCGATATGATTCGAGGAAATCCAGCAAATCAAGATCTCTTTGGTAAATCAACGGTACAGCCTTCATCACCAGCCTTTGATAATTCTCAACAGATGCGGAATGGTAAACCACCATCAAAAGGTTTACCTCAACCAGCACTAGTATCAGTCGTGCTGATTGCATTGAGTAATACCAAGGATGAGTTCTCGTTGAGGACTGCTTCTGCGTATCTATTCCAGGTGTGTTTGAGAAATTCTCGTCGGCAATCGTATGAAATAAACCTTCTTGACAGTTGTTGCTTATCTAGTGCTATCTGCATAATAACACAGAAGGACAAGTCGTTGTCGCTTCTACTCTTACTCCACCTCCTCAAGATAATCCAAACTCTCAACTTGCAGGTAAGATTGGAATTGTTGAGCCTGGAGCAAAAGAATTGTGACCTGAAGGAAATGATTATGCAATAGACAAACCTGCATCTGTCGGCTCTCTTCTCCTCGCTGCTTTATTCGATTGGGACACCTCTGCGAAAGATCCATTTCGTTGCTGGTTTGCCGCCATGATGCTGTCTCAAATAATACGGCGGAATCCAAAATCCCAAGAGATGGCACTGGCCATCAAATTCAATGAAGCTTCAGGAGGTGAAAATTTATTACTTTGTCATGCCGGTTTTTTGTTTGGCAATGTATAAGAATCAGATCGTAATTCTGATACGTTGAATTTGCCACTCTCGTAGACGAGTCAATATCATTATTACACAGATGTACATACTCTTTGCTAATGGCTCATCGGAATGGAGCCGATGTCCGAGTTCAAGTTGGATTTTTATGTCTGTTGGCTATATGGATGTATGAATGTCCACCTGCTGTCAATGAATTTCTGGCTGAAGGATCTAATTTACAAGTGGTGAGTTGATTGGTACAAGGGCTCCTACCTTGGTTTCTATTTATAACAACCATCTGACCGGTTTTTTTTAGCTGATTGAACAAATAAGTAAAAGTTCTGGTTTGGATCCACTGGTACAAGGAGTGGCAGCCTTTGTATTGGGCATGTGTTTTGAACATAATGATGATTCGGAGCCAGCGTTTACAAAGTATGTACAGTGTGATCTGCTTTGAGATTTTTTTGCTGATATTACAGGTTGTCATATCAAGATTGAAACTGCATCAGATCGTGTCGAGTCGTATTGGCACTGATCTATTCGTTTCTCGTCTGGAACGGCTGAGGGAATCCAAGGCATTCAATAGAGCGTCACCGTATATGCAGGTATGAGGCAATGGCCTGAGGCCTGAATGAGGATTTTTTCGGTCGGGGTTCCGGACTAACGGTGATTTGGTTCTAGACACTAAATGAAGTTGATACCCGTGGATTCCCTGAATTATACTTTGATTACTCGTTTGTGGACTTTTTTAAGACGAATTATGGTATGTTATGCCACGCCAAAAATGGACAGTGAACCGTCAATGACCTTGCAATCACTCTAGAAACAATCTCTCGAGCAATCACTGCTACACGATCAAAAGCTAGCCCGAAGAAAGATACAAGTATGTTGCTCATTGGTTGATTAGACGCCGGAAATTCAATTTTATCCTCGGCTTCTGACTGATCGCTTTTTATGCCTTAGTATTGGATGAGGGAGATGAAAGTGCGATCATCAAATCATATAAAGTTTTGATTAGCAAACAAGATGCTGAACTTCACGAGTTGAGGAAACGAGTAGCAGAATTAGAAGTTAGGCTAGCAGGGGAGGTACGTCTCAATTGATGTATATTCAGAGGTTCTTGACCGTTTTTTGGTTGCGGTTATTGCACATCGACATTGAATCTTGCTCACATCCTGAAAATATTGTAGGCGGCGCTGAGAGAACGTGTCGATGTATTGAATGCCACGGTGCAAAAGCTGCAAGTGTCCAATGCAGAAATGACGAGAAAGTATGCCAACCTAGACAAGGAACACGAGGATTTACTCGTGTGTCTTGCAGAGCAAGATATGCAACAAAAAGAACTTCGACAGAGGCTCAAAACTCATGGGGAGGTTATAGAAGATGATGACGACGATGACGATGACGATGAAGGTGGAGATGGTACTAATGGAATAGCATAAGAATCTTGTTGCTTTATGTGTTGTACAAATAGAATTGCTGGATAAGTAAAACATTGTGTGCGTCGTCGGATTGATTGGATTCTTACAGAATATTACGTTTGAAGATGACGCACCAATCAAGTGGACATAATACTATACCCTATGCATAATACTATACCTTGGTGATTAGACTCGAACGTCAAACACTTATCAATCAGTATGCCACCCGGCTGTATTTACGAGCCATTCCGACGAATAACAAACAAAGTCAAACGTTCTGAATCTGTACTAATCGTTTTTGTCGTCAACATAGAATATTGACCGTGGATCAGACAATGAGTATTGGACTGACCTGGCATATGAGCCAGTACTAGATGATAAAGGCTACAGGTAGTCACGATATGATGCAAGACTTGGAGACTTCTGAGCATCGTTTTCTGGAGTGGGTCTGGGAGCCCCGAGCAGTGGATCTTATTCCACGGCTGCAAGCTCTCCCAGTCGTGAGGAAATGAGTAGCTAAGGCGCAGGGTAATAGGGAATCGGTAAGAAAATTCGTTGAGACTTGGGGTTGGGGCTGTCTATGTTGAAAATCCTCGATTTTTTCTTCTAGAATGGGTCCGATAACTATGGTCGTATCGGATTGTAGTAGACGACTGTTGATAAAAGTATATTTCAGAATTGCAAACTGAAAAGCTGTATTGCTGCCATTAGCAAATATAGGTGCGACAAGCAGTTTCAATGCTGTGGATGGCAATCACCACGCGAACTCGTGAGGAGTGGTTCAATGTGTTTGTCACTTCTGCGTCCTCGATTCAGTCGAAGCGTCGTTACACGCGAACCCCAAACACATAGATCAAAATACGTTTCTTCGTCGAAAATGGCCTCTGCAGCGCTCCAAGAGATTAAATCTCATTGACACAAATTAAACCCAAGTCGCTTTCACTACTCCATCGTCGTCGTTTGTCAAGGAGAAAGTCAAACAATCCCTATATTCATCATCTGCAGACTAAACAATGGAAGCTATCAAGAGTCTGCTGATGATTATATCCTGCTGCATGATAATGATAATGTCCGTCAGTTCTCAGTCTACTAAAACGAGCAGCAATTCATCATCTGCATCAACACCAATTGCTTCAGCAACATCGACTCCAACTCCTGCCATTGTCTCGTGTACCATCGGAACTAATATGGGAAATGTCATTGTATTGCAGCCTAACTCATCGTAAGTATCCCGCTTCAACTCTTTGCTCCTTGTCGCAATGTGTAGTGAAAATGACCTGGCAGTCACCACCATTTGGAAGAGCACAAATGCACTGAACCTGATGATGTTGCATTGAAACTCGTGATGATCCATCGCCCCATTGATGATCAACTATGATACAATTACTAATACTACATACTTTTATTATTAGTTCGTTGTGCTTTATTGGACAAGCTTGTCCTATAATCTGGAGTTACTCGGATGCTACAGACCCCTCCTTCCCTGCCTACAACGTCAGTATTTACTACAAACTTGCATCTGCTCGTGACGCTACATATGCCCTAGCTGCAACTCTTCCAGCTTCGGTCAAGTCATACATCTGGGTGCCGCCAACCGTCATCACAGGCCCATATATCGTACGAGGTATGCTATCATGTTAGCTCCGATTTTGAAGTTTTCGGGTTATTTGGCTTTCTTCTTTGTTGCTTGCTTACACCAAACCGCCATTCGTCAAAAGTTGTCGTCGACAACACAGACCCATATATTAACGCAGGTACGAGGTGTGCTATCATACACTGACGAATTTAACAAACATTTTGCGTTAACGCAGGGCTATGGGGTCAATTGTGTCAAGGATTCCCTCTGCCTGGCACATCCACCACTGCTGGGTTTTTGGTACTAAGTCGAACCCCACTTGCACCAGCAGCTGATGTGTTACCTGCCTTTTCGTGTGCTAGTAAAATTTTCATAAGTCACTGCTCAATTGTGCTTCTAGTGATACTCGTTTCAGTAGCTGGTAGTCTGTTGATGTGAATCGATGTGAAGCTTATAAGTACTGCTGAATTCTACAAATGATCTCAGTTTCGTGATTGTCACGTTTCGTAATGCAAAGCAATGTAGTAAAATCAGTTTCAAGCTGCAATAACAGTTATTTCAAGTTCCAAAGACCAAGTTATCGTTTGCGTGATTTGCGACTTTTTTTTGAACACTTTTTTTTAAGCCAGATCAACAACTTTTTTGCTTGAACAGGAGTAGTACCCAGTAGTCAAGCTACATAGAGTCACTAATGCCTCCAAGGAAGCGCAAAATCGAAGAGGAAGCTCCTACCTCTGTATCTACCACACCAACAGCAGCATCGTCAACATCGCCAACCAAAAGCTATAAAAAAAAGAAGGCAGTTCCGCCAGTTCCAGCTCAAGCTCCACTGCCGATCGCTCAATCTGTCGTCGAGGACTTTCCACGAGGTGGCGCATTGCCTTTATCTGCTCTGGAATTCCGTGAAGTTGCTGATAGAGCATCAAAAGATGTTTTGTTTGATGTATGTGTATACGATCGCTGTTTGGTTTATAGTGAAAGCCTTGAGAAGAGTTAATCAATCTTTTACATGCATGCTTATACACATATTGACCGCCTCTATTTTTCATTTAGCAATCTGCTTCTGCAAACTCGGCCAACACAAATTCTAAAAAACGCAGTAAACAGCAACTGGTCGATGATGCTCGAGCTGCAAAAAAGGCTAAATCCGCCGTCCCTTCCGAAGACAAGCCTAAATCCACAGATGTCTTGACATTCAAACGATTGAATGTCAACATGTGCTTGTTAGGTGTCATAAGAGAAATCAATGATTTGGATCTTGTGTTGTCATTGCCTGACCAACTGACTGGCTTTGTCTCTATTACCGAGATATCCAAAGTCGTCACTGCTGCTGTAGAGAGTGCGGCTGCCGTTGGAGATGATGAAGAGAATGACGCTGATTTGGTATGGGAAGCGCAAAAATATTCTGCAACAACTGATATTTATCCACTGACAATTCAACCTCGCCTTTTCTTTCTTCCTCAGATACCCAAACTCAGCACCATGTTTGTGGTCGGCCAGCTCATGCCATGCTGTATTGTAGCATTAGAAACTACAGAACCAAGTAAAGAGCATCCTAAAGGAAGAAGAAGGATTGAATTGTCATTGATGCCTGAACGTGTCAATGCCAGAGTATCTCCTTCGGATATTCGTGAAGGAATGGTAAGCTACATTTAACGTAGGAGAAAAAACTTAACCGTCATAAACACCGATACTCATACGTTTTTATTTGTAGACCTTGAGTGCTACCGTCACATCGCAAGAAGACCATGGATACGCACTGTCTTTTGGAATTGAAGGAGTAACTGGATTCCTGAATAACAAGCATCTAGGAGGACACGGTATGTGTTTTTAAGAGAAAGCAGTGACCTGACTTAACCTAACGCATCAAACAACCTGTTGCAATTAGACGCTCTGAAGGCAGGGGATCTGGTATACAGCAGCGTCCTCACTACAAATGAAGCACGGCGTGTGGCTTCAGTCACCCTCGAAGCATCAATCGTACCATCATCGCAAATCAAGATGGCAGAGACAATGCTGCTGGAATCTCTGGTACCTGGATTACTCGTATCAGCGAAAGTCAGAAATGTTACCATGAATGGGCTTGTACTCTCATTCTTTGGAATATTTGAGGGTACAGTAGATATGTTCCATACAGGCAAACGTTTGGTATCTTTGGAAGACGATTTGCACAAGTTTTTCAAGGTTGATCAAAAGGTGACTACCAATAATGGAAAATATGAGAAGCATGACGAGACTGAACCGAACTTTGGTACCTGTCTAGGTTCGAGCACGTATCTTGTTCGTCGACTATGAACGTAAACGAGTAGGCTTGACGTTACGACCTACCTTGGTATCATGGACAAGACCTGAATCTCCCGCTAGCCTCGATATTGGAACCATCGTTGAAGAAATGACTGTCACTCGAGTTGACCAAGACGTCGGAATCTTGCTCGATTGTCCTGGTGTTGAAGGAGCTTATTGTCATGTGAGTTGAGACACTACGATCCCATTATTGGGTGTTTTTGGCTGATTTCTACTTCAACACATAGTTATCACGATTATCCGACACATTCGTCGAAAAGATTGATAAGAAATTCCGTGCAAAGACTCAACATCGTGCAAGAGTTATTGGAATGGATTTCTGTGATGGGTTGATTCAAGTGTCTCTGCAACCAACTGTTTTAGCACAGACCTTTTATCGACATGAAGATTTGAAGCCTGGTATGATTGTCAAGGTACGCAGCTTTTGTCGAATCCCTAAGCAGTTAGAGGCCAATTCTTTTCACTAATGCATTTATTTGCAGGGACGAGTATTGAAACTCGAGTCATATGGAATGATTGTTGGTCTTACAGACACGATTCGAGGACTCTGTCCAAGGAGTCACTTATCGGATGTAGCATTGAGTCATCCTGAACTCAAGTTCAAGATTGATGGTGCTGTGAAGTGCAGGGTAAAATCGAGCTTGTTTCTTTGCCAATGTCACTTTTTTGTTGATTTCTATTTTCGAACAGGTCTTAACAGTCAACCCCAAGGCCAAAAAGTTGACCCTGACACATAAAAAGTCTCTACTCAATTCAACCCTCCCGATCATCGAATCGTATAATGTATTGCCCGGAACATTGGCTGATGGTGTTATTACTGCCGTCAAGGATTTTGGTTGTATTGTATCTTTTTATAATGATGTCAAGGCTTTGGCTCCCATCTCAGAATTGAGGTACTAGTCCTCCTTAGAGGTATTTTTTAATAGCTATCTTACAATCCGATGTTGTATAGTGATGCCTTCTCGAATCGTGCTGCAGACCATTTCACTATGGGACAAGTGGTAAGATGTCGTGTGTTGACTGTTAATCAGCAGGAAGAAAAGATGAGGGTTACCCTCAAGGTACGATTTGCATGAATGAAGAAAGTTACCGGCGGTGGACCATGACAATGCTCACGCACTTTCCCTTTCTGTATAGCCATCAGCTATCTTACGACCAGACAGACCTATGGATGTGAATTTGGTATCGGTAGGACAGGCAAGTGGACGGTCGTTGATCAAGTCAAATGGGCCATCCTCATGTATGGTTTTTTTAATTCTCGTCATCTATTGTCATTTGTTTGACCTAGATCGTCTCTGGAACCGTATTAAGCGTCGAATCATCAGAAGCCATCATCGAACTGTCTCCATCATCCCTTCACGGCATCCTGACTAAGTCTCACATCACCGACTTCGAATCAAACGAAACTCCATTATTCGCCATTCTCAAATCTGGAATGCAAATGCCTGAATTGGTAGTCCTGTCTGTTGATGCATCTCGAGGACGTGTTTACGTGACCCGTAAGCCGTTACTGATTCATGCTGCCAGACAAGCTGCTTCAGCTGGCAGTTTATCGAGTGTGGAGAATGTTAATTCTGGAAATCTTTTACCTGGATTTGTCAAGAGTTTGCAATCCAATGCTTGCTATATTCATTTCTTGGGTGGATTGTATGGTGTTGCTCGTATTCATGTAAGTTTCTGGTTTCTTTTCATGTCTCGCAGGCGCCAAAAAAAAGACAAATTTAAATGGGCGGCATGAATATCCTTCTTGCTCACATCACTTTTCGATCAATTCTTATAGAATCTCTCCGATCAATACGTATCAGACATATCTCAACACGTGAGGGTAGGCAAATCACTCCTCACACTCGTCACGGACGTTGATACAGCCAACAATAGATTAACTGTCAGTACCAAATCATCACAAATCCAATCCCATGCTCAAATCAAAGAATACGAGCTCGTCTACCTCCGATCCCTCTTCGAAGAAATGGATGTTTTAGCCATGAGGAGCTTTGAAGCTTGTGATAATCTACCGTCAATCCGTATTGGTGGTCTCGTAAAAGGCTACATAAAGCAAAAATTGCCGTTTGGATATACTGTAGATTTAGCTGATGGAGTATCTGGAGTATTGACGTTTGAGAATGCTGATAAACGAGTCTTGAAGGTTGGTGAAGAGGTCACTGGAACTGTGTTGGATTTCGATCCTGCTAAGAATATTGCGGATATGACGTTGACTGGTTTGGCTGAAGAGGATGAGTCTGATATGGTAAAGCTTGAGAGCATTTGTACTCATCCGCTCGCCCCTTTCTTACCTTTTTCCTCACTCTTCTAGTTGATCCAAGCATTTGAGAAGCAACGACTATTAGAGGCAAAAATAGAGATGGTCAAAGAAAACTATCTAATAGTTACAGTCATGAAGCATGTGATTGGATTTGTGGCAACAAAGACCCACAGTGCAACAATGACCTCCATATTTGATAAGCATAGAGTGGGTCAAACACTCAAAGTATCCATAGGACAAGTTGGAAACCTCGAATCAACTCAATTCGCATCACGTCGTCTATTACTAGTCGCACCTCCTCAAAAGCAACAAGAGAACCCAACCACTACAAAATCATCTAAAGGCCAGCTAGGAGATCGTATTTTAAAAGAACCCATAGATGCAACCAAAACCTCGCTGGATGATTTCAGTGTAGGAGTTAGGGTAGCCGGCAAAATCAAAGCTATAAAGGACGCTCAAATGAATGTGACGCTTGGAGCTAACCTATTTGGTCGGATTCATATAACTGAATTGGCAGATGAGATTGCCCAACTTGATGATCCCAAAAGACCATTCAAGAAGTACCACCTTGGCCAAATAGTGCAGACTCGTGTTGTTGGATATCATGATGCCAAAACACATCGATTCTTGCCAGTTACGCATAGAGTCAATGGTATCAAGACCGTCATTGAATTATCGCTCAGACCCTCTCTGGTAGATAATGTCAGTGAGAAGGTTGATGTTGATGTGATGCCTACATCAGATTCTATTCCGGTAGGATCCGTCGTGACTGGATTTGTCAAAACTGTAAGCGACGGTGGTGTTTACGTACTTATAAGTCCAAGCATCATGGGTCGCATAGCACCTCTAGAATTATCCGATAATGTATCCGTGATCGAGAAACCAGCATTGCACTTCTCAGTCGGAATGGCAGTGAAATGCCGTGTATTACGTAAAGACATTGGCAAGAATTCTCTCGACCTGTCTATTCGTGCTGTAGAATCTCCTCTAGACGTTGCCACTATGAAACCAGGTCAAGTAGTTACTGGTCGTATCGGACAAATCTCGCCTGCTACAGGATATCAAATCCAACTGGGCCAAAATATAGTGGGACGAGTGTATCTGACTGATATAGCTGATACATATTCTCGCAAGACTTTGAAAGCATACAAGGTTGGACAGATTGTGAGATGCTGTGTTATTGATATCGATGCTGCTCAACGTCGATTGGATTTGTCGTTGCGTCCTTCTCGACTTGCGGTGGTACCTGAACAGGATGAAGACTATAATGTCGAAGTCCAATCCATTGACGATATAAAACAAGATACTGTCGTTTCAGGATTTATAAAGAACATCAGTGAAAATGGATGCTTTGTTGCCATCAGTCATAAGTTGGTGGCAAGAGTCAAGATTAGTGGCTTGTCTGATGCCTTTGTTAAAGATTGGAAGGCATTGTATAGTATTGGTCAGTTAGTCAAAGGTCGCATCCTCAGGTGAATACAGGCTTTAAATCGCCCGTTTTTGTTTCGTCCTCAAACAACTTATATTTTGTTTTTCCTGTCCTTTTCTAGTGTCAACAGTGCTACTGGTCAAATTGAAATGACATTGAAAGCAAGTATTGTAGATGGCACTGCTCCTGCTAAAGCTTTGTCATTGTCTGATCTTGTTAAAGGTCAAAAACTACGTGGCACAGTCAAGGCTATTAAGCCATATGGTATTTTTGTGTCGCTTGGAGATGGACGATTGAGTGGTCTTTGCCATATTTCTCAGGTTTGTACTTATTAATTCTATTTGAGCCAAAAAAAACCCCCGGCAACGACGAGTATTAACCACTCCATTTCGTGTTGTTAGGTCTCTGACACACCCATAAAAGAAGTCGGAACCTTATATAGTGTAGGAGACGCAGTCAAGGTCATCGTATTAGAAGTAGACGAGCCCAAGAAACGATTATCTCTTGGTCTGAAACCCTCCTACTTTGACGCTGACGATATGAGTGAAGTCGACGATGACGACGAAACTCTTGTCGAACAAGTGTATGAATCGGACGATGAAGAGGAGCAGCCAGCCATTGATGATGACGAAGAGGTTGATGAAGCTCAAGAGGATGGAGATAGTGATGCTGAAATGGACGATGGTGAAGAGGACTCGGAAGTCGACGATGATGCGAAAGAGGAAGAGGAGGATTCTGCTCCATCCAATAAATCCAATCCTCTCGCCGCTCAGCTTTCCAATATTGGCGAGTTGGAAATAGATACCTCATTTAGTTGGCTGATGCCTACAAATGAATATGGTCGTCAGGGAGCAAATCAGAGTAAACCAATAGTGTCAGCTGATGCCAACAGTGACGACGAGGACGAGGATATATTATCGTCATCCAGTAAAAAGGCATCTAAAAAGAAAACCCGAGATCTAAAAGAACGAGAAGAAGCCATCTCGAAACAAGAAAAGCTCTTAATGGATGTCGATCGACAACCTGAATCCGTCGATGACTATGAAAGACTCCTACTCGGCACACCAAACGCATCCGTATTATGGATCCAGTACATGGCCTTTGTCTTGCAACTAGCCGAGATTGAGAAGGCTAGACAGATTGCTGAACGGGCTCTCAAAGTGATTAATTTCAGAGAAGAGCAAGAAAAGATGAATGTTTGGGTTGCATATCTTAATCTAGAAAACAAGTTTGGTAGTCAGGAGAGTTTGGTCAGGGTCTTTGACAGGGCTGCCACTGTAAATGATCCAAAGACCATGTATTTGCAGATGGTTAGGATTTATGAGAGGAGTGATAAGAATGATGTAAGTTCTGGTCTGAATGCAATACTACATCGTCTTTTTCTCCATACTCACCAGCTTTTCTCTACCCCAATTTCCATTAGCTTACCGAAGAACTATATACCACCATCTTGAAAAGGTTCAAGGAGAGCTCCAAGTGCTGGACATCCGCTGGATTATTCTATTTAAAGAATGGACGTGCTGAAGATGCCAGACGATTGCTGCAACGTAGTCTGTTGAGTCTTCCCAAACATAAACGTATGCAGTTTCGTTCATTTTTTTTCTGCACCGTACTCACATCCAAAGTGTTTTCTCTCAATCTTATCATAACGTAGACATCAAAACCATATCCAAGTTTGCTCAAATGGAATTCAAACACGGAGAACCCGAACGCGGTCGCACTATATTCGAAGGAATTGTTACCAACTATCCTAAACGTGTTGATTTATGGTCTGTGTTTTTGGATATGGAGATACGTGTTGGAGATGTTGCTATTATACGGTATGAACTTGTATTGCCTCCCGCCACTCTGCCTTTCTGGTCGCATTTACCAATACCGTTCTTTTTTAACACTCTAGGCGATTATTCGAACGAGTGATTCAACTCAAGGTGTCATCAAAGAAGATCAAATACTTTTATAAACGATACCTTCAGTTTGAAAAGACTCATGGAACTGCCTCCGATGTCGAGCATGTCAAGGCTTCTGCAAAGGCTTATGTTGACCGCATTAGTGAGAAATAGAGGATGCTTAAGGTGTCAAGGAAGAAAGGAATAATTTTGCATTGTAGATACGCTTTTCTCTTCTATACCGAAAAATACATCGGATCTCGTTTCGTTTTACGAAAACTGTTCGTCTGAGCGTTCTCCTAACAAGACGTACATTTTAGAGACCAAAATATATTTGACGAATAAATCGTTTCGTCACATCATGTTTGGTGATGTTTTGTCTCCTCGTCTACGTAGGGGTGCCTTTCGCTTCTATCTTCGTGTCTTCGCTCATTGATTGAATGCCAGACGGCCAGAACATTGGGATGCATAATATATTTACACTACAATTGGAGGTGTGATCAAATCCAGCTCCTGGTTAATCGGTTGCAACCGTGGCAAAGTCCGTCAGGTTCGACTGAGTTTAAGACAGTGAAAGAGGTGATCGAGAGCTCAAATCGACAAAAAGAGTACATGGCAGTAGAGAAACTTTGATTATAATTTGGGTTGAATAGCAGACTTCCCTCTTTAAACACCCTTGTCGCTTGTAACGCAGTTTGCGTCGAATCATCAACGCGAGGTTTGGATATTCAATTTAATCGTCTCCACGTAAAAGTCATACAGCTCGGCCCACTCCTGAGTGTCTCTCCTTTCCCCACTCCGTTATTGAATTGTTGGGATTGATGTCAGGAATTATGGGCGACTGAGAATTTGAGGGAAGAGGTTGAAGAAAAGGGGCAGACCAATTTAAACAATGTCGTGAGAAGGTCCTCATAACGCGATGCATATTTGAGTTTGGTGACGATGCAGCAAGGAGAACGGCATTTCAAGCCTGGCAGCTTATCTTGCGCAAGCCAAACAAGGTATGATGTGCCCTAGAAGGATGGATTCAGATCTATCGTGCGTTGAGGGGCCGGAGAGAAACGGTAAAGACAGGTGTGGCCGAATCTGGCACACATCTTCCTCGACTCCCACGGATCTGGTATCAGGTTAAGGTGTATATGGTGGTGGTGGAATACAATGTGGAGGGTGAGACTCACAAGAGGGCCGAATTGGTGACTCTGGGCTGCTCGGTTGTTGGCGAGCATCTGGGCAGTCAGCTGGGTTTACCTTTTGGTTTGCCAAAACAAAGTCTTTATGCCCATGGAGGTGGAGTCGGCTGAATTGGAAGCTATCTTTGAGCCAGAGGATCGAGTTCATCCTAGTATTTTCGCAACCCTTCAGTTCAGTGATATGTAACCATTCCGGAAGTTGCTGGTGATTTAGGTGGTGTTGGTTGTTGAGTGGAGATCTTAAGTCTAGCTATTAATTGTTGATCTATGTACACCATCTCACTTGATCTTCATCCGATATTAGCTCGCTTTAACGTCAATTGTGGGAATGGTGTCGTGTTTTGCAATCCCACTTTGGCCTATGATCAACAATGTGGACATACTGCTTTTCAATGTAATATAATAAGATGAATCTCTATTCCAATATGCACTGGTTCGTTCACAAGCCGTGTTGAAGTTGATCAACTTGTCGTTAATCTAAGCAAAACAAGAAGCTCAGAGACGATGAGAGTGGAGCAGCGACGCGGAATCCCGAGTTATTACGTGTAGTATAAAAATTGGAATACGAATACTGAGTCCTTTTGTTTAAGGAAGCTAGGGTTCAATACTGACGGCTTTCGCCTTCAGAACTTCAAAACCTAGATCTGACTACAGTCGCTTCATCAACGACAGAGAAGACGTAGAAGAGGACATAGCAAGTACAATGCCGTCCATTACGACGCCTCCATGGGTAGCGCATGCTAATGAGAAGGGCAAACGACAAGCTATATATAGCTGCCATGTAAATCCAGCTGGCACCAAACTTGCGACTGGAAGCATCGGTAATCATGAATAATACAAGTTATTATGAAATTACATGATGTTTTGACTGATACTCCTTTTTATTGCATCTAGATACCAAGATCAAGATATGGAATACTGATCCAATATTACATCAAGACAAGGAAGATGATCCCGAAGTACCAAAGTTATTGTCCACATTAGGATACCATACTGGTCTACTTTGCATCATTCTCGTCATATTCAAACATACTCATGATATCTGACGTATCAAATCAAACAGGTCCGGTCGTTTGTGTGCGATTCTCCAACGGTGACGGTCGATTCTTGGCTTCAGGATCTGACGATCAAAAGATTCTCATTTGGGAACTGGACCGGTATGTAAATGCCCCCCAGCGATGCAAACCTGAAGTTGAACCATGGCTACGAAACGAATCGCAGTCGGACTCTAGTCAAGACTCAGATGCTTCTTTGGAAATTTCTAGATCACCAACTGCTATGACTGGATTAGCTTTCGGATCTACTGAAGGAGAAGTCAGCGTGGAAGCTTGGCGGGTTCATAGGAGACTCGTTGGCCATGTTTCGGGTATTGACATGCTGATGGTGTCTGTTTTTTTGCTGCTTGCTAATCCTGCTGTCAAAATAGATGTACAGGACATGGCTTGGGCTCCTGATAATTCATATCTTGCATCATGTGGTTTGGACAGTACAGTTATAATATGGGATGGTCAAACCTTTGGTAAAACGACGCCCTGACAATGTCTCGCCTAAATCAGGAGAGCTCACATACCGTGTTGTTTCTATTAGAAAAAGTCAAGAAATTGGATGGATTTACAGGATTCGTCAAAGGTGTGACATGGGATCCTGTGGGCAAGTATCTGGGAACACAGGTAATAATACTCTTCACCTTGGTGAGATTAATGGTATAATTCCTATTTTTTTCTAGTCTGATGACAAAACCACAAGAATATGGAGGACATCAGATTGGCAGGTCGAAACTGAAATCACAGCACCTTATGAACATGCTGCATCAAATACTCTATTTCGTCGACTGAGGTACGTAAAAAGAGAAGGTGGCTGCGGAAAGCAAAACACGGCTTTTTACATTGATTTAAAATTTTTTGTAGTTGGTCACCAGATGGCAGCATGATTGTAACAGCCAATGGAGAAAATTGTGCTGTCTCTGTAGCTCCGGTTATTACTCGAGATGGTTGGAAGGCAGATATTAATCTGGTCGGACATCACCTTCCCGTTGAAGTTGCTGTACGTATTGCTTGGAGGTTTGGAGGGACTCTCTATACCGCTTGTATATTTAACAGTTTTTTTCACATGTGCTTTTAGGCATTTAACCCAGTCCTCTTCCAAGTATCAAGTAACGCCAGTGATCCAAACAGTCCAAAAGTTGCATCTGGAGTATGTGCTGTAGGAGGACAAGATACAAATATTTCCGTTTGGTGGACTGCTCGTCCTAGATCTGCAGTAGCAACGTGTGAAGCTGCTACACAAGCCATTGTTGATCTGTCATGGTGAAGAATCCATTCTGCAAGACGTCTTTTATCTTTTTTTTGCTCAAAGGAGTTCCTTTCTAAATAGGTCACTTGACGGATTCACATTGTATGCTTGCTCCATGGATGGAACAGTCACCGTTTTGGCATTTGCTGAAGATGAACTTGGTACACCGGTACCTCAAGTAGAGATTGTAAGTCGTTTGACATGGGCTGTCCTCCTACTTCACTGATTTTTTGTGCTTTTTACTACAGGACAGTGCACTCACAAGATACGGATACAATCGAAAAAAGACAACCATAGTCGAATCAGCACGTCAATTGGAGCTAGAGCAAGAAAATGCTATTGCCGACAAGGAGCAATCATCTGAAAGATTAAGCAAGTTGATGAATGCTGCACCGTCATCAGCTGGTGCATCTCCAGCAAAAGAAGGAGCAGCAGCTTCATCATCTTCGGTGCCTGCACCAATGCTGAAATCGCCTTCATTTGTCTTTCCTCGCATGCTGACTCCTGCTGAAAAGGAATTGAGTGCTGCTCAGACTAAGCAACAGCAGCATGTCACTGTTATTGCTGGTAAAAAGAGGGTACAGCCAGTTTTTCTGGGAAGGTGATTATATTACTCTACCTGCGGAGGTTAGTACGTCATTTCTCATCTTTTTTTTGCCACTAGTGCTCGAAATGCAGACGATGATGTTGATATGACACCAGCCACTGCAGCACCTGTAAGTTGTGAAAATGCAAATGTTCTCATTGGCTGACATAGGTCTCACGTTTTTCGTTTGATTTAGGAGAATCGATCAGCAGCTGCTTCACCAACGCGCACAGACGCCATGATAACGATTATTTCTGATGGTGGTATACCTGTTGCTGGTAGCAAGAAGAGAAGTTCAGGAGCAGAAGATAGTGCAGCCAAGAAAGTTGCCAAAGTAAGATGGCGTTTCTCATGTGGCAATAGGGTTCTTTTTGTTCTCATTTTGATTTGTAAATAGGAACACGTACAGTATGTATTACCTTCGGTCATGGATGCTACAAATGTCCCTATTCTCGGAATACCAGCTCCAAAAGAACGTATTTTAGCCAAGATTGGTGAACCATCTCGGAATGATGGAGATGATGTTTGTGTATTGGAGAGTGTGAATGATATTCGTGCAGGTATCCCTTCAAGGCCTTGTTGTTTTTTGTTGCCCATTTCCTTTCTTGACTTTGCTTAAATTCCATGTTGTAAACGCCATCATCGTTACTTTAGGATCAAGTAAAGTCACTTGCTCACGAGGTGAAGTATCTTTATGGCAAGACACTCTTTCATCGGTTGTTACCATGTTGGGAGGTAGTGAGAAGTTCTTTGCGGCGTCTTGTGCTGATGGATCGTTATATATTTATACTCATGCTGGTCGAAGGTAGAGTAAATTTGCTCATGATGGTTCATCCTATTGGATTTTAATCGAATTCGAGACAATTTGGAAGGACTGGATTTGAACCAACCCCCTCCCCCAATCAGTTATGAACTCATTTTCTGTCGTCTCGAATTAGATGGCTTCCTTGTATATCTTTAGAAGGTCCTGCTGTATTCATGGATTTCTGTGGACCTTACCTGATGTGTTTGACTTCGGCAGCTAATGTACATGTTTGGTGCGTATAGCTGGAATACACTTCCAGGTTTTTGCCCTCTTTACTCAGCTCCTCATTTCTCAAAATTATGTAGGAATATCCCAGACCAGCAATCTATATTATCACGAGAAAGTGTTGCTCAACTTTTACGAACATCCAAGCCAACCGCTACATCATCAACAGCAACAGCTTCAACAGCACCAAACCTAACCACATCAACAAACACAGCAACATTTGCGAGTGTCGTGAGTGCAACGATACAACCATCAGGAATACCAACCATCACAACCTCAGATTCGAATTCGTATGCCTATAATCTTGGTATGAAGGTGTGGCAAAAGATGGGTAGAGCACAAGATGGTAATGTGCAAGGAGTAGCAGGAATATTGGCTCGACTAGCAGAGATTCGTAAAGAAGGCGCCAGTGTCCGTGCTGCAAGACAACGAGTGTCTGCTGTGTCTCACCTTGAGGTATTTTATGGCGTCGGTTCTTTCATTTTTGGGTCCATTAAGTGATCTGCTTCCTGGGTGAATTCTAAAAGACTTTACTGGTCACCATAGGATATGGTTGCATCTGCATTAGCACTGCAGTCAGCCAAAGAATACAAGCATTGGTTACATCAATATGTACGTAAGCTGGGAGATGAAGGTGCCACTGCTAAAGTTGGTGAATTGTGTGATGATTTGATTGGACCACCGGAAGTGTGAGTATTGTGCTGTTCACTAATATGTTATTTTGGTGGCGTGTATGGTCAACGCTGACGATTTCTGTTATAGTCTTGCTCTTCCTGGTCAGAGAGCATCTACTTGGGAGCCCATGATACTGGTATTGATTTATTGATTTTATATGCGTTTTTCGGGTATAATATCAGAAACCAAGACCGTTTTTTGAAAATTAGGGAATGTCAAAGCGTGACTTGTTGCGTGAATTGTTACCTACTCTCGGTAAAGCTTTTGATCACTGGGTTTGGAGTTCGGCAATGTCTTTTCCGCTTCTCCACGTCAATCAACCAACATTTCTGACTCAATTCACTCACACACACTATAGCTCGAAGCAGAAACCTTCAACGGGTGACTACAGTGTATCAAGATCAATTGACACAATTGACTGGAATGAATGTAGATCGTTGAAAGAACAGCAGCAACACGTAGCAATATTGTAGCTAAGCATGTAAGCAAGCAAGAACAATACATATATATTTTCTGTCAAGATTGGGGAGGCAAGGGTCTTTACTCTGATGGAAAAGATGCTTATGACGAGCAGTGGAGTTTGACCAGGGCGTCGTTGTGGGTGAGTTTGTATGTTGGTGGTGTGTTTGTTTAATGTTGGGAGAAGAGGAAGAGAGATTGTGTGGGTTCTATCTTCATCTCATCAACAGACTTACTGACTGTGGTCCCTCTTCTACTAGTTACCAAGATCAAGATATGGAATAACAGATGCAATGCTACATCAGACAAGGAAGAGGATCCCGATGTATCAAAAATGATTATCGACTTTAATAGGACTGGTCGTTTGTGTAAGATTCTCTGATGGTGATCGTCGATGTTCAATGAATTCTGATTTGAGAGCTAGATCCTTAGGTGAATGCTCGCAAACTGACCATCAGAGTTGGATCAGGGCTTCGAAACGCTAAAGCTCCGTAATGGTGAAGTCGGTCTCAAAAGATAATGTCGTTTCTCTGAATCTAGTTCAATAGCACTTGACCTTTTGTTGGCGTCGCTGAATCAACAGTACAAACTCACATTGTTTTTCGTTCTCACCACATTCTTCCATACATGAGGATGTGGTTGCATCTAAATTAGCACTACAGGCAGCTAACGAGGACAAGCAGTAGATGCATTGACATGTACTTAGTTGACTCTGACCCTCGGTTCAATAGTCACATTCTTCCTGATCAACTTGGTTTGAGTATGCATGAAATGTTTGCCATACATTTTTTCTCGCAATGTTTGTTCTTCATACTAGCATCTGCCTTTGCCTTCTATCATCTTGGCACCTGTTATCTAATTCATCTATTTGGCTTGAAATGTAGGGAATGTCCACCGTGTGGGGCTAGTTGGGTGAATTGTTACCTAGTCGACGTAAGAATAATGCTGGTTGTCACAAGACACACATTTTTCTGCTATCGTTCTGTTGCCACAGCCTATTTTTGACACAATTTGCACCTTTGCAATGTACACTACACAGCTAGAAGAAACCCTCAATGTGTGAATATACTGTATCGAGCATGGATTACCACAAGTGACTGGAATGAATGTAGACGGTTGAGAGTAAACAACAACGTTTATAAAACGTTTATAACAGTAATGTAAAGCGAATATGTAAACAAGAACAAATATATATCTATATTCTGTCAAGTAATTTCGGTAACAAGGTTGTTATAACAAGGAGAGATGCAAATAGAGAGACAAGGGAGGTTTACGTGATGAGTGTATTGGAGAGTGTGTATGTGTGTGGGAGTGCCTAACAAGAAGTGTGCTGGTGTGTATAACAGCAACTTCACTTCTTTCCAGACTTTTTTATGCCACCGCCGACCAAAGGACCCTATGGATAGAATGATTAAATACAAGCAATTCCATCTGTGTAATCGATCATCGGCGAAAGAAAGGAGACACTCATCACACCGGATCGTACCTTTTGTGAAGCCTTTTCCTTCATTGCTTTAAGAGCAGCCTGTTCTTCCCTCTGCTTTTTCTGAAATTCAATGTCGGTCTACGTGATTATATGAATGAGTATGTAGTAGTGTCGTCAATGTGATGGTAGTCTGTCACGGTGATTGATTTCAATGAATGGTTGTAAATGTATACCTCGTCCAACTCGCTGGCATCCTTCTTGGCAGCTTTTAAGGGCTAAGTGAGTGTCATGAATATGATGTTAGATATGTGGTACATGAGCAAGGATAGAGACCTGATTATCATGCTATTACGCACCTTGAGTTTTCCACCTTTTTTTAAGTTGTTTGTTTGAATAAGTGAGTTAGTAAGCATGAGAAGAGTGCGAGATCGGCCATAATATATTCCGTACCTTGTCGACCAGACATTTCTTTGCTTGAATTGTTTTAGATCTTTGTCGTCTACTTGATTTTCTGTTTTCAATAAGTCGGGCAGAAACTAGACGTTGAGCTATAAGCAAGACAATACACCACCTTATAGGATAGGATCGTATACGACGGATGAACCTGTCGACGCGTCATATGTCGTGTCTGATGGCTCGCTGTCAACAGTCAGTCTTGTTTAAACCAAATGTGAATATGAGGATGGCATCTACTAGCAGCAGTAACGCACCATTCACCAGTCCATACCTGCATGCTACTAATGTATTCGACAATCACGGCGCAAGGACAAGAGTAAGTCATATAATGTATTGTACTGTGTTGGGTTGAATCAAACATTGCAACATTTGGTCAAGCTTGAGAGAGCTCGTCGCATACACGTCAGACAACAACCATATCAAATCTGATTGATTACATCACGCATCAGCATTCATATTCACACTGCCGATATTCTCACACTCAACACTCTATAGAAAAACAGACTCGGTCGTGGTGAGGGTTCAGGAAGAGGCAAAACTTCTGGTCGTGGCCATAAAGGTTGGCACGCTCGTGCTCCCCGTGCTCTACCTCACAGAGGCTACGAGGGCGGCCAGACTGGTATCGTCAAGGCTCTCCCTAAATTCGGAAGGAGACCAACGTGAGTGATCGATGATATATACTGTATACACGATGGATGTTGTACTTTCTGCATACTACTCCGTCATTTGCACGTCTTCCAATTATCCAACACTCAGCTCACGCCCCATTCGCAATACAGCAACCGTGAACAGCTGGTTCACTTACATCTCGACAAGCTACAACACTGGATTGATACTGGTCGCATCGACCCAACTTCCCAAATCACCATCAAGGAACTGTATCAATCCAGACTCATTGGTGGCATGAAGGATGGTGTTGTCTTGTTAGCTAATGTAAGTTACTCAAGTTCCAAGTTACTGTTTTGTTGGTCATCACCTCACAAGACGGCGAAACGGCTAATCTAGTAGCACTCAAAACAACTCACACAGCTTCTCTCTTCAACAGGGAGCAGAAACTCTCACATCTAAAATCAACATCCAAGTATCCCGAGCATCCAAACAAGCTATAGAAAGTGTCGAGTCGCTGGGTGGCAAGATAACATGCGTGTATCTAGACAAGGTGTCGCTGCATGCTGCTAGGCACCCTTCGAAATATTTCATTGCTCCTTCTTTGGTACCTATACCCAAGACTGAAAGAGATGTTGGTAAGTTAAGGGTTACGACGATTGTGTGTGCGAGAAGTGTACTCGGGGATGGGAGATGGCACTCTTGTGCGTGGCAAGGCTGCATCCGCTACTTTCTCGTTGACTCTCTTCTCTTGTTTTTTTACTAGCACGGTATGCTAGTGCTACATACCGAGGATACATTGCTACAAACAAGGAATCAACATCCATTCCTAAAGTTGTGGCTCAACATAGATTCTGGTCATAACGATTTGGTTCATCATAAATAAAGCAATTTTCGCATTTTGTCGCACAATCTTGGGAAATGCTTCGACATTATGAAACCCGTAGTTCAAAGTTGGCTTACGATGTTGAGCAGACAACGAAGCATGCGTCTTCAAACATTCCAAAGTTTCTGCAGCTCGCTGTTTTGCCTGCTATTTAAAGTGATTTTTGCAAAAAGATTGTACAAATTAGGAACACACTATCTTTAACTTATCCTCCCCTCTCCAGACACACCCTCACGTCATACATCCTCCTTCGACCTCTTTCATCCTTCTCTTTCTCTACGCTATCTGAATGTATTCTCTCAACACGTTGAATGCCTCCTTTGAATCTCCCCTTTCCATCAACAGCAAGTGTACATTATATGCTGCTTCTCGCTTCAAGTTCTGTTTCTAGATTGAAAAAAAAGGCGATGAGAAAAACAAGCTAGCACATGATGCAGTATCGGATGGTGGGCTAATCCATAGTAGCAATATAGCATTATCATCCTCACAGCCCTAAAAGTACTTACTCCTAATTCTGCGGGTGCAGACAAGACATGGTTGTAATAATCTAACGCCAACTCTCGCAATCCACATTGATGAAGTGCTCGAGCGACATTGTATGCTGCTTCTGCTGATTGTTCTGATAATTCATAGTACTTGAATATACACGTGAATGCCTACAAGAAAGAAAAGAAAAAACTATAAGTGTTATGAAACGAGAGCAGATTGTGAGAGACATTTGGTACTGTACCAACCAAATCCATTCATTTCGTCAAATCTCGTTTTTGTCACGACACATGACACCCAAAACGCAACTTCTTACAGCCCAATAACTCACCCAAGAAAAAACCTTGTGTTTCTCTTCAGTCTTCCTCTGGTGCCCTTTGTGCAAAAATGCAATACCCAAGGACAAGTGCACAAAGGGATCTTCAGGTACTTGTTGGAGTGCTCGGCGGAAATACCATATAGCTTGATCAAAGTTTCGAGCACAATTCGATACATGTCCATACAAGACCAACATCATAATGTTGATGTCAAATTCATGCTTTTTGCCTTGTCTTATCAATTTTTCGAAACTCTTCAGTTGTCGACCAAGAAGTTTTATGGTGTTGGCCTGTGTATAGATATGGAGAGCTTCGGGAGTTCTAACATCAAGGAAGGAAATAGATGTCAGATGAAAATTTGAAGAGATCCGCCGCAGCAAAAAGGCCATCTGTTGATACGCGTATATGCTATTCTGTAGCGACAAGTACTTTGCTTACCCAATTGACAATGCAGCAGAAAAGAGCTGATAAGTATCATTCACAAAAGGTCGATATGAAATAAACCATCGTGCATGTTCAGCAGCCATCCCAATGTTATCATTGACGAGTGCAGCATCTAGTTAGCGACCAATAAAAGCAGCTCATGAACATTTGAGTTGGACGAAAAATAAAAAGGATTATGTTGTGGATTGCCCGAAGGCAACACTTACTCATCATATGGATGTGAAGTTTAGCACTTCTGACTTCATCATGATGAAAGACATTGGCAGAAAGACAAGTCTTCAACACCTGCTGAGATTCTGCTGATTCGCCGACAACATTGAGTAAATGGGACAACTAATACATAGTATGACTATTAGCAAAAAGAAATCACACAACAGGTAGTGTAGTCAACGTATATGAAACCCACCCTAATGAACATCTGATACCATTGCTCAATGGTCAATCCGAGCCATGAGTCATCTTCTGAATGTTGCGGTTTGCCTCTTGTCTTGAATCCAGGAGCCCTTCGATGTTTGTCACCCTAATGAGGGGTGACAAAAAAATGTTAGGTGCTACATATACGTAATGGACGACGGATCTTTCCGACAGCGCGCTACTCTAAACCCCACGAGACCATGTACTTACATAAAAGGCCTTGGCGGAAGTGAATTTTGACAACAATTTTTTGGCCTCTCGAATAAATCGAACCTGCCCAAGTTGCAAGAAAATTTGGGCCAGTCCGAAAATGCATATCCATATGAGAACAGACATCCACTTATGACTTACTCGTGATCCAGGGTCCTCAACCTCCCGATATGCCTCCATCGCAGATCGATATAAGGTTATATTCTCAGCAGACAAGATTCGTTCTCGTTCCTGCTCTTCAGCTCGCTTCTTGGCTTTTGCAGCTGCGTTGATTTTGGTCTTTGATGGTTGATTAGGATCAGCGGGTGGTTTCCTGTCCCTTTCTCCAGGTGCGGCTGCCTCAACTAGTTCATTGTTGAGAAAAGGTGTACATTAGCAGGTTGAAATCCTTTCACAAAGCAAACCATATTCATGACTATGACTACATACTTTCTTCACCCAATTCAAAAGCCTTCTCTTCCTCTCCCATGGCTGTGTAAAGTTGTCGTAATTCTTTCTTGGCTTGAAGTAGATCGGGCTTTAAAGCGAGTACTGCAAACGAAATATTTTAAGACCGAGAATCATATGATGCTTGAATCTTTGACCAATATTTAACGTTACCATGTCGATACCATTGCTCCGCGAGTGAATAATTTTTTAGCTGGAAATGGCAAAAGGCGACACGACATGAAACGTCTGCATCATGCTAATTGAACAGGTACCGAGTAAGTTTAACGTGTACACATTATGTGCATTATTCACTAATGATATAGTCATAGAGACCCGTATACAAGTTTACCTCACGAGACGAACGAAGGACTTCAAACGTCGCCAATGCGTTCTCAAACAGACCTTTTTTGATGAAGGCTTCAGCAACCTGCATCATTAGGTCTATATGGTTTGGAACCACGTGGGGCTGATAGAGTTTGCTGAAATGATCCTTTGTTCGTTGCAAAACAGGTCAGAGCCATGACGCGAAAAGAGGCGAATACAGGTTCCTTACTACAGCAATATCAACTTGATCCAACATGAGACGACATATACCAAGCTGAGTTCGAAGCTCCATAGGCATTCGTTGATTTTCAGGCATCATAGCTGTTTCGTAAAACTCTTGATCATCAGGCCTGAAATCCCAATGAGTATCACGAGCACGACCTTGTAATCGTCGTACACATTGCCGAATCGTATTGATACAACGGTCGTATTGTGCTGTTCTGATATACAAGCCAGCCAAAGTGTTGATGTCTGCATATCTCATACGACATGGTACTACAACGCGAGCTCCCAAGTCCAATTCGTCGTCTTCGTCGTCCTCGTCCACGGGTTCCAAGGGATTCATTTTATCAAGTTCGTATAAATCTTCGTACAAGTTGATTGCTTCTCTGGGTTGATTGACACGGGCCAGGAGTTTACCTAATTCGCGAATTACTTGAGGATTGTGTGGAGATATGTTGAGAATAGCACGGAAGCCAGCGATGGCCTAAAAACAAAATGTGTGAGTGTTGATGACACGTTCCATGAATTTCTCGCCACTAAATAGGTCGTACCTTGGAATAGAGACCACGTTCAATTAGTAAGACAGCTCTATCCCACTGAGCATTCAGGTCCTCCTTGTCTAGCCTGACTGCCTTGTTGATACAATAAATGGCTTGATCAAGATTACCAATTTGTCTACAAACCACCAAAAATGCAAGATGAGCAAAAACAGACTATCGGTGACTCTAGAAGAATATGTGCTATACCTGGAATCGACTGCAATCTTCTTCCACAAGTTGGCATCCGTTCCACCCAAATGAGCAGCAATCAAGTTTGTCTGAATGGCCTTTTCAGTTTCTCCCTTCGCTTCTAGCACAGCGGCCAGAGTAATCCAAGGACCTTTAGCACTTGGAGCTCCACGAATGACCTCGTGCAAGATTTGTAATGCTTCGTCGAGGTTGTTCGTAGCATAAGCCATATTGGCTCGCCCTACCAAGGCCCTTTGTTCGTCACTCAAATTGGACTCACGGATACGACGACGACGCTCCTAAGTAGCAAAGAAATATTAGATACCAGCCATGACTTGTTTTTGCAGTTGGCAGTTCGTGAGCAAACACATGAAGAAAACAGTGATGCTGTACCCTTCTATTGTCTCGAGTAGCGTCTTCGTCCAAGAGTTGATCGTATTCCTTCATAGCTTCTTGATCGTCTTCAAAAATAACATCATCGGCACCCCTCTCAAGACCACTGTCACGTACAGCAGCATTCATAGAAGCTCTAAGAAATAGAATGGACACGGTCAACATACTATAAAAGTAAATAACTTGATTCACATACCCAACATCTTGAGGAATAAGATCATCTCTGTCATCAGGTTCGTCTTCTTCAAAGATTAGCTGATCACCACCCTGCAGGTCGTCTTCTCCATCGTGATAGTCTTCTCCGTCTTCATCAAAGGATGCATGGCCATAAGAATTATCGTCTTCTGGAGCTGGAACTCCGTCTTCGTCGTATTGTAAGCTCTCTTCGTATTCTTCTGCTTCTGGATCTGCATCGTCAAGTATCTTGTAGCCGTCATCATCGTCATCGTCGTAGCCCTGGCCAGTCATCAGATTGTTGAATGAGGTTCGCAAGTCCATCTTGTCCTTAGGTCTCTGTGGGACTGTTGGTTTTCTTGGAGTTTCGAGATTTGACAGGTTTACTAGTGACTCAGGCGGTTTTACAAGACACTGATTTTAAGACTAAAAAGATTGAGATTACATGTGTCTACAGTTTACATTCCAATGTGTGATTTTCGGGACAAGAAACACCCAAACATCTCGGGGTCGTGGAATTTCGTGACATTTACGCGAAATGGACGTAGCTTGAGGGTTCAACTATTGCTAGTATGTATTGAATGGAATGAAGATCTAGTTGTATGTGGCTTTGGATCGCATCTTTCACCAGCAGACGCCATCACAATTTGCATATCAAAGAATGCTTAAAGCTCACACAGTTTCGTAGCTGAAACATACGAAGTGCATCTATTATTCTATGCACGTACTTTATGATGTAAATCCGTGTTTCATCAACCACTTTTGACGTGTCAACCCCAGAGAACCACAGTCTGCTTTTTTAGCTGTATTTTTAACTCGCTTACAAAGTGCTAAAGAGCTGCAGGACAAGAGATACTGATCCAATGCTGCTTTTTACGTCGTATAGGGTCTGTGTCATACAATTCAGCGCTTTGCATTCCAATGTTCACTCATGACGCTCTTCGGTGGCATTCGTTTCTCTGTCACTCTTCATACTGGTTCGAAAGATGGAACTCGAGTGCTTCAACCTGCGCGAGAGAATATTCTGACCATCAATCATCTCCCAGAGGTTTCTTCTGGTTGCTAAATACAGAGGAATCAAAAGATGAGAATTGCCAACTCGGATACAACAATGTTAATAACGCCAAATCGAGTTTATATAAACATATGCAGAAAAGAATAGAACTCCAACGAAAGTTGGCCTGCAAAACGTTATGATGTTCAAGCTCGACCAGTTTCACTGTAACAAGTCCTCGCATTTTAAAAGCCCGTCCGTAGACTCATAAGCCCCTCCGACTCTTTCCTTGTTTTCCGCTTTTTCTAACGGTTGGCTGGGGTCAGCTGCCCATAGCCACCAAAAACAAACTAAACCTCCACAGATTCGAGAAAAGCTAAAAATAATAACAAATATGGCTCGTTTGAGCAAAGTAAGACGTCGGAGCATAACATTTGCCTTTGAAACGCTGCATTTAATAATGAAATCGATTATTAGATGTCGGTGGTTGTATCTGCCTTGGTGGTTTTGGGAGGTGTTACTTTTGCGGACCCAATAGCATCATGCAACAACTTGTAAGTTAGGACGTTAGAAGTGCATCCATGTTTTCTTCGTATGCATACCTTGATAACCTTGACTCTCCCACCTCCTCCCTAGTTATACTGTTCAGAGCGGGGACTTCTGTTACAATGTATATTTCTCAACAATTGTTCAGGGGTTTGCGCCGTACAGTCCATACCGGTCGCTCATCAATCTACCTCTTTTCTGACTCCTAGATTGCTCAGAATCAAGGCCTTGCGAGCTTTGCAGTACTGGAACAACTAAACAGTGCTGGTATGTGTGTTTTTGAAACAGTCTTGCATACTTGTTTGTGATCACACCGAAACCACATCCCTGGTGGATCGATCAAGAAATATATATTTCTCCACTGATGCAATTCTTGGTTTTAGGCACTGCTTTGGCCTGTGAGACGGTTCCAATTTTGCCTGGTCAAATTCTGTGCATCGGTGCAGCTGGTGCTCCTGCGGCAGGAGGCTCTGCGGATGGAAAATGCGGTGCTGGATTTGGCAGTTGTGCATCTGGATGTTGTTCTCAAGTAAGTTCGATGTTCGTTTCTGATGCTGTTTAATCTAGTTCACGGTTAAGAAACCCGTTGTATTACTCACAAACTTTGAATTCACATCGACCTAGTACGGTTACTGTGGTACAACAATTGATTATTGTGGTGCTGGTTGTGATGCCAATTTTGGGTCTTGCTCTACTAATGGTGATGGTGGCGCCCGCGTTTCTACTGACGGAACTTGTGGTGGGAATGTCGTCTGCCCAACCGGCGAATGCTGCTCACAATACGGATTCTGTGGAAGCTCAGCAGAGTAAGCTATGAACTTGTCTTATTTGGTCGGGTGTGTTTACGATTTAACTGACTTCGATTCGAATAGCTACTGTGGTGCTGGAGCCACTACGACTGAAGCAGGACGATGCGGTGTTGCCGATGGACTCACATTTGGAACATCGTGCACTGGGAATCTCCAATGCTGTTCCTCGTTTGGATGGTGTATGTGGAGTCGACATTCGGAGCACTTTGGTTTCGAAAACATCTGAATACCAAAACATTCTCTTTAGGCGGTAATACTGCTGCCCATTGCGCTACCGGGTGTCAAGCAGCTTATGGTTCTTGTGGGGCCAACACTGTCGTCGCATCTCCAGTCGCCAGTGCTGCTGCTCCAACTGCTTCTCCCGCAGTAAGATATCGTATTGATGTTCTGTTGTAACCATAGCATCAACAATTTGTCACATGTTTCTTGGTTAGGCTGCAGGTGCTTCCGCTGGTCCTTCACCACTCGCATCAGCTGCTGCGTCAGCTGCCCCGTCACCAATCGCATCGCCGTTTGTTGCTTCACCATCTGGATACCCAGATGCTTACGGCAACCAGTGCTTTGACTATACATTGGGATGTAAGTCTCACTTGAGTACTTTGTGTTGTAGAATTGAGATTCCAAACTAACAACTACTACAAACTAAACAGGTCCAAAAACCTTTAACTTCATCGATCCTACATCCCGAAAATTAGCAAGAAGAGGAATAAGACCCATTATAAATTATGGTAGAACCAACCTTACCACAGCTACTCTCAATAGCGTTAACCTGACGTGCAACTATCAGAATGGAAATGTCTGTAAGGGTAATCTGACTAGTTCCACCTTATTCTGTGAGACCCCCACAATATGCTCTGTTCAAACGACCAGCGATTTTTGCTGTCAGACGTATGTACAAGTGCTTTTAACCCCCTGCGCTCATTGTTTTGAAACTCACAATTGACATCACATTTCCTATCGGTTATAGCGTAGATTTGGCTGGTAACTTGCTAAACATAACTGCTTCGGTTGAAGGATCATTGGTCATGACTTGTGCTTATGGAAACTCTGCAAACACCTGTGCTTATTTAACCAACTACATCGATCTTTCCATTGGCGGCTTTCCCCTCGCCAACGGCACGCAAGCATGTCCATCTGCCGTGCGAGACTGCTCATAATCTTAAAACAGAAAGCCGGGCCAAAGAACATTGTCTAATGAAAATGTTTATCAATAATCAATCGTCAGAGCGATTCAATAAAAAACTTGTTTCGCACTTACCATTAAAATCTGAAATCAATCGTTATGTCAATATGTTTTACACGTATGTTCTCGCGTGTGTGATTCAATATTAACCAGAATCACGCTTCTTCTCGTTCCAAAAAGATGGGCAAGAAGAAGAAAGGGGCCAAAGCAAGCAAATCGACAGCTTCTAAGGCCACCACATTAACTGATGCCCAATCGGCTCTCCTGCTCTTATACTTGACGTATGGTCTACGCAGTTTTACGAAAATCGCTCCATTTTTAACATTCTTGGCGATTTAGGGTGGAAGCTCGTACCCGATCGCTTGCATTTGCTCGATACAAACTGAATTTTGAGTAAGCTCCCATCGGAATCTACTTAGCCTAATACCTTTAAACAGACATCAAATGCTCATTTAATAGAAAAGTCGAATATGGAAAACTGCGTGAAGGGCTCAAGAAAGCAGAGCTGAAAACGGTTGGAATTTATTTAGAATTATTTTGAACGCGTTAATAGTCTCATTAACATGCTTTCTGTAGTTTGATCATCTGAAGGACTTTACACTGTCACTACACGATTCAGGCAATCCAGCAGACATGAAACTATACTGCAAACAATTTCTTCCTGATGATGACATATTGCGTCAACGTGCTGCTATTAAAGGTAATGGCTCTCTCTTCTTGGTCATCAAGCCAAAACACGAGGTCTAGGTATTGAACGCTTATCCATACAATAGCTCAACACGACACAATCCACAAACTCCAATCCGACTACGCTACCCTCCTCTCACAAATACGCGACCTCCAAGAATACGGCACAAGATCAAACTCGCCTACAGGAGAAGCATCCCTCATCCGTCAGCTTCGTCAACGCTACAACCAACTCGTGTCGTCCCACCACACCGAAATCTCCAAACTCGAATCCCGTCACAATACAGTCAAATCTGTAATCAAATCCCGAACAGTCATTGCGGAGCAACGTGCGGAGTCCGGTGCAACGATGGAAGAAATGTCCAAAATGAATAACGGGATGGTTGGATCCGCTATCCGAAACGGGAGACTCAAACATCGACATCAGGCCATGATGAGTGAGCTCGAGAGTATGAGCTGCTATGTACGTGTGCTTGAAGATGATAATGCTAGGATGGTTGCAATGGCTAGTTCCAGAGAGTGGATTAATCCTGTGGATGAAGATGAATTCAGTGATCAAAATATTCAGGATACCGCTTTAAGGATATTCGATACTTTGAATGATGAAGAGGACGACGATGAGGAGGAGGAGGAAGACGACGAAGATCTGTCGGAATGGGCTTCGAATTTACCTAGTGATTCTGACGATTCTGATAATGACGATGATGGAGAGGAGGTGGAACGAACACCACAGCAAATAGAAGCTGATAAGATTGTTGAAATGTTACTTCAAGCCACAAGATACCAAAGAGACATTCAACGTATGCAAATCATAGGCCAATCTGCCAACGTCACGCGAGGCATGGAAACGGCACTCGGAGCCAAGTTCTACGATGGAACACATCAATGAGTAGCTTAACAAGTAGTAAAATAAAACCCTAAAAGTCTCAAAATGGTGCGGTTGAGTAGTAGTATGATTCGCAATATCCACGCGTCAAGGGGCGACTGACTACCTTTATATGTGATACATAATCACATTTTTGTGCTTTGACACGTCGACGGCAATGGTTCCAAGTTCTTTCATGATGCCAATAATAGTTCTATCGAAATCATTTTCAACTCCTACATTTCCTCACGGCAAGGATTCAAGGGAAACAAGACAAGATAGTAGAAAAATGGATTACAAGGGATACGTAGATATCAGATCTACAAGTTTGAATACGGATGTCCCGGACAAAGGAACTGTATTTCTCTGAAAGTCAGATCTGCGTCAACATCTGCTATGGGCAGATTGTGATGGAGGAAACTGTAAGGGGCAACAACAAAGTTGGAGGACTGGGAAGAAAAACTCCAGTTCAAGGTACTAGGACTAGATGCTTTGAACGGTGGTTGCTCCACGTGTCTACTTCCCAATAAAACTTTTGATTTTTGGGAAGGACTGGGAAAAGGATTTCAATTCAAGGCTCTAGAATCATCAAAGGAACGGGAATTGCGTCCCTTGTTAAGTTCAGCTTTCTTTATGCCAGTTTTTCTTGTGTTGGGAGCTTTTGCGAGTGGCGATCGAGTGTATTGCTTTTGCAGTCACTTGAGATAGTCGATATGATAGTACTCTTGTAGCGCTCAAACTTAACAAAGCAAGTCATGAGATAAATGCATGTGTAAACGATGTTTGTTATGTAACTATACAACCACAAAATTTATTCCCAAGCTTTTACAATCCAACCAGATTTTCACCTATTCACTTATTCTTTACGCCACAATCCACTCTTTCCACCATCCTTCTCAACCAACTCCACATCCGTAATCCTAATTCCCTTATCAACACCTTTACACATATCATATATAGTACAGCAGGCAATAGACACAGACACCATAGCTTCCATCTCAACACCAGTCCGGCCCTCACAATCAGCTCGAGCTTCAACCACCACCGCATTCCCGTCATCCTCAAATTTGAAAGTCACTGACACATGCGACAGGTTTAGTGGATGACATAAAGGAATCAAGGTGCCTGTTTGTTTGGCTGCTTGTATTCCTGCTATTTGAGCAACAGTCAAAACATCTCCCTTTGTTATCGCGTTTGTCTTGACGAGATTATATGCTGTGGCGCCTAGATTTACTCGTCCACGAGCTATGGCGTGGCGTTTAGTGGTTGGTTTGGAGTTTATCGACACCATTGATGCTCGTCCCTTGTCATCCGTGTGTGTCAGGCGAGGTGAAGTCGAGTAGTAATGTTGTTGATGATAATTTTGCTGATGGGTAGGAGTGAACGCAATTGATGAATTATTAGAGGTATACCACGATGAATGTAATAAAGGTCGTCGTGTATGAATGAGGTGTGAATGATGCAACAAAGATGGTGGTATATTAAATAGGCTTTTGCTTAATGTCGTCACAGATGCAAACGGATCTAATAGAAAAGAAGAAGCATTAACCATCGGACGAAGTACTTTTCCCGACATTGTTAAAAAACGAAAACGTGAGCTCATATTCTTACCTATAATGCACACGAATTCAAAAGAAGGATAAATTAGCCCCCAATGAGGATCATGGGCCGATTGGGCATTTTGGCGAGCTCGAACATACCTGCGTGCTGCTTCTTTTTTCGTTTAACTACGTTTGAAACAGAGAGTGTTTGAGTGCGAGGGCGAGGAAAAAACAGCCTTCAAAAAGTCTCGAATGCTCACCTGCAGCTCCAATGACCTCCAACAAGTCCTGATCAGAAGCACCGTCTCTCATAGCATCTCGTAGATTGACTTCAGCATTCCCAAACAAGCAGACCTTCATATTTCCATCAGCCAAAATCCGCAGTCGATTGCAAGTACCACAAAAGTGGTCACTCATGGATGTTATAAATCCGAATTGGCCTTTGAATCCAGGAATAGAAAATGCCTTATTAGAAGGGGAGTCTGTCTTTAGCACCGTGCATCCGTTGCGCTACTATCACTTTTCTTTTGTGCCTCTACCTTTGAAGTATCATTTGGTTCATCCGATATTTTCGTAACATTGGGATATTTATTCCTGATATCTGCTAATAGATCCGTGTATGGTACCATCTTGTCTTGATTCCATTTGTTGCCTAATGTTTATGTATAAGCACAAAACCTCTGAGAATGACAAGCTCTCGATAACTGAAATTCGACTCAATTAGCTCGTACCATCGAACGGCATGTACTCAATGAATCGAATATATATCGGCCAATCTTTGGTCAATTCGACAAATGGAATGACTTCCTTATGATTGACGTTTCTCATGACGACAGCATTGAGTTTGATTGATGGGACGTTTAGTTTGATGGCTGTATCTATTGCTTCCATGACAGCCTCCCATCCTATTTTGTGACATCATTAGTCAGTATCAGATACACAAAGAATGGGTGTGAATGTCAGCAATGCGAAAAAACGAAGGTCTCCAAGAATATACACGAACCTCTTCTACGTGTCATGAGCTCAAACTTGAACTTGTCAAGTGTGTCTAGGCTGATATTCAAGCTGTCAAGGCCATTCTTGACTAGCTCAGGCAGTTTTCGCTTCAAAACTATGCCATTCGTAGTCATGGCAATAGTCTTCAATCCCAGCGGTCGTAACTCATTCAAACCAGCTATTGGAAAGTGTGAGTGTGAGAATGATAGTCGAGCTGTAGGATAAGCAAAACAGTCCGACAAATGGAAATATTGATGACGTTCAAGCAGGTTAAGTTTGGCTTACCGATGATATCTAGCAAGTCAGGGCGAACAGTAGGTTCACCACCAGTCAATCGGATTTTGGTCACACCTTCTTGAACAAAGAGCCTTGCCAACTTTAGGATTTCGGTAGTGGTCAATAGTTCTGGCTTGGGAGTCAACGGTACTCCCTCAGCAGGCATACAGTATGTACCTTGTGTGAGTTAGACAGTGTGAGGTTGAGGAGAATATGTTGTTCAAGCACGGGCCAAATACACCATCAAGTTGGGAAGCTTTACATCTTAGGTTGCAACGTTCCGTCAGGGAAATCCTCAGATAAGAATGTTGGCGATTGAAGGTATCAGTCAGATTACTTGAGAATGGACGTATGTCATCTATGGCTTGCAGCTTTGCCTAATATGGGTATTAATGATCGAGTCAGCACGAAAAAGAAAATGAGCTCATGTTGATGTTGATCTGGTTTGACGTCTTTAGCACTTCGGACCAGAGTAAGCTTGTAGATACCTTTGCAGCTAGCCTGATGTGAGTAGGATCAGGCTGTATCGGCTGGATCTCAGTTGAGATTGCATGGGACCATATCTTGATACTGTTTTGAAGCGTTACAAATGTCCTTGAAGGTCGACCAACCACCATGCAGACAGCCCCAGGAAGCATCGGGAACGGCAATCCAAAGTGCTAAATTATAGCCTCCTTCCTTTCTGTCTATCTACTATGTACGATTAGCTTCAAAGTTTGGTGCTGTTTGCTGAGTCTGAAAGTTTTGTGATTCTCATGGACCAAGTAGCATCACAAGCTGACAATACATGTTATTTTATAGTGAATTCGCCTCGTAATTGCTTGAAAGAATCTTTCACCACAAACCACTGATCAACGAGTGAAAGCATCAACCGTGAACTGTACCAATGTATCTCGACATTTCGAGGACGCCTCTGTACGCGCAGGACATGTTGGGATGGCAAGCGCACCAGTACTATAGCTGTTTCTTGCATCTTAGTGATGAACTGAATCCAATGATACATCCCACGTTCCGCCTGGTAAATCCATGCAGTTGCCCTTTTTGATGTATTGGAGGTCTTATTTGAGGAGAGTTGCCGCTGATGCCGTGGTGATGAAGAGCGTAGCTAGTACGAGGACTAGTGCCAGAAGAGAAGAGAAGAGTTTCATGACTGTTTTGTTGCATTGGGAGTTAAACGCCGGCGAAATGTTTGGAACAACTTCATTTGCATTAGCAAGGGAATAGAAGATCGATATAATTTACGGTTTAGAGTACGTACGATGCCTTATTTCAACTGTTACTAATAATTTCAGGGCTAAATCCTCGAGGGGAATGTGAGCTGAGGCGTTTTGTGTTTAGCGGATGTCTTACCTTGTTCAAAGGAAGGCGCGTGTCGAAGAAGAACAGGGAACGTAAATAGTATTTTCCTTTCACTTTGTATTACTCAAGCTGTCCTCGCTTCAGAGTTGCAAAACGTTCTAAGAGGTACAACAAGAATTGTAGCAACAACAAACTACTGGATCCCATTTTTGAATGAGAACATGCATCTTCTATATATTTCCATCAAGTTTACTATGCCTTAGGTCGACCTTCCTCTACAACAAGATTAGGCGTTGACGATGCTGTTGCTGCTCCACTACCACCAGCAACAGGAGTCTTAAAGCTGGTCGACCCCAAAAGCATTTCATCAACGCCAGGTTTTTCCCTCGTACTGTACATCTTTTCGACTTTGCTGACCAGATTACTGTTATCCTTACTATTCGACATGCCAGTTTGCTGTTTAACCCATTCCAAAGCATCATCAAACGACTTTTGGAAACTGAATTCGAGTTTGGGGAGATCAGTGTCCTTGATTATTGCCTTTGTGAAAATGGTTTTAGACATCACTGGATAATTGTAAGCAAAGGTTGTGAGGGCTATGCCGAGTGGGAAGAGGGTTCTCCATACAAAGTTTCCTAAATCAGCGTTTTGTCAATGAAGGAGTCTTGCAAGACAATTACACAAGTATATGCAAATCAATAACAAATCGCTCGAGTGTTGCACATACGATTTCGAGACAAGATAGATCCAGCAAAGAACCCAATAGTCACATAAATGCCGCCAGGCAGTAACGTATCTCCTTTGTCTGCATAACTGACTACAACATCCTTCAGCTTATTCTCATAGCCTATCCATTCATCCACGACGTGTTGTATCGATTGTCGAGTAGTTGAGAATGCATCTGTGACTGTATGCCTTGACTCTCGAATCATTACTTCCAGAGTTGACGGTTCTTCGATAATCACTCGTTGCTTTTCCGGCTGGTCGTATATTGGTAGTTTCTAAATGCCGAGAGTAAAATGGGAATATGAGTATTCTGAGATGGCTCGTGTTTGACTTTGAATGAAAAAGCTGAAAGTTGAGGTGTGCGATGTTTCCCAACAAATGTTTGATGCTTTCGTCATAAACCTACAGCCTTTGGCGATTGGAAGACATTTCCTTCAGCACATATTAAGCTAGAAGGTATAGCTATAGCAGTTCCAGTTAAGAAGAATGCCAGCCGTGACGATGTTGATTGCTGATTTTCATATTTAGAAAGTGTCGAGTTAGCGCCAAACGAAATGAAAAGTCAAGGAAAGGATTCTTATGCGTGCAGCTTACTTGTATCGGCCTTGCAAATCTGGAGAACATGGCTTCCTTTTGCCACACGCACTATTAAATGTTTTGAGGAATTTCGACGGCAATGCAGGAAGCTGGACGCAGTCAATGCAAGACACGATTCACGTATATAACAATTTAGAAATACGAATAACGCTCCGCTATATCATTGCTAGAACGGCATTCTATTGAACGCAAAATATCATATTTTGGTCATCGGTCTCAAACAAGTGACCCTCGCTTCCGCTGAAGTACTCCTCCATTGCCAATGATATCGACTGACATTGAATGACTGAAACAAATAGTAGTCTGGAATGTGTTGTCTGGTTTGCTCTATGGCCGCAAATCCGATGATAACCCTTTTTTTGGCTCTCCATCTATACCTTCACAAACCGATGCACAAAGTATTACGAAGCATGCGATGAGAGAACTGGATGCTACAGTCACGTCGTCCAGGTTGTAAAGCTGAATCTCCTTGGAATGTGTAAGAGACTACTGCTGTATTGTCGACACCAATGGTCGTCAGACAGGCTTTTTGGAAACGAGAGTGTCAAGAGGTTACCACTCCTGTGCCATTGCCGACGTCTCTCTATTCGAGAATACGTGAGTTAAAAAGAGCACACCCTAATTTATTTATTTTTGCTATCATCCTAACACGATCCCTCTATTCAATTGTGTAAAAAGAAACAATAAACACGTCCATAACTGTTTCAACCGCTCCTGTGTCATTTCAATGCTTGGATCTAATGATTTTACAGAAAGATCCGCTCGTTACAAGAATGGTTCTATATTGAATTCTAGTGCCGAGCAAGGACTATCAATCTTGAAGTTGATCAAGACTGTAGGATGCAACACCCCAAAAGTCCCAACTTTCATCGTGTTGTAGTAGACGTCTGCACATCGTCCAGGGAAAAAGGTGGGATCTACATTAATAGAATAGGGACGTGTGAAAAAAACGTAGACGAACAATTTAATAAGCAAGAAGGTCATACTGCTGGATTCAGTGATATAATATCCACCAGACTCTCCTACTGGTACGAGACGAGTAGACAGCATAGTCATTAGATGATCGAGCAGACCATGAATTTGCTAGGAGAGGAAGAAACATGAATGAGACCCAAAAATCGATCTATTTATCTGTGGATGACGACGCTCTCTCTCTTCTTTCTCTCCCTCATCCAACAAGACCAAACAATCTACCTCAAATCCAGCAAACTTGGAGCAATACACAGCACATAGATTCCTTTGATTACGTGTCTTGCGTTCAAGTGATAAATCCTTCAGACACACATCAGACACCTCAAAGATTTTTAATGGTAGCGTCATAGTTTTGTTGGATGACACTGTTTTCAATAGTCCTGGTAGTAGTGTGCTTCGAACTACCTGGAAGTCCACAGTTCGTGGATTGGCTAATACAACGACTTCATTACCATCATCAACTCGATTGAGCAGTTTGAAATTTTCATCATGAGAGCACTAATTGGGACAGGGAGAGTGGTGAATAAGATTGTTCGATACAATGATTCAACCAATGCTCGGTATTGAATTCCACTCGTTTTTGCGCCACCCTCCAACATCAACAAATTGAAAGAACAACACTCACCAAGATGAACGGCAAAGCCTCTGTATATCCAGACAACGCAACCTCCCGTCGCAGCTGATCCGTCAACTTGTTTACAGGCAGAGGAGCAGCTATAGTATTAGCTATAGGCAACGTCTTTGGTATCTGATTATATCCAAACCCAATAGCTACATCCTCGATGATATCACATGCATGCAATACATCGGATCGTGTAGGTGGTACTTGTACAGATATCATCTTACGATCAGATGATACTTTGGCGAGGAAGGACATCTTCATTAGGATTCGTACGATTTCGTCTGGTGGGATACGAACTCCTATGTCGTTGCAGATGTAGTCTACCGGTACGTCGAGTGACCGTACAGATAGGTCGGGGTAGATTGTTGATGAGCCATCTGGATTGAAGACTCGTACTGGCTCGATGCTAAAGGGCGTTATAAGAGGTGATTAGCAGAGGTATAAAAAGTAGTGGCTCTGAGGCTGCCACAATTTTTTTCCCACACCACGCCACGTATTTTTTTTGCGATTCAACCCAACTTACGTGAATTGCTCTGTACTGTACTGAGAGAACATGGTCACCAACATATTCAAGGCAACTTTAGCCTTGGTCAGATCCGTAGCAGTAATGTCAATAAAAACGTTTTTAGTATTCAAGCTGATTTTTGAGAGATTCGAGTTGATGATGGGTGGAAGGGACAAGACTCGTCGTTGGGCATCAAGAATTACAGGGTAGACGGGAGAATCACGTATGATTGGTAGAAATTTGGCGATTGATCTGTTCTCAGCTTCGACCTACAAGAACAAATTGGAGTATTAGAGATTTGACCAGGGGAGCAAAAACGGTTCACTCGGATCTAAGGGATGATTTCGTACATCATAATAATGCATCAGCTCTTCACCATTCATGACTCGACTACTGTTTAATGGAGCAAAGACTATATCCTTTGGTGGTAGAGCTTCGTACGTGAATGGACCTTCTATCGAGTCCAAGTCATGTGTACCCATTGAGACCAGCTGTCTCCTCCTATTTGTGAGAATTCCTGTCAGATTCTCACGAAAACAAGAGGTGCAGTGAACTATGGAGCTTGAACTTGTGCAGTGAATGATAGCGCTTCAATTCAATCTCTTCAGGCTCGTTTCGATTTTGCGCGAGCTCAAGCACATGTCAACATGATCGTAACACGAGAAAATAGCCTTAAGCGTATTTTCCGTAGAGCACTGACCTTCCAAGATTAGCATGTAACTTGTCCTGCAAGTCAATGAAACTGGCATATGTAATAGGGTCAAAGGTAATATTCCTCAAGATAGCAGATACACAAAATGGCCGAATTTGTGCCGTCTAATAAAAGGCATCAAGTTTCAGGAAGAGATTTACAAAAAAGAGGACTGCACGCTTCGACGCTTATAACCATTTACCTCTGCTTTGATATGGAGCTCCTGCATTTTGGTAGGCGTTGACAATTGATAATCGGGTGCTGGACCACCACTTAGAAAAGTCTTGACTGCTCTAGCAATGCCTTCCAAGCAGTTCATATCGTATCTAGATAATGTGAAGAGCAAAGGGTTATAAGTGCAAAAATGTTGGATCTTAATCAAGGTATACAATCACTCTGTAATACTACCACAAATAATAACAATGCATACCTGTTTGCAGGAATATCAATTCTATAAATCCCACGATTTGATAGTCCTTTAGCCTTGTCAGCTCCGACTTCTTTGGCAGCCATTTCCAATTCGGTGGTCTATGCGACATGTTCAATATCAGCAAATGCTGTATCATTTTCAACCTGAAATGCATCTAATAGGTTCTTACATCATCTTCAAGTTCTATACCGAATTCGAAGCACAACTCTTCAAATTCTTCAGTTGCTATTAATTGGTTGAATGTCATGTCAAATTGGATGCCATCACAGAGAGAGAACAAAGAGAGATGATTTGATAGATGCATCGTGAATATTTCGTACTGAAAGTTCGTCCAAGTTCCTTGAACAGGTATTCCTACAATTGGAGTTCCTTTGTGTTAGCCTCGTGTCATAAAAAAGAAAAGCTGCTTGACGGAATTTGCAAGCTTCTGGCAAGATGGTGGAAGATGCATGCAAAATGGTTCTTAGCTTACCTTGTCTACGTTGACAGTTGGCATGTCTCCTTCTCTTTCGTGAAGCTTTTCTGTTAGATAATTGATGACCGTGAAGCTCGGATGCGCTAAAGTTCAATCTCTGTCTTTTATTGCGCTCAAAAATTCATTACATTCGCTTTGAAAACTCAATATACGCGGTATTACACGTCACTCAGTCTCTAGCTGATTCAAAATATATGAGATTTGTATTGGTCTTTTCAAACCAAAAGAGTCTAACAAAACATATTATAGCTGGTCTAAACATTTTCATCTTCCTCCTTCATTCTATACCACCACTACTACTACTCCTGGTCAGCAAGTATGATCTCATCATGTACAGCACTTATAGCAAATTGTGCATCCTTAGCTTGGATGACACATGATATATTGATTTCTGATGCTCCTTGTGAAATCATTTCAATGTTCACTCCATGCTTAGCCAGCACCGTAAACATGCGACTGGCAATACCAATCATATGTTTTAGCTGTCCAATGAGGGATAGGATGGCTAAATCCTTGATAACGTCAACCTAGACGGAGAAAACAAGGCACTCAGATTGGTCTTCTATACATTCTCGAACGATCACCATGCATTTATAATAGCGGGGTCAGCGAAGGCATGGATTACAAAACAATTCTAACAACAAAACATGATGACACTCACAATGCCATGAGCCTGCAGCTCGGCAATGGCCAGCTCCAGTTTAGTATCATGCACATTATGTCCCAAGGCCATAGACACATGCACTTCACTCGTAGCAATCAAATCAACGACAATCCCAAATTTGTCAAGAGTAGTAAATATAGATGCAAAGAATCCATGTGACACGGATTTTCGATTAGAGTGTACATTAATAACAGTCACATTGTCCTTGATGGTTACAGCTGTAGGATACTTTTCACTTCTTGGCTTCTTGTTTGCTGATGCTCCATTACTGCCATTACTGGTACCATTACTACTATACGATTTGATCATTTTACCATCCATGAACATACCAGGTGGCAAGATAACGGTTCCGGCACCTTCAGGCCTAAACGTGTTCAGTATACGTATTGGTATACGTGCTCTTATGACCTGCTCCATAGTAAACGGATGTATCACTTCAGATCCATAATACGTCAATTCTGAAGCTTCTTCTGGAGATATCTTGGCCAAGAGTTTGGCTTTGGGTGCTTTACGTGGATCAGCTGTAAATATCCCATCGACTTCCTTCCATATTTGTAATTCGGTACCATCTACAGCTACAGCAATCAATGCCGCAGTGAGATCTGTATATCCTCGTCCAATAGTGTTTAGAAGACTGCCTGGTACTGGTCCGAAATATCCTGTTACGACCGGTACTTGGTTGGGACACTCTCGTATGGAACTTGCCAGTCGTTGTGTTAGGTATTGGTAAAAAGTATGATCTAAAGATTTTTCATCGAATTGACGGTCTACTACTTTTTCTAGATTCACATATCCTGCATCCACACCCTAATTTGTGATAACAAGTGGTTGTGAGACGGTGACAACAACAAAAAACCACAACAGTCCTAGTCATAAACTCTCAAACGCTTGCTTGCATGACTGCACGCTACATCTTATTCACAGTAGAGCCCTACCTGTGACTGCAAGACTGCTGTGAATATTCTAGCAGACAGCTTCTCTCCAACACTAACTATAATATCACGCGACCTCGGTGATATCTCATCAATGATCTAATGTGGCGTGCAGAGTATTGTTAGTATTGATATTATAAAGGTAGAGAGAGCAGCAGTACGCCTTCACTCAAGGTTGTCCACATGCAGTCCAAAGGAAACTTCGTTTTGCGGTTATGAAACGCACGCGTTTTATTTACCTCAGCAGCACCCAAAAACTGTTTCAAAGTCTTGCACTCATGTTTAACATCGACTTCAACACCAGCTCGAATATCAGCTGAATCAACAGCTAATCTGACAGCTTTCACATGATCCTGTTCAATCTTGTCAATAATGTCCAAGTATCGATTCGAGTTTGGAGTCAAGGCTTCGTGAGCTGCTTCTAGTAACCTGTTTTAATAATACGAAACCGTGTCAGGAGGTGATTGCTTAATGATTTCAGATGACAAAACTCAGCGGGGCTTTTGGCTACCTTGAAGTAGTTCCTTCAACTTTTTTCTGACTGCTCATGGCAGACAAGACTACAATGACTCGATTCGTATTTAGGCTTGATCTAAAGTCAATAGTGCATGGTTCTTGTTAGGTCAAGGTCAACAAACTTACAATTTTTTTGATGATGTGAAAACGATGCGATGTTCAAACCAGCACTCCAACTACCAAAGACAAAATAGATTCAAGCACTTACTTGACAATCTTTGCGACATTGAGCAATCTCTCAGCAGTTCCTATACTGGTTCCTCCATACTTTTGAACTACACATGGCAGGTTTTCGGTTTCTGCTGTTGCATGCATTCCAGGCGTTGACAGATGATATGTAATGGATTGATTTGCGATTGAAAAGGTCCAGTGGGAAAGCTTAGAAGCCTTGCAAGTTAATTTGGTGTTGGTTCTTCAACTGGCTTTCAAACCTTTTTTTTTCGTCCACAAATTTGGATGACAATCAAGAATTTGAACTTAATTAGGAGATCAACGCGAAGACACTCGCTATCACGACTATGCTTCCGAGTTTCGAACTTTTCGACACTTGATAGATCTGAATGACGCCAAAAAATATCACAGAAAAATTATGACATGATGTTCTTCATTTCTCCTTCTGTACATCGTGATAGCAATAATTTATATATAACAAGCTATTGATGATCAGGCTTTCAAGATTTTTCATGGCAACCAGTCAAAGTGGAGATCATTGCCCCACATTGTGGTAAACCGGCCTTCGAATTTTTGTATAAACCTTTCGTAATCTGGGCGACCGTAGAAGTCGAGTTCACGTGCGTGTTCTATGAGTTCAGCGAACTCTGGTACTAAGTCTGAAATTTGAGTAGAGAATCAGAGTTTTGGTGACTTTTGGTATCGAGAAAGCGACTCGCGACATTGCCGAAAAAGTAGTCATCACATTATTGGCATTTTACCTTCACACAAGTCACAAAGAAGAGTTTCATCCTTGACATTAGCAATCTTCTTCCATCCAAGTGAAAGATTGAAGGCACTGACCCCAGTCCATGGAAGACTACCACGTGCCAATTCAATCAAGACATATGCGAGGGATTCAATGTCATCTCGACGCGTAGCAACTTTCTCTCGATGGACGTTCAATGAAGCATATTTGGCTGTGCCGACGTGTAATGTGCCTCCTCTTGGTTTCTTTTTTCCTATTTGTGAATATGTACAGAGAGGTGTGAGTGGAAGGTCAAGGAGAAAAAAACTCAAATATCTATATGAACTCGAGCACGTCGAACGTTTGCCTCCATTACACCACATTCGCAGAACACATATAACATACCTGGGATATGCTTTCCACCTACCCACCATTCCGTAGCAAGACCAAAGTCCACAACATACCTGTAGGAAGCAAAAAAGTAAGATTCGTATGTTCTAGGTAAGGCAACCAAAAAGGAAATAATGGATGCCACGCTAGTCTGAAATCCGAAACTTACACATCAGAGAAATTATTCAACTCATCACCAGCCCTCCCAACCAGAAACTGCCCAGGCTTGATATCCCGATGCAAAATACCATTGTCATGTATATTCCTCAAAGTCTTCAAAAGTTTGGGAGCAGCAGCGACAACTTGTTTCAGTGGTATTTTACGAGACGGATACCGGAATGCTATTTCTTCTAATGATGGCCCTAGACGTTCTAAGACCATGAATAATTCTTCTTCTTGCTCGAATATGCCTAGACATCTGGGGACGCATGTTATGCGTTTGGATGCTAGGATTTTGTACATGCTGTCTATTTTGTTGAAAAGATGACGGTTTGGTGATATTGTAACGTCGTTAAAAGCACTAGATTGGGCTTTGTAACATGAACTTACATTCGTGATCAAGATGTATTCGAGTATTCTCGCGATTGGCTTTCTTGACACAACATGCGACTCGATTGTCTTTCAAGTCTGTGGCAGCATACACTGTGCCATGTGAGCCTTCTCCAAGTTCTTCCTATAAATATATCAAGTATTGGAAGTCGTAAGCTGTTGATCAATGTGCAATGATGTCAGGCACATGTTTCTTTTATATGTAGACAATAAAACCGCATCTAGGTGAGAATACAGGCATATACCGATGAGAATCTTACCTCGAGCTCCCAACGATCTTGAAGAATGGTCACAGCATAAGGAGCTGGAGTCGCGGGTGTATCCCAAACCGAGTAAGCTTGAGTTTGGTTCATCCAACGTGGTCTTCTGTCGGAATTGAAGCTTGTATATAGAATGACTTTCAAATGCAAGAGCTCAGAACACTGCTCTAGTACTATGGCAACGTGTCTTTGCCAGTGTTGCTTTAATCTGGGCTTTGACAGCCGTAAGGCTTGATTTTTTGAAAGTTTAAACGCAGCAGGTAACATTAACATGGCACTTGTTGGAAGCGTGATAGTCGCGTGCTTGGTGATTCTATTACGTGTATTCTATTATTGCACGAAGCAGGATATTGTAAAGTATCTAGTAAAGTAGCTGTCTTCTATCCAGATCGAACATGGTCGCATCAATCTTGTTGGCTGGTACACCAACACTAGCCATGAGGTTGGCGGCCTTGAGTAGCATGACTTGATCTCGTATGTTCAAGTCCTCATCTATGTCCATCATGGCTGAAGCTTGGATGGCTTTGGGTGTTATTACGAGCTTCTCAGCATTGTCAGGTTTCGACAACAATGTCATTTCAGATCCAATTTTGGAATCACATTTGCATGTCGATTGTAGTCTGGTTTCTGTTATGGTTGCTTCTGAATGCTGTTTTGGTGTTGGTATTTCACTGTTGTAATACTATTTGTTCCAAATATTATGAGCTTTGTTAATCAGTCAACCCCAAAGCTATTGGATACAAATCACTAAAGAGCATACCTTGAAAGCCTTCTCAATCAACGACAAATCAGAAGCTAATTGAACAGCCCCGATCTTCTTCTTCTCCACAAGAGCTTTCACTGGATCAACATCAGATATAACCTCGAAATTAGGTCTTGTACTTGACGGCACAAAGCATGGCTCCAGTTGCTTGATACTTGCATCCCGCCATGATGAAATCGTCGAAAAGAAGGGATGCGACATTAGAGCTCTCATGCCAGACTCTTCGTGACCCAGGCGTTTTGAGATGTCAATTTGGAGAAATCCGGCTAGACACGATTCACATTCAGGAGATATGACTACGGTTGTGTCGATGGGAAGACGGTATTCACCCTTCCTGATTAGGTTGCGCTTGTCTTTGCCTCTAAATGGTCTGTCTGCGAATAGCAGTTCGTACATCATTACACCCAAGCTCCACCAATCTACGGATGTGTAGTAGCATCCTTCCAATAGTTCGGGAGCCATGTCTATTCGAGGCACATGTTTGAAGACAAGGTTCATGTTGAGTATCTGTTCACAGGTAGGTTCACATGTACTTACAAGGTTCAGTGCCTGCGATAGATTTCAGGGGTTTATCATTCCGTAATCGAACTGCTATATTAAAGTCGGTCAATACAGCATGACCTTGAGCGTCTAAAAGGACATTGTCGGGTTTAACATCACGATGCTGCAAGACAAAGGAGGTGAGTTTTGGTATATAGATCCTTCCAAACAAGTATATCAACATACCACGATACGACGAGCGTGGAGATAGTCTAGGGCGCTTGATATCTCGGCGACGATGATTCTAGTAGCATCCTCCGAAAACGGCTTCTTTAAATGAAACCTCAAGTCACCACCAGGCATCAGGTCCAAAACCATGTACATATTCTCAGAGTCCTGAAAGGAAAAGCACAGTTTGATGATATTGGAATGTCTTAGTTCTTCGAGTAGGTTCCGTTCTTGTATTATATGAATCGCCGCCTTGTCCGCTATTGACCTCTCCTTGTTTATACCTGGTAACGGTATGTGAGTGTGAGTATACTTATACACTTGAATCAGATGTGCATAGCATACATTTGAGAGCGTATTTCCTTCTAGCACCATGAGGCCCTCTTCTTTCAACCAGTGAGACCTTCCCAAATGCACCTGTTCCACAAGTGGTGGAAATGCTGAAATCCTTTATAGAGAGTGGGCCCCGAGAACCTTCATCGTTGAATTTGGAAGCACATTTGCCCATGCTTCCGCGTCACAGATGGTGTATGCGGTTGGTTAAACGGCGTGTTGTGAATATAAATGAGATGAGCGTCAAATGCAATGCATTTTTCGGCTCCAAATCAAACCAGGAAAATCTCCCTTTTCGAGGTCTGATTCTTTTGATTCCATTTATTGGTTCTCGGAGGTATTTGCCTAGTGATACTACAAACAGAGCAAACAGAATCAGCGTCAATCCGAAGTTCCAAGCGGGTTGCAAGGCATTTTACCATATGCGAAGAAATTAGATTCATCCTCTAGCCGATGCAGTAATTTTGACTCAACTCCTCAAAGTTTGCTCGCACTTCGGCTTCCTTGGGTAGCACTAGTGGGCGATCGAGATACTTGATAGACTTCGAAGTAAACTCTTGACTCCCATATTAAGATTAACGCGTCTATTGTCGAAAATAAGAAAAAGAATAAGAAAAAATTAGCCATCTTTTTCCTATCATCTCAATGTCACAGCGTGTTTTTCTCGCTGATACGGCACTCCCTTTTTCTTCCCACAACATTCAAACAAGACCAAGCTCATTAGACTCAAAGATACTGGGCATACAAAAGTGTCTACTATGTCTGAGGTGCGAGAATTCGAGGCAGAGCTTCAGACTCTGCTAGAGAATCGGCCTCCCGTCTCTCTCTCCAAGATGCAATCGCTCATCAGATTGGCCACAAAACATTCAAAGGTATGCCATGTGTTGATTGATGCATCTTATGATAATGCGACACGACAAAGTCCACCATCCTATAATGCACTGTCATTTGCTGTATTCTTTCTTCTGTTTACTTCCATGGTTTGCCATCAACAAGCACTGACATCAAATATCATTTTTCTTTAATCTCTCACAGCACTACAAAGAAGTCGTAGCTGCCATCGAAAAGTTCGGTCAGACCTGTCCTAAAGAATACAAGCTTCCAACGCTATATGTCGTCGATGCGGTCGCTCGGGCTGCTCACAAAGCTGGAAATCAAGAACCTTTTGTGCGACGATTTGAAGAACGTCTGGAGAACATGTTTCAATTCATTGCTCATGCTGAAGGCAAAGACAAGGTACATTTTTGATTGTAATAATAGCAATGATGGTTATCTGGTTGGAACAGTGTTTATATGGTCATACCATCGCACAGTCAAAAGCTAACGCCACATCTCGCACTCGACTAATAGGACAAGATGAAGAGGGTGGTTTCGTTGTGGAAGCAAAGTGGCTTGTTCAATACCGACATGTTGTCCAATATTGAACAAGTTTTTCTGACTGGACAGCCTCCAGGTATACCTGCTCTGATTCTTTGCCCTAATGATTGTAACTCACCATTAGCAAAACACATCTAATAGCTGCGCCTCCAGCTGCTTACTCAGCCTTTGGCTCTCCAGCCGTACCTGCTGCATCGCCCTTCACACCCTCAGCAGCTCCAGCTCTTGGATTTGGTGGAAACAATCCAGATCAAGTTGCTGCGGTAGCTCAATTGACGCAACTTCAAGCTCAAAACCCTGGTGCAGACATGACCACTCTCGTGGGCATGATGGGTCCAAATGCTGCTCATCTGGTTGGTTTGATACAACAAGCTGAGCACCAGCTGGTACAGCAATTCATCGCTACCATGGGTTCTACACCTGAAGCCTTGAATCAGTCCCTAGTCGCTGCTGCTCAGACAAACCAGATACCAAACCTCACTGTGGGTTTATCTGGTTTGCCTGCAGCCCCTTCAAACAACAACAACAACTCGAACGGCTATGTCAAGCAGGAATCTTCAAAGAGAAAGGCTTCCGCTGACGAATCTGGAACGCTGGACTTTGATTACGAAGAAGTAGAAGAAGCTCCAAGGTGTGTATTATCGATATCTGATGGTGTCTGTCTGTGGTGGTGGGTATTTCTGGTGATATGATGATGATGAACTGGTCTATTGGTGAGAGCCTGCTATACTCTCGTGTACCCATATCCCAAGACGAAAGTAGAATCATCGTAGTATAAGTGGTAGCTATAAATAAGCTGAAATGGTAATTATAAGTTTAAATCCTTCTTAAATTCTATAATTCGAGGTGATAAAAGAATAGCATAATTTATAACCGTCACCTCAATATTTATCTAGATAATACTTTATAAGTCTTGGTATGGCCATGGGTTTTCATCAATAGACCAAAAACATCATCATCGTCATGTCGACTTGTGGATTTTGAAAGACTGGCAGATTTTTGGTCGTTGCACTTAGAGCAGAATGTTCATTCCCTTTTTCTTCTTGGTATTTAGGACTCGACAACCTCTACCGACATCCACACAACCAGCAGCTGCTAGCACTACAAGTCAACCAGCTGCTGCTACAACAGCAACCGGTCGTCAACGAGCATGGAAGCCCATTTCAGCAAACACCGCATCATCAGCAACATCAACTCCTGTTGCTGGTGCTGCTACCACACCCATATCCGCACAACCTGTACAGCAACACATGCCAGATCCCACCATGGGTGCTTCGACGGCTGCTCCTCTCCTTCCAGGCCAAAAAACTGTTGACATTACGAACTGGGATGGTGATGGCACTGCACCTCCCAGACCCGATCCCAACCTTCCTTCCAACATGTTGCGAGGTTAGTATATAGTGTTGCTAGTGCTTTTTACTATTGATGATGTTATTACTATTGCTGCTGGGTATCGGTGCTGTGTTTTTGTTGGGTCTTTTCCGTGGTGATGGTGGTCTGTCTTAGATTGCTCATTGGGAGGATTTTGAGAGGTTGGGTATGAGGAAAAGCTATGAATGGAGGCGTCTTTGCTCGAGCAGGCTATGCAACTTCCAGGGCCAGTTAAACATGAAGTAACTTTTTTCTCGCTATTCTTTTAGTGGTGAGCAGGACCATATACGTTGGCGGCATCACTACCGCCATTACTCGAGACAGACTCAAGGCAGTATTCGAGACGTCCGGTCGTGTCGACACTGTGATGGTATGCAATCTCGTTTGTTCCCTCCTCTTTTCTCCTTTCTAACATGCTCCCTTGTCCTGCCTTGTCATATTCAGATCAACTATCCCAAGTACAATGCCTTTGTCAAGATGTATACACGGGCAGAAGCTGCAGTCGCCAAGGATGCTTTGAATCGCGTCATGGTGGAAGGATCTATTCTCAAGGTGTTAAATGCAGCTTGTTTATCGTGGACTTGGAATGTTTTTTGCATCAATCTAAGACTTTACTTCCTTAGATGGGATGGGGATGTGGATTTGGACCCAAACCATACTTTGACTACAACGTTGGAGAATCATTCATTCCCATCAATGATTTGACTGAAATGGATATCAAATGGTTGATGAGCTCAAAAAGAGGTGGTGGGACTATAGAAGGTGGAATGGTTATAGAAGAACCAGATGTTGGCTACGTTCCACCTTCTGGTCAAACAGGTGGCCCAAGTGCTGCAGCCATCTTCCGTGCCACTCGTACTGGTCCACCTCCGCGTCATGAATCTGATGGACGAGGAGGAGGTGGTGGCTATCAACGAAACATTCCGGTAATGGCTGAAGGTGGAGACTCGTACCGACCAGCCCATTCCTCGTCCTCTCACGCATCTGGTGGTGGAGGAGGAGGATACTCTGGTGCCGATTACGGTGGATATGAATACGAAAGCCAATACGACTATAATGCCTCAGGTGGTGGTGGTGGAGGTCATGGTGGTGGAGGAGGAAGTCACTACTCTGGATCTGGGGCCGACTATGGAGGCTATGATTCTTCATATGGTGGTCAAGGGTATGCGCGAGGCTCTAAGCGTGGAAATGAAGCGCAGGCATGGTCTGGTCAGGACAAGAGGGGCAAGTATCAATGAAGAACGGATGGCGTGGTTAGAAAAGCATCCCAATAACACGACATATAAAATGTAAACATTTGTATTGATTCAAAAAACGAGAAGGAGTTGGCAAAAACAAACATTGTGTTCCTTCCAGTTTAAATGTGCGACATTTTGCATAGTAGAATTAGCTGAAGTGTTATCTTGGATCCTATGTTCGTACTGCTACTTATATGCTGCGAACTTCGTGATCACCAAACACACACTTCTCACCCCTACTCTCGCTCAATTATTCAAGTAGGAATGCCAAATCAAGAATAACGACAAGTTAGTAGGAAGAAGAGGGTGGTAGAAGGTATTCAGACATCGGATCTACTCACAGGAGCAGTGCCTGTCCCCGAAACGACAGCTGTGTTCCTCTGTGAGTGGCATTTGCGTCAAAATTTGTGTTGTTGGATTTTGACGAGGAAAACTGCAATGGGCAACAACAAAGTTTGGAGGACTGAGGGCCGATTCCAGTTCAAGGCTCTAGGACTTGATGATTTGAACAGCATGTGGCCCATGCCAATTTCCTCATAAAAGCAAACGTCTTTGATATATCATTGGACCCATTTCAGTTTAAGGCTCATCAAATGAACGAGGTCGCACGACCTGTGTCAACTTAACTTGCTTCTTGCAGTAGTCTTGTCTATGAGCCTCTGTAGCATGAACAGCACCGTCTTGTTGTATTATGACATATAATTATTATGGACAAGTTAGCCTTGCAACGCATACATAATCGTAATATATAATCCACATGTAGTGCATCATCCATCTCCACATATAATTCTCGTTGTCCTTAATGATTCGGTTCATGCGCTTGTTGTTTGTCAAATTGTAGCGTTTCTCGAGACATGAACGTGAAGGAATAGCATAGGAAACGATTATATGGAGATTAATCTTCAGAAATCGTTTGAGCGTTATTTAGATCACAAGAAAACCTGGCAAAATTCCATTCAACATCCCCGTAATCAAACACTCAACATCAACAAACCTCGACGAAATCAGTTGGAAAAAACGTTGAAGCAAGTGATTTGGCTGCTACCACGGAGATCATATTGGAATGGTTCTTGTAGCTGATCCGACCGTTCTCAGAGGTATTAATTGAATTAACAAAAACTAGCGACTGTGTCGAACCTTGACAAGTTATTTACTTTCATAGGAGTACCTGAATTCTTTGAGAATGAACTCGGCGAGTCAATTCAAGCTCGTACTGAATCACTAGGTATTGCTATCCTAATGTCAAACACATCTTAACATCAAATGTTGAACTTGCATCTCTTTAGCGACATTTCGTGAATTGGGCCCACCAGACTTGTGTCATGTACTCAAGACGAATATAAAGACACTGGGGACACGAGATGTAACTATATTGACGGTTCATCTCTTGTGGCCTGGACTGTCGCTGACTCCTTCACAAAATAGTTGGGTTCCTATCACTTTGTATTGGGAACAGATGTCAGGTACACTTGATTGGAATTCGAATCTTCATTTATGAATCTTTCATCATTCTTTTCATCTATCTAGTTCCTCTGCCACTGTCGCTGCCTATCTCAACTCGTTGACATACACTGTGGTATGTTTATCATGGTATACTTTCACCCAACACTCCACGTAAACACGGCTCTATACTTTAGGATGAAGCACAGGGTTGGTTTGGAGGTAAAGGTGCGCCGTGGAAGATCAAGTCCGGAACGTAAGTTTTTATGCTGTCACCTACCAGGCACGAGATCCACAAATCTCAATTCTCGCCTCGAAACCCCATCGTATGCATATAGATATTGTTGCTTCAATGCCTTTTCAAGAGTCGATGTACGTGTGGAAGTCAAGATACCCGGTGGTGTCGAATCCTATCTTGTGGATCTGAGAGGAGACAAGTATGTTCGGCTTTGGATTCTGAAAAACCACAACGCAGCGATGGCCAATTCACTGCTCATTTCCTTGCTGCCAGGCACCCAATTGCGAATCCGGCTATATGGCAAGAAACCGCTGTATCGGCAGTATTGCGGGCGATACTAGATGATAACGATGAAGCAGATGGAAACGATGGAAACCCATTGATGGGATTAAGAAAGTTGGACCCAATACCCTCTCTAGCGCTAGAAAAGAGATTCTTGGATCTTGCTAAAGCAGAGTTCTGGAAGGGTAAAATCAGACTATCCTCTCATGCTCTTCAGACGTTACTTGTATTCACGTCAATCACCAAACTGATAGGATGGCAGTTGGGAACAGAGGCTGAAGTGCAAGTTGCAACATACTTTAGCAACCATTTGACGAATGGTATTATGAAGTACTTTGGACAAGCAAATCGATTAGGAGAAGCAGCCAAGTTTTTGGAGCCATTATATAAGAAAGATCCAGAAGTCGGAGCCGTTTTGGCGAAATCATTGTTGGGAACAGGTTGGCCTCGCACATACGTCACGTTACGAGAATTTGCATCTGACGCTATTTAAATCACAGACGAGGAAATCAAGGCTGTTCAGACCATGCATGAAGCATTATCAAAAAACCCATTATCGTATGGTTTGTTGCTCGTACAGATAGAGTTTCTGAAAGGAAAGGTAATACTAAGACTCTTCGCTAGTTCCCAAACTGCAACCTCACTTTATGATTTGATTCTTCCCGCAGAAAAAATTCGAATGGGCTCTAAAACTGGCAAAATTAGCAGTGACTTATGCTCCCTCTGAATTTGTCACTTGGTCCAAACTGACAGAGATTTACATTGAATTGGGTCAATATGAGTCTGTAAGAACAATCTGTCAGTTTGAGCCTTTTTCAATCTTCTTCTCATCCATATGACATTGAAATCTAGGCTTTATTGGCCTTGAATTCCTGTCCGATGTTTACATATGTCGAACGTGACTCCCAACGTATGCCATCACCTGCTCGAACACATCTTCCACTCAAACCAGACCCAACTCAACTTCGAGAAGGTGACGATCCCAAAAAGATACCTCCTCAAAATGGAACAATATTTGATGAGAACGATCCGAGAGAAAACGAGGTAGACAGAGAAACATTTGAGAAGTGACAGTGTTTGAATATTGACCTTCGTTTCGGTTTCTTTAGGTGCATCCAGAACTCCAACGATTGCCAGCCTTGTCTCTCAGAGGCACATTCTTGAAGGCATATCAACTACTCATTCGCATAGTCAGTAAAGTTGGTTGGGATGAACTACTACGATTCAGGTCCGCCGTCTTTGTCATGGAAGAAGAATATCGTATACATAGAGCCTTAATGGAAGAACGAGAAAAGAATGCCATTGCTCAGGTGCGACAGAATGCACAAGAAGCAGACAGAGCTAGAGAAGCTGCTTCCAAGTCTAAAGCCAATGGTAGTAGTCCCACAAATGGCAAGGATGGCAGTATCAAGTCAGATGGGGAAGTGAAGAGTCCGGAACGAGCTGCTTCACCGGATCATTTTGAAGAAGCAGAAACAGAGCCCGCTTTGGAACGTGTCAGTTTAGATGGCAAAAAAGATGACTCTTCCTCAAGTAGCTTGAGAGAAGGATCTGAAAAGGGCAAAGGCAAGGCCAAAGGACTGACTATCGATGAGCTTGTTCGTAAAACGGGCGGTGAAGAAGCTATTGCTGCCAGTCAAGATGAGAATGCCAAGGCGAAAGCTCCAGTAAGTTTGATTGTTTGTGGTTGCGCGTATTTCTGTCTGCTGATATTCTGACTTGCTCTAGTTACCAAAGATGCAAAAGCATTCCGTATCCTTCAGCTTTAGAAACAAGAGACTTTGCGAAAAATGGCTAGACAATCTATTTATGGTTCTTTACAATGATCTCAGGCTTTATACTGCTCTCAAACAAGTAACGTCGCACATTTTGTGAACGCACAAGATTCCAAGGTCTCGTTTGCAGTTTTAACGCCATTTCTTTGCCCAGGAAATATCGCAATATAAGACGAGCATGGCTGCTACATCTTCAAATGTGCTCTTGTATCGAAAGACAGGTGCAGAATGGGAAATCTATGGAGACCTGGCTGAAAGGTTGGAGCATCGAGAAGATGCCAAAGAAGCTTATAAATTATGTCTTGAACAAAAGTTTTCCGTCAAAGCATGGCTCAAGTTGATGGACATGTATGCTGATGAAGGCAATCTACAGCAAACATTGACTGCTGCTGCCAAGTTGGTGTATATGCTTGATCGAGCATATATTGAGCAAACATACCCATCACCTATCTCTCGTAATGTCTTGAAGTTGGTACGTCGCCATGGATTGGCCAAGGTGCAGAATGCTTTAGGTGAGGTTGTTTTGAGCCTGTTGCTGTGTTGCTTGGTTTATGATGAAACTTAGAAAATCTAATACCCTTTTTTCAAGTGGCGATGAACATGCCACAGAAAACGTATAGGTTAATTACGAGATATTTCGAGTATGCTGAAGTTTTTCAAGTTGACGGAGCTAAGGTATGATTCTGTTAAGATGGTGTTGACAACACATTTGATGTTGAAATTAACCTTGCCTTTCTTGACCCTAGTGGTGATTTCCGCAGCTGCAGCATCGCAAACCGTATGAATTTGTAAAGCTTATTAGGTAGTAGTAATGTCATTTAGAAAATAGCGGTACTAGTACAACGTTGCAAGCTTTTTTCCAAAAGCGAGATAGTTTGTCTCGGTTCGCCTTGTCTACGCGTCAAGCGCGTCTGAATCGTCATTCTCGCGATACTGACCTATTGGATGTACTCCTCCATCTAATGTGTTTCAAACCTTGTTTTAATTTTGGACATTTTGACAGCAGTTCCACATTGATCAAAGATACCGACGCTAATAAAGGATGGCGACCAAGGTAAGCTACCCCGACTATAAATGATTGTGCCTCTCGTTTCCTCCTTTCTCTTTCAATTGCTGAAGCTTTGGCATATTCGAGCTTTTGACACATTTGACTCAATCGAGTTTTCCAGCAATACGAGTATGAAGCTAATTCCTTTCAATATGACTTTAGTGCTTTTTACAAGTGCTTGGGACTCAAACTGGGGACACATGTCCATCAATATTGGCTTATTTCGAGAATCAGAGATACCTCTTCTCTGTTGGTGAAGGATCTCAGCGCTTTACCATTGAAAACAGAGTCAGGCTGTCGAAGCTCTCAAATATCTTCCTGACTCGAGTTCATTGGGATTCTTTGGGTGGCGTTCCTGGTAAACTCTGGTTGGTTTTGACCTTTGATTTCGCTCGTAAACCTTTGAAGTTTGACACCTCCGTCGAAAAAATAGGAATGCTGCTGAGTTTGAGTGATGCTGGAAATCGCAACATTCAGATTCATGGAGGCACCAACTTGACCCACTATATTGCTGCTACTCGTCATTTTGTATTTCGGCAAGTCCAATTAAGGTCTAAACATGCGTTTCATCCAAGCTAATATACAGTTCGCTCCTAATCTAGAATGTCATCCAAAGTCGAAGTAGATGAATTGACTCCAGAATCGCCCAACTTTCGAGACGCCAATCTCCAAGTCCAGCACGTCTTTATTTATCCAGATCAAAATCATCCAGCCTTCCAAGTCAGCATGGGTATAAAGCTAGTTGAGCATTCATCGCTAAATCAAGTCGCTATGACTGATGATGATTTGCAGTCGCCTGCGGGGAAACGTCTGAAAGCTGAGGCAGCTGCCGCTCCCGCGGCTTCAAATGGCTCTGATTCCCCTCTGGTATCAAACGCTACCACTGCATCGAATGTTGACGTAGCATCTGATGCTGTAAAGGAATCACGGCCATCAGTTACATCATCACCACAAGTATCAGCACAGCCCGCTCCACCTGTAGAAGCCAATCATGTATGTACGTCTACAGCGTCAAAATCTTCGGTATTGCCAGACGCTTTTCCATCTCAACCATCGCAGAATGGCTTGACCGCTCAAGACTCAAAATCTGGTGGATTCGCACCAAACCGTATGAATGAAGCTACTGCCATGAAACGTCGTCATCAAATCATTGAACAAATGTTTAATCGTGCTGAAGCTCTTGACACACCACGTGGTCGACTTCCTCCTGGTGTGAAGCCGCCTAGGACAAAGTTTGATCGTACGTGAGCCAAGCTCTCATACCTGAGCATGTTGATAGTATTTGGGTTCTAACTTGCCTTTCTTGAACCTAGCGGAAGCAACACCAAACGTGTCAGCTGGCAAACGGAAAGCTACAGATACAGTGAGCTTGCCTAGGACTCGTCCAGCCTTTGAATCGATTGCCTACATATGTCAAGGACCAAGCACAAAGGGCAAGTTCTATAAAGACAAGGCAGAGGCTTTAGGTGCTCTACCTGGAAATCAGTTTGGTATGCTTTACAATGGAATATCAGTCACTCTTGATGATGGAACTGTCATTCGTCCTGATCAAGTACTTGATCCTGATGTACCTGGATCGGTAAGCGGTGGTCAATGCACAAAAAAAGCTGCGTTGATGTAGGATATATTGGCTTTATCTCCTATAGATTTTCATAGTAATTGACTGCCCGAACGCATCGTATGTTGGCTCCTTGACCCAAAATCAAGCCTTTGTACCTCACTTCCGTGTCAATGCAACCAATCAGGTCAAAGTCATCATTCATATGTTGGGTGATGATGTGCTTGATCATCCTGAATATCGAAATTGGGTGAATGAGTTCGATAATGAATCTACTCAGGTAACTCGCAAGTATTCTTGGACCACTCTTGCGTTTTGTGTCGCTAACATTGAATGCATCCCTTTCTAGCATTTGATTATCAGCCGAAAACACTGCCCCAAGCCAATAGTGTTTACTGGAAGTGCCATTACTCAGTATCGTCTTAACATGATTGACCCAGATGTATTTCGTGTGCCTATCTATGAGAATCGAATGATGGATTTACGTAGAGCGGGTGAGACTCGTCCAAACCCATTGGACCCTTTTTTCCTAACTCGAATGCACTGTTTTAGATCCTAACTTGCCACCTCTCCCACGATGGACGATTCCAGCCACCCATCTCTTGATATACCACTTGAATCCAATCGCCGTTACAGACACAACTGAGCAACGACCATTGTTTCACATCAATGATACCAAGAACGGTGTCGTGCATGGGATCCATTACTTGAGAAAGTTTATTGGAACGAGCCAGGACGTGTGTCAACAAATCCAAGAGTCTGCAGAGTCTGTCGAAAGTGATTATGGACCTGGAGCTGACGTTATGGTTACCATGCTTGGAACTGGTGCTGCACTTCCTTCACGATTTCGCAATGGTAAGACAAAAAGGACTTCCAGACGAGCTGAATGCAACCACGCAAACTCAGAATCCTGAAAAATTATTTCCCCTGCGTAGTTAGCTCTACACTGATCTCAATACCAAACTATGGGCACATATTACTTGATGCTGGAGAAGGGACATATGGTCAAATCTTTCGGCGATTCTCGCAAGACACCAGTGTCTCCATAGACGATATCTTACTCAACCTCAAGTGTATCTTCATATCTCATATGCATGCTGATCATCATTTGGGTGTTATTCGACTTTTGTTGAGCCGTCGTGAGGTATGGATCATCAGCCAGCAGCTCCTTCGTCAGTCGACAACATCCTTTTTAACCACCACATAATCTCTTCGATTATCTTCCCTAGGCCTTCTTCACTCGTGGAATGGCACCACCTCCCTTATGCATTATAGGACCACCACAATATTGGATTTGGTTGAGTGAATTCTCTGACGTACAAGATCTTGGATTGGATGGCAAAAAAGGAATCTACTTCATCCGAGCAGATCTCATTGTCCAAGAACGTTCCAATGTATATAATGCCTATCTCGAACGGTGGGCATGAAGATCGGGATGAGACGTACCCGTTATGTTTCTCTAGAGATCTAATTTCTCGTGTTCTATAGTATCAAGGACACTTTGGGATTTAATGTCTTCTCAACCATTCCTGTGGATCATTGTACTTATGCTTACGCCTTGATAATGCAACATCGAGACGGCTGGAAGATTGTGTGGGTGTCTGGCTCTGGCGCCATTTGTACGATGGTTTCCTCGTAGTCCGCATTTCCTTATAATCGCTCTTTGATAGATATTCTGGAGATTGTCGTCCGAGCATCAAACTCAGTAAGCTTATCTCGATGCAAGAAAGTTCCTAACCTTCTGACTTTTATTAAACTTAGTGGAAGCCTTACAAGAGCCAGACCTCTTGATACATGAATCGACATTTGAACCAGATCATGCAGATGAAGCCGTGGAGAAGCGTCATTGCACGACTGGCGAAGCAGGTGAATCCCATGCAATCCTTGTTTCCCAATTTATCGCACTGGCCACAAAAACGAGACACTAAGAGGAGATAATTGACCAAAATCTCCTTGTAGTCATTGTAGCTGGTCGAATGAAGGCAAAAGCTCTGCTCTTGACCCATTTCTCTCAACGATATCCCCGTCTTCCATATGTTCGAGACCCAAAAAATCGAACCGCAGTGGCTTTTGATTTGATGTCTGTCAAATTGAAGCAATTGCGACGATTTGGAATGTATGGACCTGCATTACAAGATTTGTATCCTAATTATGAAGGGCCACCACAATATAATGATGATATTGAGTATGGGCCTGCAGACGAAGATATGGATGCTCAGCAACAGAATGGGAATCAGACTGATGATACTATGGCACTAGAGAGTGCGGCAGTTGGAGTTGGTGGAGAGGAAGGGGTTGTAAACAGTGGCGATGATGGTAAAGCTGCCCCAGATGAATAAACCCTCAGTGAACCTATTTTGCACTTGCCTATACTTGTCAAATAGCTTTGTATTGAAAGATAACTTAAAAAACAAGACTTTTTGCATACCAACGAAGATTATATTGTATGTCATCATTATTTACTGCGACATTTAGCGAAAACAAAAGTGTCATTGAAAAAAAAAGTACACAAACTACAACAGATTATACTCGACACATTCACATTCATGATCGTTCCAGCAATTGCTGAAAAGCCTAAGAGGAAGGATGTTGTCAGACAAACCTGCCCAAAAAAAGAAATTATTCCAAAGTACCTCAATATCTTTTGAGACCCCTACTGAATCAGCTTCCATGACCTCTGTCTGAAAATCCACGTTCTTAGCTGGCACCGGTATCCCAGTTCTCACCCACGAGCTTCTCCTCCTCTTCTTTGATTCCGGTATCTCCAATTCAACACCGGAACCATGACGTTTACCACCACCGCTACTTGTAGGATCACCATCGTCACTTTGACCAGTATCCTTGTTGTTGCTGCTGTCATCATCTCGATGCTTTCGTTCCTCCATGTGATGAGCAATAGCTGAAGACAAGTATTGGGATCGTTTAGATGCTCGAGAAATCAGTGATGATAGTGATGTTCTGGATAATTGAGTAGTGGTGTTTTCGTAGGCTGTTCGCATAGATGTGATGGAGTCTGCTAGTTGTGTCAGATAGGCGGGTAGTGGTGATACTATATAGGTGTTGTAGTGTTAGAAAAGATCGCATGCTGATCCTCTTCCAGAGTTTCACTGGGTTTTTGTTAAGGGACAGAAGCTTACCATGACAGTCCACAGGTATAGATTCAAGTCGCAGCATTTGGTTCCGTAGTGGCTGCAGAAGACCTATCTGCTGGCGTGCTAATTCCGTCTCTGTCTTTAGGCGGTGATTTAACATTCTTGACTATGTAAAAGATATGTCTTAGATAAATCTGTCCAGGTAGTATCAGACAAGTTGTTCATGGCATCTGAGAGACATACCGCTAGTAATCGTTTTCTCGCTGCAGCCAACTCTTGATCTATCGATTCTTCATCAGCTGCTGTTACGTTTAGATTCAAGCCCTGCGTTTGAGAAAGGTGTCAGATGTGACTGAGAAAGGAGGCACTCTTGGACGTAATTTGAGATACCTGATATTGAGGGGACGGTATTGATAGTCCTTTTGGCACCGAGAAGACGTTTTTGGTTACAAAGAGTTCGAATTTATCAAAGTATTTGTCAACACTATGCTCCATTAGCGTTTCAATCTCTGCCATTCCCTAAATCGTATGGTATTGTGAGCATGTAGTTGCGAATTAACAGTCCTGGTATTGCTTGTTCAGTCCCTGCTGGTCTGTATTGAAGTTTCAACTGTTTAGGTTTGATGCGTTGAAAGCAAACCAACACAACCCGTCCAAGTATTACGAAAATAATACATCTAGCTGTAATTCAGCATTCTTACCCTATCTACTTCGTCTCCTGGGTCCATTTGCTCCTCTACAAACTGTGCCAACGAAGTCATGGTCTGATACAATAACTCGTTGACGGTATTGATGACATCGTCAATGAGCTGACTTGGAGCAAAACCTAGATGTTCTGTAATGGTTTCTTGAGTACTATCATGCTCTGGTGTAGACCCCGTCGACATTCTTTGTCCAGTTCTTCTTGTTGCCAGCACCCGCAAAGGATGAGGAGATGGCAACAAGTGATTGAATGAACTAGTGTATTACTACTTGGAACAGTGTTATAACTATATAGATCTATAAATGACGCGTTTGTTTTGTTTGATTTCAGTGCTCACAATGTCTTACTAGGACGTGTAAGGGAATCATGATTCCTTGGAATTCGAAGGAGGCTCCATAGAAGACACCGATTATTATAGTATGATAACTTGAATACTATTATTTAGATTATAAAACCTGCATTATAATGTACAGTAGTATTAAGGTCAACCATCGACCATCAAAGCCCAGACTGCTGGCAGAACTCGTCTTTATATGAACGACCTCTTGTTCAGCAACCACCGGTTTCATATTTTCCACCACCAGCTCCTCCTCAAGCATACCATGGTGTCCATTAGACGCCATTAGATTGGCCTCATAAATCATGGCACCCAAAGACCAATTGATCTCATATTCCGACAGGTAGTTGGCAAATATCACTTCTCTATCAATATCCAGTTTCAGACCATCTACTAGAAGGGCTACTGTATATGCGGCTCCAAAACAATGGATGCTTAAATACGATTCCGGTATGTCATGGTATTCCTTCGAGACTTCAGTCCACGTCATCTCATTGCACAGCTCGGACGCCTTGTCTCTTATACATCCTGCACTGGATGGGCCCGAGCACTTCCAAAAGTCTGCTGTATATGCGAAGGAAGATATGGCCAGGATTGGCAGGTTGGCCGGTATTGTTGGTTGATAGACACCATTTATGGCACACGGCGGTGCCATGCAAAACGTTTCGAGTGATAATAGAGACTTTAGATGGCGCAGACACGTCTCGAAATCTCCTGTTCCCACTACTTTTTGCATCTTGTGTGTAAAGGTATACCCTGCCCAACTGCAAGGATCCTGTACAACGCCTATGTAGTCCAGCGATGTGTCTGTTAACTTGGCTAGCAGCCGCCTACGTACAGCCATCGTCCCAAAGTTCAAATAGCTGTGGGTATAGAGCTCATGGCTTACCGAATTGACTCTTACAGGATACGCATTCGATAACGGTATCTCCTCTGGTTCAAACGAGACTTGCGTAGAAGCACCTCCTAAATCCAGAGCGACGGCCAACGGAGCATGCTGATTACTATTACGTGTATCGGTTCGTCCATCCAACAGTCCCAGCAGGTGATTTACAGTCAGCCATGCAAAGAGAGCCTCGTGTTCACCGGATATAATCTGCGCACCGAATTTAGAATCGAAGAGGAATGGGCAGGATCTTTTGTCGCTCAGGTATTTGCGGATCTCCTCTAAGAGGCGTTTCGGGTTTGGCATCAGCCTCATGCCACCTGTTGCTTTAAGATAAATGGGTGTCTTTGCGTGTTGAGAGTGTGGTATTGATGTGTATGCTTCTCTGATTAATGGGTCCTAAAATAAGAAGATATCGTCAAAGACGTGCAACCCGTTTGATCAAACTTTGTAACCGAACTTACCAAATATGCAGCAACATTCTCTATTTCAATATCAGCTAGCCCAGGCTGTACTTTATATACAATTTGAGGAGCAGATTCACTTTCAAATCGCCGCGCAGGGACGACAGACACCTTGTTGCCCGTTACAGAGTATCGAAAGACAAACAATCTGGATCCCGTAGATCCCGCGTCTATAACTATTCCATATAAGGCGTTTGAGATATCTGGTTGAGGCCTTGGGATTGATTTTGGTGCCTGCTGCTGCTGATGTAGTAGTATCGATTCATCCTGCGGAAGTCCAGGCGATGGTATAGCTATAACCTGAGATATGCATGCGAATACGAGTGCTGTCCTGATCAGGAGCCTATAACTGAAATTCATTGGGTCCCTGATCATCAGTCCAAAATGTTAACTGCTGAAGTAGCTCAGAAGCACGCCGTGAATGAAATGGGCTGACGGGCACCAGTATTGATTGCCGAGGAATCTACAAGCAAGATCTAATCAAGTAAACTTCCCTCCCAACTAGAAGACCCAATCAGTGCCCGAGTTTGTGTTTTGAAGATTGGACAAAAGGAGGTAAGAAGGCAACAAATGGGGTTGGGCTGCAGCTAACAGGTCGCATCAGAAAGGGGGACGCTTTTGAGGGCTGTTGTAGTACTGTATTTGGTAGTTGTGCTTTCTTCTTTTCATATAGTCAATAAAATGGATATGAGACGGTAACAGAGAGAGCTTGATCCAAAACATTATGGTATATTTTACCGGGGTTCCAATGCTGAATGTCTTAAATCATAAGTGAATTCATTCCCAACACGCCGACATTTACGCAGAAACGTTCTGAGAACTACAGTCGGTTCGTTGATGCTAACGTTTTGCAACCGCGGTGTTTTATAGCACCTGAAGAAGCCATTGACCGTCTCACGTTCTCCTTAACTCCTTAAACGGCCTTGTCACGTCGTAAACTGTGCGCATGTTGAATTGTCACTGGAATAGAAAGATCATAGAAAATTAGCAAGTTCATAGGTACGGTTTATAGTTGAAATACGATTTCACGAAGCTGGAAATTGGAAATTACTGCAACATTTTGAAAATCATCGTGATTATAATGAAAATAGACAATGATCACGATACTTGGACAGTTGGTGTTCCCGTTTTGACCTCGTTTTCGTGTTTTGAACAGCTTCAACAAGGCATTAAATGCATATTGGATAAGTGATCTGCGTCGTCCCCGTCGTAAAACGCTCTCCCTGTTTCCTGGTGATGTCCCTTGACCTTTTGGTTTGACGATTCCCATCCTACACATCCATACAAACATGGTAAGTAAACGAGTAAAGGGAAGATGCCATACATTCAGCGCTGTACATACATGATCGGGAATCGCTTGTTCGAGCATCGAATCACATTGAATCGTTGTCAAAATCCTGAAAGTGGCAGGTTGACTTATGTCGAATATTTGCCTGCTTCAACTCATGTGGTTTATATGCATTGGAGACGGCTACAATCTTATTACGATGGCCCACATTACTCTGTATAATTATGCAGTCGAAACTCCCGTTGTAGAATGAAACTCTGAGCTTCACAAATGCAGACATCAGCACACATTCAAGTTATCACACATATAAAGCTCACCACCCATTTCAAATAACAGGCCAAGAAGGAAGATAAGGCTAAACCAGCCAAACCATCAAGTTCTGGTGGTGGAAAGAACAAGAAGAAGGTACATACAGACATCGTCTTCAACCAAACATTAAGTAGCCTGGACAAGTCTTTAACCAGACTCTCTATATGAACTCGTATCATTAGAAATGGTCAAAGGGCAAAGTCAAAGATAAGGCCAACAACGCCGTCGTATTCGACAAGAACAGTTACGAAAAGCTGTACAAGGAAGTCCCCACCTACAAACTCATCACTCCATCTGTATTGGTGGATCGACTGAGGATTAATGGTTCTTTGGCTCGTGTTGCCTTGAGAGAGCTAGAAAAGAAGGATTTGATCAAGCTCATCTCTTCTCATGGTTCTCAATTGATATATACTCGTGCTACCAAGGTATGTGCGTGTTGTTCCGATCGAGCAAGACGTCATTAACCCGTGATGTATCTTTTCTTGCGTGCATGTCTTTATATTGCACTGAAAGTTGTATGATTGCCGCTTGTATTCCTTGGACGACCAAACGTTGGAAATATGTTGAAAATCAAACCAGTCAATTAACCAAACATTCTCAACATGTTCACAGGAAGAAGCACCGAGCGAAGCTCCCGTCGCTGGTGCCAAGGCTGCTAAAGCTCCAAAAGCTAAGAAGGCCAAAGCAGACGAAGCCCCTGCTGAAGACGAAGAGTAGGAAGTTTGTATCTTGCAGTAAATATAGTGAACAGCTCCTCGCAACATTCGGATAGTGTGTTGTGTGCAGCAATTTGTTTTGGACAGGAAAATGTCTTAGGAAAATATGTTATGAGGAGGACAAAAGTGGGCAAAACCAAACCCGGGAGGTAACAATAGCGACAAACAGATCATTTTTCTGCATAACGCTGCCATACATCTTGGCTCTGTTTGACCTGACGATATGTCCATGTTCGAGCTTGTACATCAAATCTGCAACTTGAAACCTTCAATGCTCTCAGCATTTCGTTTTCTGACAAGTAGCACAGCAATCTGCCGATATTCACTATCGTGTGCTCTATTGAAGTTGTATCTTCAACGACAAGACTTCCAAGGCCTTGCATCCAGTGACGGTGCGAAGACAACCAAAGGTCAAGTAGCCAAGAGGGGCCAAAGCAGACGAAGCTCCTGCTGATGACGAAGAAGCGGCATAAGCCAACGATCTTGTGTCTTGCAGTTCGAAAACACAGTGAGCATCTGAAAACGATTTGTGTAGAAGCAAAAAAAGCCTGAAAATCATTGAATTGCTGGAAAGGTATTTATTGGTGTTGCTCTATTTCCAAATCTAAAACAGGCGACCTCACGAATATCATTAACAAGTCCAGTCCAGATGGCCATTTCAGCTTATTCTTGAGCTTCCAACCTATAAATTCAAATGCGTGTGAGATTAAATGGGTGTAAGGGCAAAACAAATTCGCAAAAACCAGGGCAGTAATAACGTACCATCTCTCAGCGTCTAGTGCTGCCATGCATCCTGATCCAGCAGCTGTAATAGCCTGGCGATACGTTCGATCTTGTACATCACCACATGCAAAGACTCCTGGAATGTTGGTATATGTGGATGGGTAACCATGATTAGGATACGTTTTCAGATATCCTTCAGCATCCATATCCAATACACCTTTAAAGCTTTCAGTATTCGGTTTATGTCCAATAGCGTAAAACAGTCCATTGACATCCAATGTGGTGTGTTCTTTTGTGACTGTGTCTTCAATGACGAGACCTCTGAGAAGTCTTCCATCACCGGTAGCTTCTACAGGGACTTTATTCCACAGGACTTCGACTTTGGGATGTCGAAGTAGACGATCTGCCATGACTTTTGAGGCTCGTAGTTTGTCACGACGCACCAAGACGTATACTTTGGATGCGTATTTTGTGAGGAATGTAGCTTCCTCTGAGGCCGAGTCACCACCACCAACCACCACCAAAGCTAGATAAAGGTGAAACTAGTTAGATGCAGTAGCAAAAAAACTCCATCCTAATCTCGCATTCCATCATGATATGTTTGGATAAACTACTCACGCTTATTTCTAAAGATGGGGACAGCTCCATCACATACAGCGCAAGCAGATATACCAGCCTGCCAGTAAGTTTCCTCTCCCTTAATGTGCAACTGGTAATTGGTTGGGAGAGAAAGAGTCAACAAAAAAGCAACGCCTCTGTTTTGGATGTTGACATTGAAAATTGACACTACTCACTCGTTGAGCGGTAGCACCAGTAGCAACAATAACAGATTCTGCATAAATTGTGTCCTGAAAGCATATAAATCATGTAAGCCCAGTCAACAAAACAGGAATCTCACTCAAGGAATCATACTTCTTCAGTTTCATAGTTTTCACGCCACATTTTGAAGGGTCGTGATGAGAAGTCGACCTTTGATATCGTCTCAGACACAACGGTGGTTCCAAACTTTGTCGATTGTTCCTTGAACTAGAATAGAGAGGATTTAAGCATCAGTGTGATGAAGTCGAATCGTTGGTTGAGTTGTGATAATGTACCAAATCCATCATATCAGGTCCACTAATTCCTTTTGGAAATCCAGGAACTATTAAAAAAGCATATGCGATCAGCTAAAGTTGTTTGTTCGTCAAGCTTGTTCCAGTTCAACTAATGCTCACAGTTTTCGACTTCAGTGGTGGTAGTCAACTGACCACCAGCAGCGACACCTAGATAACGAATCGGTAGCATATCGTTATTATATTGAGTCTATAATCTGATGCAATCGGATGTTGCAGGTCAGGTCAGAGTTTCAACGCCAAACAGCATTACCTCCAGCTAAAAAGCCTTCATAGAGGACAGGCTCCATATTGGCACGAGCAGCATATATGGCAGCTGTATGGCCACTTGGACCACTGCCAATGATGACGACCTTGGCTACCTTCTTGCCACTCATGATTTTCCGAGATTTTGTAATTGAACAAATGATCAAGGACGAAGCCTTCAAATTTTCAAGGGAGGTGCCCATTAATAATTCCCTCAAACGAAGATAAGAAGAGGCCATGTGATTATTCAGTTATCTGACATTATTGGACGCGTAAGAAGCAATGACAAGGGGACCCGGTTGTTTGATCCATATGCATGTAACAGCTTTGACCACCAAGATCGCCATGGCATCAAAGACCAAACGCTCGACTCTTAATACATTCATTAATTTAATTCGCCAATGCTGAATATTTTCTAATAGAATGTGCTCTGTATTGTGAAGTTTTGCTCTTGGTTATCAAGACAACAGAGAAAATAACGCAAACCACGACTTCTAGCCAATGGACAATCAACCAAGGACGACTCTTCCACGCGAGATAATCGCTGAGATCCTAGAGCAGCTGGTCCTTCTGTCGCCTTCACCCAGTGTGCTGCTTCCAATCCTCAAAGTATGTGCTTGTTATCTCAATCTCACATTTTTCATATTTCTGACAACCGTCTTGTATGGAAAGGTGTCCAAATTCTACTCTGCCATCGCTCTCGAAATATTATGGCGCTCTCTCAAAATCCGCAATCGAGTTCCCGGTATATATGTCTCAAAAAACTCAAACATGTGATTTCGTGAATTGTGCATTCAATCCCCCACGTTTTCTCATTTTAGGAATTGGGCCTGGTCTGCAATGTTCTGCTGCAAAGACGCTGCTGTCAGTGGATGGTATATTTGCCAAACGAGAACCGGACAATTTCTGTGATTACGGTGTTGGTTGGAACCATTTGAAGTCTCAAATCTACTATTTACGTGCATTCTACACGTTCACATTCACGATATTAGCTGGACTAGTACGATCCATCGATATACATCTCGAACCAGCCGAAGGTCCACGTCATCTTGGAGGATGCTCTCGCGATCAAAACACCTTCAAGCTAGACCTCGCTAAAATCATCAACATCCTGCGGAAGTGCCATTCCGCCACTCAAATCTCAATCATGTTTAGTCGCTGGCTAGTAGATGACGATGCGACATGGTTTGCTTTGGACGAATTCTTGATTCAACTGAGAGATATCAGACTACCAGTGTTTGGGATTCAGTTGAGGATTTTCTTTTGTAATTTCGTAGATTCGCATTTCCAGAGCTTGTCGTCTTGGTGTGGAGCAACACTGACTAAAGTCGAGGTCTTTTATCCTGAACGCTGGATAACGTATGTACACGCAATTGATAGCCATATGCGAAAAAAAATTGACCTGAAACGTATTCCCTAGAATGCTCAACCAACAAATCTGGCCATCTATGGATAGTCTCGAATCATTTATGAAATCCACTAGCCGGCTCCAGACCGTCAGAATACACGGACTTCCACTCTCACGTAAAGCCGTAGCACATATGGTACATCGCAACTGCAAGCACCTCACAAGCTTTGACTATATGGCAATCCAGCCAACAATCGACGACGAAGATGATGTCAAACCACATTTCGATACAGACCAACTTCTTGTATCGTGTCAGTCATTACGACATCTTGAGATTGCACGAGATTCATTAGCTTCACTAGATTTGCTGGCTAGCCTGAGTAGACATAGAGTGCCCAAACTCAACGACTTGAGTATACAAAATGTGCCCATCGTGTTGGGGTCTGGAGTTGATACATTAGGATGCTGTAATCTAAAGTCGCTAAAGCTGGAGAAGTGTATTCTGGTACGTGTGAGCTTTACTGTTGTCTCTTTTTTGCGTCTGAGAAGTCGCCTTCTATACTAACCTCACCGTTTTGCACATAGGCACGAGAATTCTGGACTGCCATAGCATTATCATGCCCAATACTATCGAGTCTCGTCTTGTCGTCTGTGGATATCACCGAATCAGCTTTTCTGGAAATCTGCTCTACATGCCCATTAAAATCGCTCTCCGTCACAAACATTGACACCGACCTCTCATTCTGGACTCTTAGCAGACTCGTTAAAGCACTTCCAAGCAATTCACCGCTAACATTCATATCGTTTGAAGACTGTAGTGGATTTGATAATGTCGGGGATGTTCTGAATCTCGTCGTGAAGTTTCCAGCACTGGCGTGCAAATGTGTGTGTCTCGAAGAGCTGCATATTCCTCGTAAACTAGTAGGGATTGGGAGTGACCATATCCTAATGTGGTTGTTGAGTACGTTTGAAACTAGAGATGCAGGCCTTGGATCGAGTTTTGGGTCTTGGTCGGTGAACGTAGAGAGGATTAGAAAAGAGATTAACTCTATGGCTGCTAGAACAGACCTTGATTCGAGTCAACGATTGCGAGACTCGCTTGATTGTATACGACATGGAGAGTCTGATATTGTACTGGAGGAGGACGAATTTGTAAAGAACTGGAAGGACTATAGGTCACTGTGTAATTTCGCTGTAGAATCGGCCATATAGAGCAAAAGTACTAGTAGTCCGAGTTTTAATTTGTATTTGATCAATACGCAGCAGTGATATAATATACATTCTCCCACATGGGAATCATGTCTTTTACGACGCCTATCAAGTAGAGAACGAGAGTCAGTTTTTCTTGTGAACTGCCATAGTGCCTTCATCCCGTCAAGTACCTGTCACAATAGAAACAATCATCTTTTGGGATCCCCAGTCAATAAAGCGCTGTAATCGTGGCCTAAAATGAAAATTGAGATGATGAGAAAACGGCTCCAAAACGGTAAATGTGGAATCCTCTGCTGCATGCAATGAACACAATCAACAGCTCAGCTGAACCTACACTGTGTACTCAGAAAAGAAGGGTCCACGGAGAATGTAGTAAACCAGGAAGATGATTCGTTTCTGGTACTCATCCTTCTCCAACTGAGTCAAGTCACTCCTCCATCCCAACTGCAATGGATTGGTCTGTATGGCTAGAGACCCAACTTCCATTGCGAGAGAGGTTGTCCATGGCTTCCACGATTTGGCTCCATAGCGCTGAATCATAAGAACTAGATGCATGAAGTAAAGATATGAGCGAAAAAAAATACTGCAGAGGGAGACAGATCATGGGATACCATAAACAATAGGCCTCAATATGAATGCCAATTCAGCAACTGTTCGTAATGTATCCAAAGACTGGAGCAAATCTGTTGATTTCTTGACAGGATCTGACAGAGCCTTGTTGTTCAAGTAGGTCTGTACCGTCTGTGGGTCTTTTCCTACAGTTTCGACTGAGTTGAACGATTTGCCAGACCGCGAGCCGACAAATCCTGTTCCTGTGGGACTAGATGCTGTTGCAGCAGCAGCATCGTTGGCAGCCTCAGCGCTTTCTGGGTTGAGCTTTGAGGGATCATATTCACGTTCCTCGACAGCTGAATGCGGAATCATCCGTGCTCGTGACATTCGGAATAACGATAATCGTAAAATGAGTCTGTAAGAAGAGCATAGGTCAGAACCTTTACATAACTTAAGAACTATTTCAAGCAATCATACTTGATGATTTCATAAGTGGTGACGAATGGCCACTTGATTTCTTTCCCAAATCGACGCGTCAAGCCTTGCTCTAACAGATTGTCGACAAAGCCCATGAAGGTCAACGCATATGCGACCCTCTGATAAGCAGTGGAGGATTTCAACACGGCGGATGTGTACCGGTTGAATGGTGATTGAGTAGATCCAGGTTGTCGTCTAGCAACAGGCACTAGGATCGTGTCATGGTATAAGGCGGCAATGTTCACAGATGCTCCGACTAGACGATTGAGTTGGAATTGACTGGTAAGTTCACGGTTCCAAAAGTTTACGAGATGCTTGACGTAAATTGGGCGGTCGAGAGATGGAACTTACTGGCTTCTGCGACCAAATCAGAGTTAGGGAAACGGCCTATGAATGAGAATTGAAGTGGAAGTTAGTCGGAATTGATTAACATGAGTATAGCTTGAATGCTAACCTGGCAAGACATAAGTGAGCGTCCTAAACCCGCTTTCCAAACTTCCAATTTGAGTCGCGTTCTGCAATACAAAGGCACCATAGCCTGAGGGTCTCGTTGCGCCGGCCATATGATGTCTAAAACCAAGGAAAGTTCGGGTTGCTTATTTGTTGAAATCTGTTAAGGTCCTTTGATGGAGAATTGAACATGAAGGAAGCATACAAGAATTTGTAAGGACTCGGTAAATCTCTGCAAACTTATTCAATAAATCGAAGGAAGTGTTCGCAACGCGTCCATGCCCATTGTCAATTCGCGACATTCTCAAACACTTATTGCACTTTGCACGAAACTGCAAGACCACCCAACAGCTATGAGGAGGACGGGCTTTTGAGACTCTATTTAATAATACCAGTAAGTGCCAAGAGCATATTGATCAACCCTGGAACTAATTAGAACGTTGATTTTTAGGGCGAATTTATGAGAAAACGACCAGTTACATATCGTGGTCGTGGGGCCAGCAATCGTCGAAATAATGCTACCTCGGCTGCATTATCTTCTTCGCCACCAAGATCGTCGTCGCCCTCTCCTCCAGTATCTGTAATCGTAGCTCCTCAGCCCCTACCATTATCAACATCAACCAAGGATGTTTTTGACTTTCCTCTTCAGCCAGACCAGAATGTAGTCATGGGCGTCTCTCCCACTCGGCCGAGATCTAAAAAGCCTGTAAACATACCCAGTCCACGCCCCACAAGAACAACAGCAACGTCGTCAAAACGAACAAAGACAACGTCTCCTGACTCTGACGATGAGGAGGACTGTATGATAGAAGTCGACTGTGGCGAATCAGCACGATCAAACGAGCTGAAGTCGCGATTAAAGATACGTAAAGCAGTTCCTGTGATACCTAAACAGGACAGCAGCAGCAACAGCAGCAAAGACTCGCACTATAAAAAGAGGTCTTCACCACCTAAACGAAGAGCTGTCGAAGCCCCTCTGCCTCCAGTCCATCAACTCGATATGTTTGATCACTCGTCAGCAGTATTATCGCCAACCAAAAGCAGCTCAAGATCTATATCAAAATCAAAACCTATAACGAGAGCAAACGACCTGAGTGTATCACCTACTAGACGTACTGCAAGCAATAGGTCAAAATATAGCAGTGCGAGTGATGATATTCTTAAAGCCGATGAGCAACCTTTGGTCAAGCCAACACGAGCAGTGGTTGGAACAGATGCTTTAGGTGGTGTCAGAAATATGTCTTCAAGGTCTACCATGCTGTCATCCCCAGCAAATGCTCCAGCTACCACAGTACAGCCTTCAGTGCTAGACTCTGGTATTACAACCACCTTATCTAAAGCATCGTATAATAAATCAACAAAAATCGATCTCAAACCACCTCCTCCACCACGTCAACAATCGAGATCTAGTAGTCGTGACTCGATGGAATGGGAGATAGCGTTTGGTCAAAGAACCCAAATACAACCCAAAGTAAAGTCAGCTTTTGATGACTTGTTTGAGCAAAAGAGTTGTGACGATGATGACGACTTACCACCTACGCAACCTCTACCATCATCACTGGAACGTGCCGCCAGTAATAATAGTAATACTTCCACATCTCCGCAAAGACTAAGTAGAATAGCACGAATGAAGGCTGCTCAAAAGCCGTCAATCGCTCCTGGCTCAGAAATGATACCAGCCAGTCCACCAAAAACCCGTGACGCAGTAGATTATACTCCTGCTCTCCTTAAATCTAGGTCTACAGACTCAGGAGATGCACCGATGCCGCCCAAATCTCCTCCACCCATTCCGAAGTCACTAGCTCATGTAACATCATCGCATGGAACAGCTCCAGTGACATATGGGCGAACAAGAACGATACTGGCTAATGCTTCTGATGGTATGGGAGACATTTACGTCTCGATGCAAAAGCAAGCTCGTGATGAAGGGTTGGAGGATAGTGACGAAGATGAAGTAAGCCTAGTTTCTCGTGGCGGAGCGTTTGAACATTTATCTCATGCCCACTTGGTTTGGTAGGAGAAGAATGTCAAAAGCACGCACGAAATGCGATTGGCTGGTGAAATGAAGCGGTTTCAAGATGAAATGGAGTATTTATTGGATGGATTGCAAGATGGTCAACCTTTAGGTATTGTTCGTACAAGGTAACGGTCGATGAAAGCTTGAAAGTTCGCACCGAAACTCTCCTCTCACTCCAAAAACCATGTCGTTTTAGCTGTTTGGCTGTTTCACGTAAATTATTATCTTCTGGATTTCTTGCTCAAGTCAAAGCACACGACTTTTTGTCTCGAGTATACGGACGTCTTTTTAGACGCCGAGATGGTCTGGCCAAGACTGATCCAGTAGTATTGTGTACTGTCCTTACTCTTATTGCATTGCTGATGGCCGATGATATCCGTAACGTGGTGGAGTTGTCGATGGAGGCTGGTTGTCTTGATTTACTTGTTACTGGTCTGTCTCTACAACCAGATCCATTTATCATTGAGATGAGATCGAAATTTGATCGGACATTTGTGAGTGTTGTAGTCGACTTCAAGCTCAGACGTCATGAGTTTCAAGCCTTTTTTTACCGCTTGTAGTTCAAGGACGTTGTGACGTTTCTGAAAGAACACGATCTGAGTAGCAAAGTGCACTGCTGTGCCGAGATCGCTACGGGCTGCTTGGCCGCCATTATAGCCACTCCATCCCCTCGAATCTTGGACATTCTTCATGTCTTGTTGGCTCCCGATGCAGCAGTCACAGCTGTCATATCCACTTTAACTCCATGGCTGAAACAAGTCAAAGGTGATGTGGATAAATGGCGTAAACGTAATAAACAGACTGCACCGAGCCTGATAGATGTCCACATGCTGACTCGAGTGGAGAGTGCTCTTCGGGTTCTAGAGTTCATTTCCATCTCTGGTAGTAAACGTCACGTGAGTGGTATGATAAATGAAATGGCTGATGGTGTCGTTTGGTTGGCAGCTACTAGTCGATCGTGTACTCAAGAGCAAGTGCTCGTAGGTAGGCTTCACCCGTGATGATGCTGTGTTCTCTTTGCAGGAATCTTGTATCAAAAAGCGTTACTAACACATTGCTCTGACTCTTTGAATAGTCACTGAATGTCTCATTGCTATGCTGTCGTTAATAGTCAACCTCACGCATGACAACACTACTATCGCCCAGCAGCTTTCTCAACCACATATATTGTCACCCATATTGAGATGCTTGATAATACCCAATCAGTTGTTACAAGTCTTGGCACTGCCGCACGAGTCCAGCGATAATAAGTTCTCAGCAAATGCTGGCAATGTGGACGTAATCGTCACTGCAGTTAGTCTTGTAGTGAATCTGATTGAGATGATGGATGAGATGGTTGAGCCTTTTGCTGAAGTAACTATCAATTTGGAGTGTCCTGGACATGGTGTTTGCTTTGGTACTTGCAAATGTAAATCTTCGCAAAATTTGGTGGATTGCATCTCTGTGTTGTATCAAAGGCATGATTTCCAGGTACATACATATTCGAACATACGGTTCTTGTATTGGATTGATACTGACTCAAAGTTTCTTCTAGAACAACTCGGCAAATCCGGAATTAGCCTTGGTCACTGCATACTATGCCTTGTTATTAGGTATGCTTCTCAAGTCTCTACCAGCCACACCACAAACGATACTGTCTAGTCTTAATGGTGGCAAGGAAGGCATGATTGCCATCTTGGAAGAATTAGCCTTCTTCCAAGAGCTTGTGGCAGGTATAGAAAATCAAACGGAGGGTGGACCATCAAAGATTCACAGGAGACGTAGCAGCTTCCTAACTAGTGGATCTGAGACCCCAGAATCGAGTGAGTTTGATTCTCAAGTTGCTCGGGGTGTTGCTCGAATCATTGCTTGGTTGAAGCACGAGTAGACAACAGAAGATTGCAACAAAACTGCAGGAAATTGCGGTGCATGAAAGAGGGAGGAAATGCAAACTAGAAACTTTTATAGTATATCTGTAATGGTGATTTGTGTATATAGCATTGGTTGTATAGGTTGGTATAATTGGAAGATACATTCTTATATGGAAACTACCAATAAAAAGCCTTATATATAGCATTGGTTGTATAGGTTGGTATAATTGGAAGATACATTCTTATATGGAAACTACCAATAAAAAGCCTTTGTTTGGAGTCGTTTTTCCAACTTCTGATCATGTCAAGAAATCAAACGCTGCGATATGTACCCAAAAGACAATACTACTACCTTGGTGTCAAGACTCGAACGTCCAACACGTGTCAAGTATGGCAAGACGCTGTATCTACCAGACATCATAGCGAATGAATTCCTTACTCCACTGAACCTCCCAGACAAGAGAAATACTGCGAAACGCAGTTGGAGTTGACACAGGCCAAAAGACCTTGTTTAGATTGATGATTCTAGTGCCTTCAACTAGATAGAACAAATCCCAGTCCTTCCAAACACCACAAGCGAATCGTGGGCGACTGGAAGATGGACACAGGCCAAAAGACCTCTTTCAAACCATCAATCCTAATACTTTGAGCTGGATAGAACAATTCCCAGTCCTCCAACTGGTTTGCCCTTTGCAGTCTCATCCGTCAAAACCCAAATAAGGTAGACTTTAACGCAACTACCACTCCCAGAGGAATAGTGTTGTCTTGAAAGGACATCAGAAGGACAACCGCCAGATCTATAGATGGAGGGGGAACGGACGGATGTTAGATGGAATGATATGGCTATGGTGGTGGTTGAGGTGATTACAGGGTATTGAATGAGATGGCATCTGATTTGGTTGAGGCCACAACAAAAGTAAATGTTTCATGTTGATGTTGATAATGGAAATGCAGCAGCAACGGATGAATGCTGCAAAGACACACCTATAGGACATACCTGACTTCTATACTGCTAGATGCTAGTAGTATTTACTCGTCCTTCCTTCTTGGCTTCTCGTTCATGGCGAGTTCGAATGTTGGTTGGCAAGGATGAATCCTGACTAGGTGAATACCGATGCTGAGTGCGAGCATGATTACAAGTTGCCTCGTAATCATCATCCATCGTCGATATGTTGTTGGTATGTTGGGAGGAAGAAATGTAAGAAATCGCTATTTTTTCAAGTCGAGATAGTCAACGACATTTTGGGAGATGAAGACGTGGTAGAAGATAAAACGAGTTCTTTGATCTCTGTTGGCCGTTGGCCTTTGGTTCATCACTCTATGACGCGTTGGAGCGTGTTCCAACGCGTCATTGCGTCAATCTTCTACTTTTTAGGTTACGAATTCAAATGCCAATACACCCACTCGACTGCTCCGACACTGTGTAGATTTATGGAAATGTGTGGAAAGTGACTTCCCGTGCTACCTTACAATTCTCTCGGACGATCTCTTGTTGAATATGTGGTTTCAAGAATTTGCCAGTAAGTTTACGACTTGGCCCCTTCGTTCACTCATCTCGACACAGTAATTGTGTGTATTAGTCATGTTAAAGACAAGATCTACTCCAGTTCGAACAGTATCTATTACATACGCCATGAAAACACGAAACGCTTACTTCCCACAGTCTTCGAGCGAGCATTTTGTGTTCGACAGAGCCCATGTCACGTTGAATTAACACGAGATTTGATATTTTCAACACAGGTAGCTGGAACCAATTGATTGTATGAGAATCCACCTTGTGCTTCGTGCGCGTAGTTCAAAACACCAAACACTCTGCGAAAAAAACATAATGGACGACTTCTTCATGAAGGACGGCGCAGCTGCCTCCAGAGGCTCTTCGTCACGGCAAGGAAACAATACTGTCCATCGTAAACGTCAAAGGCCTCAGCAATCTGGAGCTTCGAGCAATAAGTCAAACACACAGAATCAAGGCCTGAAAAAAAAACTCAGACGCAACGACCAACACGTGGATGGTGATTCTGGAGACGACGATCAGGATATCGATAATGTAGATTTGACTAGCAGAAGCGCTTATGCTCCTCCTTCCGACGAGGAATTGGATGATGAAGACGATCCAGATCAAATTGGAGAAACCCCAACTCAAAAGAGACTGAGGCTGGCTAAAGCTTATATTGAAAAGATCAAAGAAGACGTTGGTGTGTCTATGTGAATTCAACCGCATGAGTTGTCCATGGACACAGACAGCTAATTCAACCCAATCGACTATAGCTGACGCTGACGATGTTGATGCTGAACAATTGGACCGTGACCTTATTGCTGAAAGGCTGCAGCATGATGCTGTAGGTTCTCGCCGTCTCTTTGTCACCGTTTCAAGTTTCTAACTGGTTTGAAACTCCCTTCTTGCTACTTAGCTCGAGTCAGCCAAGAAGGCTTTTAATCGCATAGCGTCAAAGTATGCCGAATGGAGCTCAACTTCGCCAGCAAACTCAATACGGACATTCAAGAATGGCAAGCATCTATTAACAGTCACAGCAGTAGCTGTCGGTATCCCAACTCCACGAGTACTAAGCACTGCTACATCATCGACTACCACCAAGGACACCTCTGCCGATTCATCAATGCAACGATATCAACAGTTTTTACAGCCCACCGATGAAAACCCAAGGGGTAAAGCATCTCTCACCAAAGCACTACCACCTCAACAACCTGTATATATATTCTCAGCCTCAAAGGACGGAGGCGTATCGAAACACGACCTTGTCACTCGTAAATTACTGTGGCATGTTGCTGGTGGTGTCAAGCCTACCAAAAAGGTAAAGAAAAGACTCGGTGACGACAAATTAACCAAGCATATTGGACACAACGATCAAGTATTGTGTTTGGACGTTAGTGAGGATGGTCGATTCTTGGTAAGCATTCAGACGTTATCCTCCATGCTTCTTTTTTTGCGTTGCAACTACCGAAGAGTTGCCCATTTACAGCTTCGGCTGTATTTGGCGAAACAGTCTATACTTGTGGATTGCGCCTCTAGTCGTTTTGATTGGTTGGGCTGCAGTAGTGAAGTATAGATCATATTGCTCTTCAAGAACAAATCATTACCCGAGGCTTGAGTCTGACGCCGTCTTGTCTGTGACGTGTTCAGAATTGTTTTCTCTAGACATCTGTTAATTAATAACATGATCGTGTGTCGCTCTTTTTTGGCGCAATCGCTGACTCTTCTTGTTCTGTGTTTCAAGGTTACTGGTGGTCGTGACAAGATGATCCATATATGGTCGGCGGTTGATGGAACTCATTTGGGTACATTCAAACAACATCGTGATGCTGTTTCTGTAAGTGTGACGAGAAGGTTCAGACTGCAATCAAGTAGCAACTAATACCTCACATTCCGTTTCTATGTCAGGGCCTGGCATTCCGCAAAGGACAGTACGAATTATATTCTGCTTCATTTGATCGAACCATTAAGGTTTGGAATGTGGAAGACAAGACATATGTGGAAACATTGTGAGTGTCACAGAACCTGTGTTACGATGTTTTTTCTCCTTGAATATTCAAATTTTATCCTCCATATAGATTTGGACATCAAGATTCCATACCATGCATATCCGCCCTCCATACACACCGATGTCTCACATCTGGTTCTCGAGATCGGACCGTCCGAATCTGGAAAATCCCTGAAGAATCTCACTTGATTTTTAGGGCTGGAACATCAGGAGATTCTGGAGACATCCTTCTAGCAGCTGAAGATCCAGAAGCTGCACGTCGTATCAGACTACAGAACGCAAAGACATTCGGTGGCAGTATTGATGTCGTGGAAATGATTACCGACGAATATTTTTTAAGCGCTAGTGAAAGTGGAAGTATCTCGTTATGGAATGTAGGCAAAAAGAAACCACTCTATACTAGATTACGAGCTCATATAGTCATCAAGCCTACGGAGACTGGCAAAGATGCCGTAATGAATGTCGATGGGTTTGCGGATTCGACGGATGAAATCAAGTCATGGCAATGTTGGATTTCATGTTTGGCTTCTGTTCCGTATTCGGATATGTTTGCATCTGGTATGTTTGCACCTGATGGGAATGTCATATGTATGATCCAAGAAAAAGCGACAAGGCAACCTATGTATGCCATCTTCAGCTCGCTAACATGTCTGTTGCATAGGCGCCTGTGATGGGTTTCTCCGTGTATGGAAAATCGCAGAAAACTTCAAAACATTCGGACCTCTATTTGATATTCCCATGGTAAGTAAGATGTTAAGCATTTGACGTCAGTGCATCCTTTCCAAATAATCTCATTTTTTTCCTAAACAGGACGGATTCATCAACTCTGCCAAATTCTTTTATGCGCCATCGTTAGAGCAAGGAGAAGCTACAGCAGATGAAAAGACAGCCAAATCATCAGACAGCCAGACGCTTTATGTGGTAGCTGGTATAGGGAAGGAGCATCGCTTGGGACGTTGGTGGAAGATACCAAACATCAAGAATTGTGTTAAGGTGGTTACGATAGGCCCTCAGTAGTAAATTAATTCGGGTTGTTTTGCTTTATTCAAAATAGATGTTTTGAGTATTCAATATGAAATCTCTAGCTATTTATTACTGCTTTCGTGTTTAATTTTGGAACTGTGATCAACATACTGACAATGTAGATTTGAATAGTAGGAGTGCTGGCTGCTGCTACTGCTTATTTCAAGGAGGGATTCGATGATGACCGTCGAGACTGCAGTCGAGAAATACCCAAAAAAGAGAAAACTGGAGGTGGCCGAATGACATGTGGAATTCAACAGTTTGAGTTATACGTGTCGTGAATGAAAACTTGATGGCTGATCCACGTTGTGGGTGACGCTGACGATATCGAGCCTACCACACCTTTTCATTTCAGTCTAGTCTCACTGCCTTCAACTCGTGCCGAAGGTTTCGTCCTTGAAAGCCACGAGGCCGAGCTTGGCTTCACTGGCCAAAAAGCCAAAGCACGTAGTGAGGATTAAAGGCATGAAGCTGACGATATTTGTTACTCTTCGAGTAACAGACTCAGACTCCAGCATCTACTAGAAACACCTCTGTCGGTTCATCGAAGCAATGATGGCCAGCTCGTTCTAGCGTTAATTGATGAGAACGAAAGACAAGGCCTTGTTTCACCAAACATTTCCAACTCAACACCTCAAAAAAAAAATACTTGCAAGAAATGAGACAGATAATCGAACCACGACTCTTTGTGCTGTTAATCACTGTGGTATGTTACTGATGGTATCAAGCATGCAAAGAATTCCCAACAAGGGACTTGGTGTCCATAAACTGACACATGGTGATCAAGTGATGTAGTTGGAAGCTGGAGAAGATTGATGATGCTTGGCGAGTCTTGAGGATACGATGTACTTCTTCACGTAGGGCCAGCCATCATTTTGGTAACTTGGTGAAACAATGTGTAATTCTGATATGCGCCCCGCCCTGTATTTGTTTCGATTAAGTGGGCTGCAGTAAATGTTGATCATCTTGCTCTTTAAACACGAGGATTGCTCGAAGAAGGAACCAGATGTCCTCTTGTCTGGGATGTGCCCAGAATCAATCTTTAGAGCATTTACACTTTTTTCGCTCGATTGTAACTCTCCTTTTTTTCTATCAAGGATACCCTTGGTCGTGATGTCAATGGTCGGTCAATTGATGGAACCCGTCAACGTGCATGTCAGCAGCATCCTGATACTTCTACAGTTGACTTTGGAGAAGGGCACGGTTTGAATACAAGCAGCACATGATGGATACATCTCTTTTTCGACATCAAGGTTTGGCATTCCGAAAAACAAACTATGAGCTATGCATTGCTTCACTTCATTCATCCATCGAAGGTTGAAATGTGGAACCCGAAACATTGGAAACATTTTATGTAGTTGGGCAAGGTATTACCCATTCTTTTCTCTTTAACCGAAATTTTGCCTTCCTCTTTATTGAATTGGGCACCAAGATATTATATAACATGTACCCCTGCACACTCTCTGGTGCTTTACAAAAGCACTTCACTTTTAAAGCTGGAGCATTGGAGACTCTGATTTAACAAGTGAAGAGTTTGGTGGTAGTATTGACCTTGTCGAAAATTGCTCATGAGTACTGGCCTGTTTTCTTGCTCTGACATCGTCTTTCTGGCCTTGCAAGACTGTTTCGTTCTTGAGCAGAGCTGAACCTCGTACGGTCGTTGTTGTCGGCATTGTGTAGCTTGAGGAACCCCAATAAACATCTTATGAGCTTTCGTGAAAGTGGGATTATCTCGTTATGAAATTTAGGCAAAAAGAAACGACACGATACACAACATACGGCAGTATTTAGCTTACTAACGCTTCTGTTGTAGGCGTAGTATGATGAGTTCCATGTGTGGAAGATCTGACAACTATAAGTACTTGGAGGACCTCGTTTCGTATTCGATATTGTAATTACGATGCTGAGTTGTCAAGGTCGATCGAGAAGCAACCGTCAACATTTCTTTTTCCTCTTTCGACAGGATGGCATTATCTTTTTGGAGCAATCGCGCTACAGTGAATGAGACGATGGTCAAGGCTTCAAGACATGAGGCTGTAGGTGGCCGATGGTTGAGGAAACGACAATCGGTAGAAGCGATATTGGGAAATACCTGAAGGAGGTGGTGATAGGAGGTGGTGATTGGATGTGGGGATAGGAGATAGCAGGTATTCATCCAAGGTCTCTGCTCTATCATGTCAAGCTATTATGTTGGAGAATACAGGATGTAATTATCGGCAATCATCTGCATTTTTTTCGCACAACGACACCATGACGAAAAAACAAACGAGCGGTATTGTTATGAGATAAGACGTGACTGTATATTTACTCAACTCGAACTAGACTGTATAATAAGACACATCCTATGTCGGTATGCGCCCAAATATCCGTAATTACTTGATTTCAACGAGCTCCTCTTCGACATAGCCTGCTTGGGCACGAGCATCTTCAATGTCATCCTCCAACTTGTCCAAGCTGGGATTGAAGCGTTTCAACATTGGGATTAAGTATATGACGGTGATTAGGGCACCGAGGGCTGCCACAACTGCAAACCAGATGTTACCATAGGCAACCACCTAGTTGAGGAAAGAAAAGTCAGTACGTGGCCCGACCAAAAAAGAAGTGTTTGGCGCAGAACCAACGAGACTCCAAACACCTCCTGTCACCAAACATACCTGATCTACATCCAAGGGAGACAAGACCATGAACAGCCTCCCCAAAAACTCAATAAAGAGAACAATGCCCCATACTATAGTGAGTACAAGGACATCAAAAGCATATCTCTTATTGGTCGTATATAGTTTATCCCATCGGTCCCATATAATGGCAGGTTTTGCTCCACGAGCTGGACAAATGACTGCGGTTTCCAAGGGTATCAATTCCATGACGATAAAGTGTATCGCCGGGCGTATATAGAATCGTTTCTTTTCTCCTTTACGTTTGTAGTCAAAGTGGAATGGGATGAGGGTTATGAGGAATACGGAGCCTAGGACGGCTGTTACTACTGATTTTTCTAGGAGGAGAATACGGGCGTCTCCTGTTGCTAGTGCTATGACTGCAGCTAATGACGCGGGGCGGAAAAATTGCGTTAGGTGTTTGTGCACTGACGTTGGTCAAGGTGAACACTGCAGTGAGATGCGCGGATGCCTTACATATGGTGAAGGCCAAGAACGCCTATTTCGAAGGTAAAGTAAGCGATACTGTCGTTTAGAGTTAACGAACAGGCGACAGCTCACCATGATGCCCAGCATATCAAACGACCTGAATATAGCCAACTTGACCAGTACAGTCAGCAGAGGAGGAATACCAGCAATTAAAAGAGCATAGACAGGATCTAGTTTCACCTGAAGGTCAAAGAGCAAGGGTTATTTAGAATAAACAATTGTTGTGTAGCTCCAAACAACATCAGGAGATCGTGATGAAACGACCGCCATGGGAGGCAGAGTAACAGCATATCAAGCATGTACACTGCTGTCGAGTACTTACTCGGAGTATAAAGTATAGGATGATGGGCAATCCCAAGTCTACAAACAACGTTACGGCAGCAATGGCAATCTTCTTCAACAGTGTTTTACTATTTATATGTGGCCTTTCGTGATGATGACGGGGAGCAGCGGCAGCAGGCACAGGAGTTCCATTACTTTGTCGACCGTAAGATTGCATTGTAGCAGCAGTGTTTGTACGAGACTTGTTGTATTGATTGTTTTGTGATTCAGTGATGGCTTCAGGTGGCGGAATGATTGTTGAGGCCTGAGATACATGTGGTCTCGACATTGAGACTGTTTACTTATTCAAGTCAACTTGTATAATGAGATACGTCCTGCAAAGTGCCCCGTTGAAAATGGGTGGGTTTGCTTTTTTGTCGGAGATGTGGAGATGTGCCTACAATGGTTGAGATTCTACCTATAAACGAAGTATGTATGATACAGGAGTGCCTCTAACCCACGGCAAGCCTGTCTCCCTATGTGTCTCTATGTTGTCTGGACTAAAAGTAACTTGCTTCAACGGCGTGCAAAGGAAAGAGCAAAAATCAGCAGCTCAGAAACAACCGCTTGGAGGTGCTTATTAGACATTAGAACGGTGTTTCTATATTCTAAATCACGTAAACCACGTTGGCCTTCTCTGATCACTCATAATGAAGAGCCATTCGTTTGAGTCTACTGAAGTAGATTCTCTTATTTCGATTCCAGAGCCACAACATTCTTGAAACCGCAATGTCATGAGATATACTTCATTATCTAATAGCAACGTGTTTTCTTTTGTGGGGTTCGTTCAGCCTAATCCGAGGACCTCATCTCAAATCGTTGAGAGATCCTTCCTTTGCAACAAGAAGCAATTGAACACGAAAGAGGATCACGTTGGACACAAAAAAGGGATTCCCAAGATTTGTACACAGCTTATGTCCTTATGTCAATAGTGACTGTCCTTCAAACGACAATTCCATTCCTCTGAGGTGGTATTTGCGTCAAGAGTCAAACAGATTTTTGATCAAGGGACAAGCAAAGTGCAAACAACGGGTGGGAGGTCTGGTATCTGTTCTGTCAGCTCACGGCGCCAATAGTGATGATTTGAGAGGAATCTTGTCCTATTGTCTGACAGTAACGAAGATTCGGTCTTTGCTGTTGGAGTCACTTGGCTTGTTCTCAAACAGTTCAACGCACTAGAGTCATCACGTAAATGAGATCTTCTGGCCCTTGTCGACTTCAACTTGCTGCTTGGAAGGCTTCGTTGCCTGCTCGCTAGTTGTGGCAATGAGTGGTCTATGTTATTGACGTATTAATACGCGAACTAGACGTAGTGATAAAGATAATTGCAACATCTATTGAGTATACAATCAACAATTGACCGATGATACAGCTATTCCCAACAAAGCGGTGTTTTGATTCCAGGTGCTGCGCATCTCCCCCCGCAAAAAAACCAACGATTTCTCCCTCCCAACAATCCAACAACATATAGACGATGGAAGATGATTAAAAGGGAACTTGTAATCACGCTAGCACTCACTACCAGTACTCATGTAGTCAGGAGTCGTCCTGGCACGGAATCTCTAGTCTCCTCCAACCAACATTCGAACTTGCCATGAACGAGAAAGAAGGACGAGTAAATACTACTAGCATCTAGTAGCATAGGACTCAGGTATGTTCCATGTCGGTGTCTCTGCATCATTGATCCTATACTGCATTTGCGTCATCAACATCAAACAATTGGCTCTCATGGCGTCAACGAAACTCGATGCCCCATTTCCTGCCTGGCCGGGGTGGGTTGAACGAGCCCAAGCATCAATAAAACTAGAGGGGAGAGTTGGTGGATGATTGACCTAGGAAGGCAGTCAACACGGCATGGGATTCTGTATCGTTCTCAATCCTCTCAATTGGAGGACATCCACAAGGTTCTGGATATCTTCTTAAGTGGTTTTGAGCCACATTGACAAATGGACTAAGAAGATGTGGTGGCTATTACGTGCTGTTTGTGACATTCATCTGGTAGGTATTATGTTGTTTCTCGCACTATTTGCCATAATGTGGTTGGTACATACAGCGTCGTGGCATACGTGTAAGCAGTGTTGGACGTTCGGGTCTTGACACTCAGGTGGACTAGTATTATTTGCAGGTGCTTGTCGTTTGAATTCCTTATTGCATCAATGTGGTGTTTTCGGAAAGTATTGCGTTTTTGTGAAATGGTGCTCTCGCCCGCCAATTCGTCATTGGTCTCCTTTGTATCTAGTGATAAACATGTCTCCATCAGTATGGACTGATTCCCTTTGACTTCTGGGGCTTTGGTATGGTCGTTATGGGTGATTTGTTATCATTTCGCAAAACTTAAGACCTTTTGAACTCTAGCTTGAGTTCACGTTCCTCGTAGTTCTGAGAGTTTCCGTGATAGATGCTTGGATCGATCCGATTTTCAACTGTTACTTTTCTTCGATCTCATCGTGAGTAGCTTGGTAATACCATAAAACGTCTGCAAAGAATGAAGAACGTGTTGTTTTTGAGATCAGAGCTGAAATTTAGCAATGGCGAGCTCGACTACTATACGACGAGATCCATACTTAATATTGTACCATTGACGACCGTTGTCTAGGGCTGCGAGCGGCTGTTTGCCCAACAAACAAATGAAGGACTTGACAACTTTGTTCTTCCCTCGCATTCATTTTCATAGACCCAAAAAATCCAAAAACACGACCGCGACAGCAATATCCTCGTGTCATATAGCTTATTTTAGTCTCTAGACGCCTAAATCACGAGCTATTTTGCTCTTAGCCCACCTTTAATCACTCAAGAAACCCCGCCTTGCTAAAACATAAGATGCAATACACATCGACCACGACACCCAGTGAAAATAGAATGGGAATCCAGACTCCAGCAAGCCACACAAGTACCAGACACTACCATGCTACCTCTCCTTCGGCCACAAGTAGAGCAACCGCTCGATCTTCAAGAAGAAACCAAGCACATTTGTCAATCCATACAGGAGCGAGCAGCGGCAACCATGGACTATCTTCATCAAGAGCATCGCATACCCCAAGAACTCCACGGTCTCAGCATCCAATGTCCTCTTCATCAATGACATCGGAATCAAATTCGCAACATGATGGCGGGTTGACATTTAGACTTGCTGCACTTGTAGATTCGTTTATAGCAGGACAATCCGGCGGAGCACCATCCTCATCACTATCAAGCCAATATCCAATGTCTCCTTCATCAACATCCATATCGTCGGCTGGGATGGCGCCTTCTCCAAGACCAACATCAACTTCATCAACATCATCAACAACCTCTGCTTCTTCTTCCTCAGTGACTACTACTCAAGCCGTAACAGTCCTTCGAGACGCTATATTGAGACAGCATCAAAGTCTCCCGTCTCCACCGCCATCCCAGCAATCATCCTCTTCTTCATTTATGTCGTCGTCAAATCTGTCTGCTGTGTCGTCATCGCTATCTCAAGTACAACAACAAGATCTACGGATGGTACGGACGTCATCATCGCCAATGTCTGCTACCATTAGAACTCAGTATGGACTAGCGGCTGCTTCTCCTACGTTGGTTCATCCCCCTCCATCTGCACTGTCGGCTTCTGCTCCTGATCGCAATACTCAAGCTCAACAGCAGCAGTTACATCCTCAGTTTGGAGCCAAGCCAGTGTATGTAATCATTAAATTGTATCTTCCTGTTGCTACTGGTAGAACTAACCCCGGCTTTCCACTCTCAGATGTATCATTTCGTGCAAAACATGCTCATCAGTCGTATGTCATCGTGGAATGAGAGCACTGTTGCTCGGAAACAAGCGAGTCGAACTCTTCTCGACGGATTCGCAGCCATCTGGCGTTGGTTTGGTCTGCTGGGCTGATTATACCACAGAAAACTGCCAGTGTCGTATTAGAGATGGGGCTTGTATGAGTATGTTGTAACTCAAGAGCAAGAAGATTATATGAATATGTTTAAAAGTCAGTCTGTCTCACCATATCGCTCTGTCCCACAGGTTGTGGATCTGTGGTCGGATATCATGTTACTTCCCCATGTGAAACCTGTTTGGAAGCATGCCATAATGGGTGAGTTTGAGATCATTACAATTGCGACAACAAACCTTCGCTACAAGGCAACTTACACTTTCTTGTTATTTGAACAATCTAGTCATTATTGGATGTGAGTTTGAGCAAGTTGATTTCATCATAAGCCAATGGAGAACTTTTTCCTCGCCACAAAGCAACTAACAATATCTTTTTATGTGAATAATTTAGGTTTCACTCAAGTGGCGTTACCTACAGTGAACGATTGTCAGAGTCAGGAAACCTCATTCGTTGGGCAGTGTTGTCTCCTCCTCACGATGATGAAACAATCGACTCCCAAAGACGAGAGCTCCCAGTCAGATAATACCAACAGCAACACAGCAACAACAAAAAGAACAACAAAAAGGGAAACAAGCAAGAAAAAACAAGATCTTTGTGGCGGTAATTTGGGATTGTCAAATCAGACGGCGGTGACAGTCTCTTGAAGGGAGAAGAAACAAAAAAAATGGACTATTTACGATCGAAAAAGCATACACGCACTACACACATACTACTTAAATTGCTGAAAAATCATATTTAAATAACATATGTCATAAATTTTGCATATATAACACACTCTCTAACTAATAGAAGATCCAGGTCAACCAAAAAATGACTCTCGATATGGTATCAAGTATTCTGGTGATTCACTTGTTCAAGTGTTTTTATTGTCCGTGCCCGTCCACACGTACTCAACATTAGCGCTCCTACACACTTCAGAAATTATTCTTTGATTGAGAGAAGAACTTTATTGAATGATTTTGCAGGGAATTTTATAATAGATCGTAAGGCAGTCTACGTTTTAAAGCATTTAACCATCCATAGCCATCATCTTCTTGATTTCAGCAATAGCCAAACCAGGGTTCAAGCCCTTTGGGCAAGTACGGGCACAGTCTGTTGAAGATTGAGTTCATTGAGTAAAGAGAGTTGCAGTAACATGGGAGAAAAAAAGCAAAATATCTTACTCAAGATAGTGTGACAACGGTATACAGAGAAGGGATCTTGGAGGGCTTGACGACGTTCAACACCAAATTGGTCACGAGAGTCAATCATCCATCGGTATGCTTGCATCAATACTGCTGGTCCCAAGTACCTAAGCAACGAAAAGGCGTAAGTAACCCTGTGAACATCTCGGCATCAAGACAACAATACCGAGCACATACTTGTCCTGGTTCCACCAGTACGAAGGACAAGAAGTCGAGCAACAAGCACACAAAATACACTCATACAATCCATCCAATTTCTTCCTGTCAGCAATAGTCTGCAAGTTTTCTCGAGCAGGAGCCGGAGTCTTTTGTTTCAAGAATGGCTCGATGCTCTTGTACTGTTTATAAAAGTTGGTCAAGTCAGGCACGAGATCCTTTATGATAAACATGTGAGGCAATGGATAGATTTTAGATTGAGCAGCGACATTTCGGTCGATTTTCGAGATGCAAGCTAGAGTGTTTCCACCATTGATGTTCATTGCGCATGAGCCACAGATTCCTTCACGACATGATCTGCGGAAGGTGAGGGTTGGGTCTATTTCATTCTTGATTTTGATGAGTGCGTCCAGCACCATGGGACCACATGCGTTGATGTCGACCTTGTATTCCTGGAGTTTGGGCTTTTCTTGTGGTGTGTCTGGGTTCTGTGAAATATATAAAGGGTATTTTTGTTAGTACTTTAATAAGGTATCTGTTGGTGTGTCTAGTTTGTGACATCATTCCACCATCGTGTTTGGCTTGCAACAACACAGCGGGCACAGCAAGACATCCATAGCTGTTGCTTGCAGTTAATCCTCAGTATTCCAATAAGCCGATTATGATTCACATGGGATGTCTTTGGCACATTGTTGAATTGTCGATACGAATTCTCACAGGCTAACACAAATGTTTCATGCTATAACGAGACCTACCCATCGGTATATTTGGAATGTCTTTAGCAATACTGGTTTGGCTGCGGCAGCAGCTGGTGGAGCGACCTTCTTTGCAGTAGCTTCTGGGACTGCGGTAGCAAGTGTCCTCACCGAGGCCTAAAATTTAATTTGATTTTTAGAGAGCGTTTGGTGGGATATAGCAAAGCGATTAAGCTGTAGTATGGTATTGAGTGAGGATTATATACATACCACTGTCCTAATTACTGGCCTAACAAACATTTCAGCTTTTCTCAAAGTGCTTGTTAGTTTGTGTTTTCTTGCTTGTAAGGAGCAAAACGGAGCGAGGAGGGGTTGCTTCTGGCTGCAAGAGAATCACGTTAAATAAGCAGACTAACTCTCACTATATTATTATCTAGAAATCATGAACAAACGTCCACACGAACAGGACTACAGTCCTCAGCAACGACCGATACTCCCTTCAACATTTATGGAAGTCTCTCCCTTCAATACCGATTCTGGAGGACACGGAAAGCTCTTTAATCAATCCAACTTGCCTTCATCGTCTCCTCCTTTACCTCTCGCCCCACCGCCAACACCCTCATCACCACACATTAAAGTCACGGTCAACCAGCAGCCTAATACACCAACATCTCTTGCCCCAACTTCATCTCAATTGCAAGCGCAATCGCCATTGAATACTCCCAAAAAGCCGCCTGTGGGTGGAGAGGACTTGCTTATGGCTCTCCAGAACCAGATCCAGTATATCAAGGAATTAGGTGTGTATACGTTGAGTGCGTCCAGGGATGCCGGGATGCTGTATTTATTGGACTCTTGGTGTCTTATAGAGCGTGAATTGTCTCGGGCCACGAGGATCGTCCATGCGCGAGACCAGAAAATCAAGTTTCTTCAAGGTTTGCAGGTGCTTAAAGGAGCTTTGACACGAGCTGATACTCACAGACGCATTCGTTCTCACCTAGGCGAGCTCGAAAAAAAGTCTGGCCGAGAAAAGTTTTGCAAAATATGTGAGCAAGAGCTAGACTAGTAGCCCGAGATTTTTGAAGATCGTCATTATAAACATATCAATCTTGTATGAAAATTGCGCATTGTATAGTAAACCAGAGCACACTCTGACTGATTCTGATTATGTCTCATTATGTATAAACGCCAAATTTGGATAACAGATCTAAAAAATCTACTGTTTCTATGTATAAAGGGTTTGTCGATGTATTCAACCTCAACTTCTAGAATCTATCAGAGGTCTGCCCGAGTGATAAATATGAGAAAGGCAACAGGCGGTATCTACAAGCTCTTAATGGTCGATGTGGTGGCCAAGTAATGTTCTTCAGCTTGCATGAGTCCTATTTACGAAATGTCAATGTCTTAATTCAGCAAACCACATATATTGATAGAACGACCTTCAGCAGTCGGATAATTAGCTTCTCGTCGTTTCAAATCGTCTTCAGTGACGGTGAAGCCAGCTTGTTTCAGGAAATCCTCAAAGGGTATAGTCTTGCCATTCTTCTCCTTGATACAGAACTTGGCGATACTGAATGCGTGGAGTGTCGAGCCAGACTCGAACCGGGCTTCCAAGTAAAACCATCTATACGAAAGTCAACATCAGTTTTGATTTTTCGTCTGGAAAGCAGAAGTCAAAGATAGCAAACCGACACCACCAAACGTAACTCACTTTGGTCCCCAAGTTCGTAAACGAGTCTTCATAGTATACTTGGTCCATGGCTTGATTTCCTTTAAGAAGAAGCACTGAACGCCAGCATTCGCAAACTTGACGTCTCTTCCATAATTGCCAAACATCATGGCCAAGAACTCTATCCTGGCGTAATCGAGATTCTTGTTGTATGAGGCATTGTTCATGTGGATATTCATGTCCATATCCTATGTTGCGGAACGTAATGAATGAACGAATACGACTTGGTCTTGATCGAATATGGGGTAATCAACGTCAAAGTATAGTTACGTCTGGGTATAGCCTTCCATGTGTAGTGTGCTGTTGCCAAATATCTTTCGACGGTTTGATTGCAAGGATGCGGCGTCGATACCAAACGATCCACACTTGAATTAAGCAGCGCACATGGTAGGCGAATGGTGCGGATTTGATGTTGAGGAGCAACACCACAACCAATAGAATGTACCTTTTCCAGCTCATGTTCTGAGCGATTAAGGAGCGACCGTCGGGTTCGAAGACCTACAATCTTCAGTTTTTGGTTAATCAGCCATTATTCAACTTTTGGTAACCAACTGTCTCAGGAGACGCAAATAGACAGCTACCGCACACATGGTAGGCACTTACCTACGAACGTTGCTACTGAGTAGTCCGTCGACTTGCTCGATTAACGGTTGGTTTTGGATTAAACCAATCTCAACAAATAGTTGCAAAAAACTGATTCGGTCAGAGTTTCAGAGCTGGATGTCTATTTGCATCTCATAAAAAGGCTCAATATTGGAAGAATCTTTGTACAAAACTGAGATATGTATCTGGAATCACGCTTCCTTTCGGTGTTATGGGCAGCCAGACACGAAATCAAATCACGACGCACATGTAACAAACACTGAACAAAGAGGAGACACCGTCACTTGTTTGTGGGTGTTTGCACTTCCCAAGTGACCAAACTATGGCGCTTTTCCTTCTTCTTCTATTTGTCCTCGTCAATGATTGGGTACTGGGCACTACTCTTTTCTTCAACTTCGCACAAGACAAAATCGCCGTAGATCTGACCCTAAATTTCAAACTCTGCAAACTAAGGATTATAACAAAGTTGGGGCCTTCACTATCCGCTGCTTGTAGCCAAAAACAGTGTTTGGCTTGTGCCCATGCAAAACATAAACATGTTTCAGTCTGCTGCTCCATCAATGAATTTCCTAGCGTCAGTAGCTGATTCACCATTGCCCTCGTCACCAAGTGTTTCTCAATCTACTGGATCTCCAGTACTTGACCAGGATAATACGACTACCTGGCCAAGCCCCATATTGACCGCCAGGATCTCTCCACAACCAAATCGTAAGCCATATACTCCTCCTGGCGGACTGGTCACCAACACTGCCTCGCAACCGCCCTTGCATGTCCATATCCCTTATGGTGCTGCTACTGCCGTAGTGCCCCAGAAGAGATTCGACGAGGCCTTTGTATTGTCGGATGCAGGTCTCGCTGGTGCTGCGCCAGAACAGGGGGAAAAAGAACCAGCTACACCGAAAGCTAGATCTTCAGCTGGCAAGTCTGCTTGTGGTGAATGTCGAAGGTACGTTTATCTCGGAGGATCACTGCTTGAACTCACTTTTGAGCTATTGTAAGACTGATCTATTTTTGTTCTTCATTTTTTTCTTGCAGGAGGAAAGTACGATGCAACTCTGCAAGACCCATGTGTAGTAACTGCTCCAAACGTGGTGTTTCTTGTGTATGGGATGGACCACCACCAGCACCAACAACCTCTCCTATTCCTTCAGCTGGCTCGGATGATCAAACAGCGGAAGCTGATGGTCCTGATGGTACTCGTCGACAACGTATCATGGCTGAGGGTGGAACCAGCCCTGCTTCAATGAGGGCTCAACTCAAAGTCAAGAAGCAAATGTATGGTGTCAAAGGTATGTGTTGGTTGCTTTGAATACGACTAGATGCTGTTGTATTTATGTTTGCGGTTTGTCGTTCCTTTCTATTCCGTCACAGTACAATATCTCATACTTCATTCTGCTTTTCTTAGAAATTCGCAAGCCTATGCGATCACCATCAGGCAACCCACCACGCTCACCCGGCAACTCGGCTCAACCCAACTCACCATCATACTCTACAATGTACTCTCAATACGGGTACTCACATCCACTACTCCGAACCGTATCTCCATCAACACCAGTGGCGCGTAATCCACACATGAGACAAACATCTACCGGATCAGCAGACTCGGATCCAACAATAATGATGGACCAACTGTACAGCCCATTATGGTTTCCAGTACCTAGACCAGAACCACACAGCAACAACAGTAACAACATTAGCAATAACAATAATGCATTTACATCCACCCGATACTATCAACACAACCCATACGTCACAACCCCCATCCGTACACGTCCACCACCACTAGATGTAGAATCCATGTATGATATATACGGAGTTGCATCACCACACTCGGCAGATCCATTCAAAACAGCTCGTGATCCAACCCTGTCTCCCGGATTTCAGATGCGATCATCGGATACGGCAATGGATACCATGGAAGTCATATCTGTATTGAGCTTGAGTGGATCTCCACCACCGCCACTGCAACAACAACAGTCTTCAGCAAACAGAACAACAATAATAAAATCCGAATCAATAGCAGCACCTCGAACATCTCCTCCACGTATAACCGTACCACTACCACATCCATCAACACCCACACGCACACTCACATCACCTGTAAAAACCGAACCAGCACAACCACTCCCAAACCACGTCCCCATCATGATGGCTGAAACCATGTTTGCATTCCCATACACGCTACCAAACTCTATATCATATACAGATGCTACAATGGGTGTTGTGTCTGACTACAGAACGGAAGATTATGACGCTACATTCTTGACGAACGGATCGTCGCTGGTCAATGGTCTGGGAGCGTCTATGCTTCATGATGTGGCTGCGTCTGCTGAAACAACAATAGATGCGGTATGGTGGGGAGCTTCTATGGAAGGGATGCTTGGGAATTCTCCTGCCTTGTAAAAAAAACACAATAGAAAATATTATTATAGTTAGGTAAAAAAAAAACAAAAGGCATCATACTTACAAAACGCCCTCATATTTTTTGGTTGTGTTGTATACAGAGAAATATATGTGTTCATTGGAGTGGAAACATTTGACTATAGTTTATGCAAAAAGCGAGTGCGTGTGTATAATGTGTGGGTAATATGAGGCTTAACCTCTTCCTCTCCCTCGTTGTGAATCACCTCTTCCTCCTCCTCTACCACCTCTACCTCTATCTCCTCTTCCACGATCACGGTCATTGCTACGACCTCTACCACCACCTCTATTGCCTTGTTCTCGTTCGGCTCCTAATGCAAAGGAGGAGCGTCAGTAGATGGCCAAAAAATGTTCCCAAATCTTTCTACATACTTTGAGCAAAGACCAAATCAAGCATCTCATCCGGCACACGTAGATACTTGATGGTATTCCCTCTAAAAGAATAAATTCGAATCAATTTGTGGTCTCTTCAACACCAAACTGACTGCTACGACGTGCTTGACGCAAACACTTCAAATGTTTTGTCTTTACCTGATGTAGGCTTCCGGTAATCTCCAGAATTCTTCACGGTCTGCCGACGTACAGATCACTTCACGTAGCGATATATTCATGAAATTGTCGCATGATACAAGATGGCCGTTATATGTCTCACCTTTGAGAATGGAAAATGATTGGAATTTAGTGACTTCGTAAGAAGAATGTCGAGTTTATGGGAAATGGGAGACAGACATACCATTTTTGAGCTCCACGAGCATAGGATGGCCTTGCGATGTGTTTAGAAGTGATAGCGGAAGCATGGTTGTAAGGTGCTAAATCTCAAGAACTTTTGATAAAGATGAGAGAGAAGACTGAAGATGCGAGTAAATCACGCGTTGAAGTAGTGGATACTGATGGTAGTGATAAATTCTCTACGTGAGGAGGCTTTATTATAGACGTTTGAACATTGGGACTTCTTGATATTTGAAATTGGCCAAAGTCAAGTACGCTTTGCTGCAAAAAGCTATATCCAAGCTATGAGATTTCAGGTCTGGACCGAATTGATTTGAGAATGATTTTACTAATCTGACGCGTCGTGACCTTGTGAATCGGCTGTAAGGCTCGTCGCTGTATTGACATTTCAGGTGGAGCGATGATATTCGAGCTGAAGCTCTGTGAACACATTACAAGAAGGATACTTTTGTGATAATATTGCACGTCAGATATGACATAAACTGTCTTGGAGCGCCTTTCTGCATCATGGTGGTCTGATTTGGACGTGTTCAACACTGCACTGAATCTGTAAGTCCAACGTTCTGCATAGACTGTATATATCTCGAATGTGACGTATATATTGAAAGTTTAGATTGGAGGCTAGAGTCTGAGCTGCTACCTACTCCCAGTAGTGCGAAAAGTTTGTGTTCGTACGTTTGGCTGTTTGCGTGTTTTTGCTTGTAGGCGGCCTTGCGAAGAGAGCAGAGGCTTGACTACTATAGAAATTACCTGCATCGAAGATAAATATATATGTTTAACCATTCCTGGTCTTCTCCAGATGTTCCTATTCTGTTTGGACCATCGACAACTTCCAAATTTCTTAAGCGCATTAACACAATGAGCTCCACTGACTACAGCCCAAAAGCCGTGCTCAGAGCGATCGTCACTACTTCCATGGCTGTCTGTCTGGCACTAGTGACCACCTGCCGTCATATGAGGCAGAAGCTGGTGAGAGGTTCCCAATGGCAGTCAGGGTATGTTTTGTCTTGTCGATTTCAAGTCCTGGTTTGTATGTAGAAGACTAAAAATAATCGATTCTCTTCTTTTGTATAGTCCTGTGCGATCTTTGCCCAATAAAGGACCCGGCTGCGACCTCCTTGGTCCTTCGAAACGCCAACATCAACACCTGTCTATGGGTGTTGGGTTGGTACCAGCCCGTCAGTCATACGATGGTGGTGCTGAAGTAGAAGTACCACCAGCTGGTTTTCGTCCTATATCCCTGGTGGGAGGTCCCCACCGGCAGTCGGGGTAAGTGCCTTATAATGATTATCATGTGCCTGTGCCTTTTTGATTTTTGGTCGATTTTATACTTCTTTCTCAGTTTGAAGACAATTCTCATCATAAAATTTCTTTTCTTATACAGTCCTGTACGGTCATTGACCAACAAGGGATCTGGCTGCGACTTCCCGATCTCTTCGAAACGCCAACTACAGCACCTGTCTGTGGGTGTTGTGTTGGTACCCGCCCACGAGTCCCATGATCGTGGTGCCGAAGTAGAAGGACAACCAGGGCGTCTTGTCTCCAATAACACCCCTCAGCGACTACTAAAAACCCTAACACCCGCCTCAGTCGTTGTTGAAAACCCACCTGCCCTGTCGACCTCTTGCCAGCTTCTTGGTACCATAGAAGCTGGAGCAGCTGCATCACGTAAGTGTTTGAAAGTCTTAGGGTTTGTTTCTTTTAAGTTATGTCCGAGCCTTCGAATGTACTCACATATTGTTGTTGACTTTACTCTTATAGCCCCTCCTGCTTATTGCTCTGCTAGAGGTACCAGTAGTAGTATTAGTAGTGGTTTGAGTAGGAGTAGGAATAGAAGTAGTATTGGCAGTGTTGTAACGTCGCCAACGCCTCGCGTTGAGGTGATGCCAACACGAGGAAATCCAGTAGATCTGCTCAGCCACAGACATCAGGCCTTCTCTCTCCCACTATCGCCACCGTCAGCTGATGCTACTCCTCCTATAAGGCTGCGCTCTACCCGCAAATCCCCTGCTGCTCGCCGTGCCAACCTGCAACAGAGTCAACACGGGCTTCCAGGTCTCCAACGGAAGGTTAGTGTTTCAGTTTAGAGTTTTGTGATATCATTGAGCTTATGATTCTAGAGTAACATCGATCAATTTGGTACGTTTTTAGAAGCTGCTACCTTCTACATTACGATTCTCGTACTGTCACAATGCAGACAAAGGCAACGAAAAGTTACCACCTCTAGTATTTGTTTATGGTCTATCGGCGGATACTCAAGCAACGACCAAGATTTTAAAGGCACGAAGTATCAAACTGTTCAGGTAACGTAACTTTGTCCATTGCCTTTTGTAGGGCCATAGCAAACTACTAACTATATCCCTTTAATCAAACAGAAAACGACATCAGATGAGAACCTCAGCTCCTCGTATTGCACTCACGCAAAAGGCGCATCATCTAGGTGAGTGCCATTTACATTTGTGTGCATCATTCTTTTCCAACATCTCATCACACATTTAAACCTTCTGCAGCTGTAGAATTAGACGCTAGACAAAGAGAGATCGCTGCTGCTTTGAGATCTTCAGGAGGAAGGTTGTCAAGTAGCTCAGCAATGATGAATGACCCTGCCGAGCTGATTGGACCTGTTGTGTTGGGGAAGAGACCTCGAACCACGTTCTCTTCTCTCGATCACCCATATTTCAAACGACAAAATATTGGAATCCAAGGTCGATTTAGTCTTTTTTCTCCGTTGACGATGAAAGCGAACCAGTGTCAAGCTATCACACCCGACTCGGTCGATGAAACGATCCTTGCAATCGGCCAACCACTACCAGGATCCTCCAGTAATAATCTTCATCAAGAACTTACCTCGTGCGGACAACAAGAAGGTGGTGCTAGTAATCTGGTAGCAGCAACACCATGTGTCGCAACACGACAATGTTTGAAAAGGAAACTTAAAGCGTTTGCAACAGACGTGAGGAATGGTGCAGATGGAGACGCTACTGGTCAAGACTTATGTCAAAGTCCAGTCGTCAAACGAACAAAAGAATTCAAAGCATGTTTACGAAATTGTTTCCATTTATTCTGTGGATCAACGTTCTAACCTAGATTGTGCTGCTGAATAGGATCCGAATGTGGAACCAGTACAACTTGTGTCAGCCAAGAAAGAGTCTATAGCTACTAGAAGACAGACTCTCCCTCTTCGCATCACCACCAGCCGACATGATTTATCTAAAGATCAAGGCAAGCCGTCGAGTGCAGGCCCACTCAGACGGCCCGTGACAAACGATCAAATTGCTCGTGCTGCCGAACCATCAAGTCTGCCACCAGTTTTGGATCTGGTCGATAGTGTCTCGACGCCATATCCAACTGATGCTAGACTATTGAATGTACCGTCAAACCCAACTCATACGTCAGCCACCGAACAAAGAACTAAAACACATGTTCGATATAACACCATAGACGTCACCGATGTTTTGACACCCAGCCCAACCGATATCAATATCAACGTACAACAACCAGCACATATACCTCCCGTCCACGGTATCGAACGAAGAGCTATTGCATTCGGTCGATCCGCTGATCTTTGGACTGGTATCCTATGGCCTAGTCCAATAATGACGACTATACCTCTCAAGGACCAAATCCCTACCCAAAGCCAGCCACCAGCTGCCTACTTGGCCAATGCAGCTGTTCCACTTCTGTCACCGATCCAAATTGGAGACTTGGACATGATGATGGAGGTGGACGACGAGGACTACACTATGCTATCACCACCAACGATAAATAGAACATGGCAAACAGATAACGAGAATGATGGTGAAGCAGGGAAACGTGTATGGGACACACATTAGCACCACATGGAATACACCCAACTTTAAAACCTTGGATAGTAGTTAGATTTAGATAGAGCTCCACCAAAATTTAATAAAACAAAATCTGTGAAAATGTTTACGAGTTCGTTGTTTTGGTTTACGGTGTCGTAAGGATACAAAAAGCGTGCAGAAGGGTTTCCCAGAGAATGATTACAGTGTATTTAAAAAATGTTAGATCAGGTTATGTTATTTACTTCAAGCTTCAGGCTTTAGCAGTAGAGACTCAGTATCGGTATGCTTTAGTGGGCTTGGATATCCTAGAGTCATATTCATCATCGTAGTCGTTGGCGCCAGCGCCATACGAATCATCGTAGTCTGGATAGCTAGGTTTTCCACGAGGGCTGCTATAGTATGGATCCTGATAGTCGTCATCATACTGCGGTTGCTGTGGCGGTATTTTTCGCGAGGGTGCTTTACGTGGTGGAATTACAGGAATGTCATCATAATCACTCTCCACTGGCTGTTGACGTCTTCTCTCAGCACTATAATTCGAAGCAGTACCACCAGGACCACCATCTCCACGTCGTCTAGATGTAGATCGAGAACGTGTTGGTGGCATATCGTCGTACCGGTCAGGTCTCCTAATCGGTTCAGTATACTGTCTGGGTATCGATTCTGCGTCAGCGTAGTTATCATATTTACGTGATGAAGGAGCAGATCGACTGCGTTTCATGTCATATTGATCTTCGTTACGAGAAGCTACTGTAGGTGGCATAGCTCGGTCTGGTCTCCTAGTCGCTTCTCGATAATCGTCATACCCGTTACCAAAATCCTGTTGACGATCGGAAGGTCGGCTGCCTCCAGTACCACGACCATCCCTGATGGAAGGATTTCGTCTTTGACTGCCATCCTGTGTTGGTCTAGATCCACTTCGAGACATTGCATTTTGCGGTGATGCACTACGAGGCGATCCACTTCGAGGCATGACGGGAGCAGGTGGTGACCTATAATTATTATCCTCATATTGGCCATCTGTATCATCGTCATATTGGTCATCATCATACCCATCATTGTTGAAGTTGTTGTTATTGTTGTCGTATCTCGAATCTCCATAGTTGGACGCTTCATACTTTGACCCTGCATATGGTGATCCAAGGCCTCTGTCTGGCTGACTGCCGTAACGATCATACGTATTTTTGTAGGCATCTGAGCGGGCTTCCGAGAATTTATCATCACCATAAGGATCCTTCCTCATCCAATCCGAATTATTAGAC